GCAATCTTGCTTACTACCTTTCTTATGACTGGGAGTAATCCAAGATTCCTTCCAATCCTTCGGTATTTCGGAACCATGCAAACAGTCTTGCATGAGTTTCCTCAGATGTTCAAATAGTTTACCGGTGCCACATTTTATCAACTCCGCCGGTATACCCCCAGGTCCAGGAGCTCTGCGAGTTTTCAACTCCCTCACAGCCTTCACTACATCTTGGAGCTGGATCTCCACGTTGGAATCTTCTTTAGTGCTTATGACTCCGCCTTGAAACTCGGGTCGCCTCTCCGTTAATAAATCTTTAAAATAGTCCTCCATCTTGTCAATTGGTATCGGAGATATGATGTCGTGCATTCTTTATCCTCTCTGGATACTTAGTCCCTCGTTTAGATACACACTTCTTCTCGCTTGGGTTGTCACTAAGGTTCGTTTCATTGTAATTAAAGATGGTAGATTTTGGCACTGGAGAGCCATCTGGGTTTTTCAGTGTTTTACCTAGATTTTCAAAATAAGCATCGCAAGATCTTCACTGTGGCGTTTTAAAAAAGAATAGACCCAATCAGTAGATGGGAGGTTATTTGCAAACCTTTTCTCATTACAGCCAGACTTATTCAGGTATGGATCATTACACGTACATCAAACAGTTCTAATGGGAACCCTCACTTGCCCATTTTGATCAAATGGTTAACAAACACCACTTCTTTGGCAGAGGTATAAACTAACGACCTACCAACACTTTGAACATGCTTACCATTGACTTTATTACTCTAAGTGCCTGATGGAATTTTGTATACTGTACTTGCTTTGTTCAAAGACATTCTTTCTGATTGAACTGCCCGCATTGCCTTTGAAGGCTAGCATCATTGTTACCTTTGTATTTGCCGTACTGTTCCAGAAATGTTTACAGAAATTCTGTCTTTTTTAAGAACATTTAGCTCGTCAATTATTGGTTTGAATATACAGGCTTTTCCAAAAAAAAATTTATCTGAGGTTTTTGTGATGAGAACCGGAAAAATATGATTAAGTAAGCCTGGATCTTTTGTTGGGCGAAAGACAAGCAAGTGATAGATAAGCTGATTCACTCCTGAATGACAGCGTAAAACATTGCCGCATTCTATTTCATCGTTATAAATGTATATTGGTATGACAGTTGAGTCCCCTATTAGCACATTAACCTTCCACCATGTACCTTCAATGTTGTTTTCTAAGTCCTCATGGTTGGCAGATTACTAGCTTACTGCTTAATGTCCTCAAGTACTCTATCTTGACTGAAAAATAAGCTTAAAGTTTTTTTCAGAGACATATAAGCACTAGACTCTTCTACAGGAATAAGTTGATGAGAAGTTTTAAATTTGTACCTTCAGGTAATCTTACAAAATATTTTTCTCCTTCTTTTCCTGCGTTTCAAAACCTGACCAAGATTTATTTTTTGTGGCGAATCGTATAATTGCTTATTTTCAAAGAATTTTAATTGAAGATTATGGGAATTAAACTTAGAAAATTCATCATTGATAAAAGTGAAACTTTCCTCCATATTTGTACTTTAGATTTGAAATTGCTTGGGGTCTAAAATTTTAGAGAAACAAGAAGTTTGCATTTTGAAGAAAATCCTTCTTAAGGCTGTTGACTTCATCAATAGATAACTGTCCTCGAGATGAATTGATGGATGGTATTCCATTCAACAATGCAGAAAAATTAATAATTTTTTCAGTTTTAATTTCTTTAATTGCTTTTTGTTTTCGTATACTTTTCCTCGTTCGCAGTAGCAGAAGAAATAGGACTGAAAGGAGGCGGTTGAATAAAAGTTACATTCTCTAAATGCGGATGCAATAGTTCGGACCAAAGATCAAGCAAGCCTCTGGCTGACTGCTGAAAACCCTCCATGTAATTAAGTGTTTCTCTAGCATCTTCTCTGTTTCCATTAGTGACCTCAAAATTGGTAAAAAATGTGAGCATTTCATAGAGGCATTCAACTTGATAGTCCTTGCTTCTGTGCAAAGACTGATTGAACTTTTTTTGGGATGAAAAAGGCTGGAGTTAAAAATATCAAAAAGTTTGTCTCCTTTTTCCCAAAGTAAGGCCAGGTCTATGCGTGCATATGAGATGGACTTTCAGGCAACATCAGTATACAGAGCTGATGCGATAGATGTGCTGAATACCTGAGTAGTGCGTTGGACCTTCATTTTCTCAAAGTTGTTGGGGTGGATTTGAGAACCACTGAGCTTTGGTGCTAGACGTAAAGAGAGAAGTTTGTCGATGTAGTAGATATGACTCTAATACTTTCAAGGACAGATGACTACTAAGGTTGTCTCAAATTAAAACTTTGTATCTAAAACACTTGTATCTTGAACCATTCCCAAAAAAAGACATCCTGATGTTCTGTTAGTTGCACTCGGTAATTCAAAATGACAACCAGTCATTTTCTTTGATTTGCTCCGTCAGTGGACAGACCCCTTTCAAACTTTTACCTCTCCACTTGACCAGATCATTAGTAAGAGATGAGCTCCTTGGATTTCTCGGACGCCTTGTTTGATTGTCAATGATATTGTCATCGGATTCATTACTTGACGCATCGCCTTCACTTCCTGAGACAGGGCAGTCTGCATCAACCTCTCCATCTGTTTCTGAGGACTCCTCCTCAAAGTTCTCCAAGCTGACGTATTTGCCAGGAGGGACATTTAGCTTTGTCTTTCTGGGTCATCGGAGGGTTGATGCAGCTCCGTAACTCATCTCGTTCAAAATATTAACAACAGTATCCTCTATGATGCTCCCATCCTTAGCACTAGGGGTGTTAGCAGCTACACGTTTAAGGAGTTTTTGCCTGTGCAAAGGCTTAATGCCGCATGCTTCAAAGCCTGCTTTGAGATTATCAGAAGACCTGTAGCATCTCTAAGAGCTTTGTCAGGAGCTTAGAGAATTCACTTTTTGGAACGCAAGTCTCTCTGCAACCTTCTTTGCTCTTCCAATCTGTCAATACCTTCCTCCCATGTCTTTTCAGAAGAGGGAAGAAGGCGACATCAAGTGGTTGGGTCTCATACTGGCTCTCCCACACAATAGGTCCATCTGACAATTTAAATATAAAGCCGGTGAAAGATTTTCTGTCCAATTTGCAACCACCCCAGTCAGCATCTGCATATGCCACAATCTCATCATTTTTTTTCTTTTGAAACACAAGTTTTTTGTCAGCGCTACCTTGCAAGTAACGTAATACTCTCTTTACTACAAAATACATTTCTTGCTTCTAAGAATGGTTAGCAGTAAAGGGGTTTCAATTAGAATATGAGGAACAATAAGAATTACAAGCCGAATTCAGAGGCCGAAAAATAATAATGTTGTTATTTTTTTTATTGTTGTTGATGTCGTTGTTTAAACCAAAACAGAGGGACCGCCGAAGCGCTCTCTGCACGTGAAATTTTCCTCTACGGTAAGAGAGGGGTACAAAAATTGCTCCATACACTTCATGTTTGTCACTTATGTGTTCGAAAGGGTTTTAAGGAAAATTGCTTTTTTAAATGCATGATTTTGACTTTAAAACCTTTTCACTTCTTTCAAATGAATAGTGTTTTGAAAGTTGATCTGAATACGGTTTGTACTTTTCTTAGTTTTTATTAAACTCACATTTGGAATACAAGATGAAAACAACTTGAATGATTGCTCACTGATTTTGTTTATTTTTATAGTCAGTAGAGCACAAGTTTCAACAATAACAATGTAAATGATAACAATTTATCAGAAATCCAAATGATACAGACCAAAAATATAAAGATAACAATAACAATCAGAAACAAACATATTTAATTCTAATCAAGTCTTACAGATACAACCTGACGCTCCAAATTCCAATTGAAGCAAGTTGCTCAAAATTGTGACTAATTCCTTGAGGAGCTTGGCAGTTAATCTTTACAAAGGTACATTTTTCAAGAATAAGGGCTTAGAAAATAAATGATCAGTTCTAGATAACTGAGGGTAGGAAATGTAAAAAGCAGAAAATTTTTTTCCCTTGTCGAAAAGGGAATCAATGTAATTGCATCACATTACTATTATCTAGGAACGTTCATTGTAATTCAGCAAATAAATAATAAAGCACAAGTTTTCTCACTTAAGGCAAAGTGAGGATCACAAGTACTCGCTCAAGAAGCTTAATCTTGAATGGTTATTGAATAATGAGAAAAGTGAATTTCAGCCAGGTAGTGTGATAAAAATTGACCTCGAGATTAGCTTAAATTCATTTTCAGAATCATTCATTTATTTCATGTGTGCATGAAGAGAGGAGAAACACCAGGTTATCAACTAAGAAGTATTGAGAATACGCCTTTAGAGTGTCTCGATAACGTCTATGGCAGCAATTAGTTTTTTCATTTGCTACCTTTAACCTAACATTTTGGGAAAAATGCACTAAATTTTTCTGGATCACCTTCAAGTGAAGGTAGTCCTATAATCGTATAATTTCATGTTGCATTGCTACTTTGTATTTTGTCACCAATTGCCCTTGTGATACTCTGCCTTGAAAAGGATGGACTCAGATGTAGCTGAAGAAGAAAATTTATCCATCATCAACTCTAGTTCATTTAAATGAAGATTGCATTTAAACTATACCAACTTGTACGTTCAACTTCTTAATATTCAAATATTTGTCATAGTCCTCTGGAGTCTTACTGTTTCATTCCTTGTATTTCTATCATTATTGAAAAATTTCATTCAATACAGAAAACAAGTCTGGTGGTAGCATGCTTGTGAAACCTTGTTATTTCAAGCCTCAGGCTGATTCAGTCTCAGAATTTAAGTTCTAATAAAGATCAACCATGGAAGAGAAAATAATTGTTTTGTATAGGTTCATCTTCCTGAACTCATGTTCCTCAACACATGTCGACATTAAAACCACCAGACCATATATCTCGGTCTGTGACTTTGTAGACTTCTTGTCATACTTTATTTTTTTAATTTTTATCATCAATTCTTGGAATCTTCTGTTATTTTTCTTCTCTGTGCGAGGAAAACTCTTGTGAAACCTTCAAGGAACGTAATTGATTTGTTCTCCGTCGAAAAAATAAATTAGAAGCAGAGAATTTATAACACCTTGAGGGAATGAGATTCGTGGTCTGGTAGTTTCACTGTCGATATGCACTACCCACAGAAGTTTGGAAAATTGGAAGAAATGGTAGCATTTGGTGAAACGTTTGAAACAGAGTTCCATCTCTGTATATCAATCAATAAAACCATTTCCCTCCACTGCTTGTTATCTCCTGCATCTAAACGTAATAAATTAACTTATGTGCGAATCAAAAAAAGCCATCAGATTATTTTACTCATGAGTCTTATTTCATGTACACAAAAACCAAGTAGGAAGAAAGTATTAGAGCTAACAGAAAAAGGAAAACAATTTTCAAGTGAAGTAATCTGCAAATATTTCTTAATCAGCCAGAGCTGCAAATTAGGTAAAGTAAGCACCATTCCTACCGACATTGCAAAATTCATTTAAAAAGTGAGTTATGGGAGGTCAGGAATGTACACGGAGCTCTTTAAGCCTCATGTTGCCTCGATGCACCCACAGTCGGAAACGAGCAAGATCTTTGCGCGTTACGATACCTACCACCTATGGAAAGCAAAATAAGTAAACAAACATTCAGTTTTTACTAATCAGGTCATCAATGATTGCAACCATTTGGAGCAATGTCCATTGCTCTTTAGGAAGGACCCACAAAGCCCAAATGGGAACGTGTGCCAACATCGATTTCCAATTTTTTTAACCTCATTAAACTCTTCTATTGATGCTGATCTGAAGTCTTCTCGTGCCAAGTTTCTACAAGCGTTTTCTCAAAATCCGCAGTTGAAGTTTTGATAATTTTCTCAGTAGATAAAGACAGCGCCTTTGGTATTTTTGACCATTTTCATTTATGTTGGTGAGAATGCTCACTTGCATAGTGTTCAAAAAACTGATTAGGAATCCGAGACAAGATTGCAGCCTAGCAGTAGTGACTTCTGATCACAATACACTGATAATGATGTTTCCAAACATGCTGGGTTCTATCTTGTCTCACAGTCAGCTTGTTCTCGAGCCTTGTGAGGGATCCATTTGACTCTTTATTGCCGAGCTGCCTTAACATATTAAGCAAATCATCGAAACTTTAACTGCGGATTAAGCAAAAACGGTGACTCGTAGAAACTTGACGTAAAGATGACGTTTGATCAGCATCAATAGATGAATTCCATGCAATACAAAATTGGTAACCAATGTAAGCACCTATTCCCGATAAGGGTTTGAAAGGTCCTTTAACCAACCAATTATTTGACTATTTTTCAGGTTAGCCCTAATTTTCCGTAGTTTGTAAAGAAATCAACACCTCATCAATATTATAACTGCTTTTTATGCAAGTAAAATACACTTGATATGAAGCAACGAAATTGTCTCGGCAAAATTTGAAGGATGGAACACCCAAGAAAATGATCAAATAATAATCTTGAACACTTAATTTCCATCAATTCCCAGAAAAAGAAGGGTATTTTTTTTCTTCTCAAGTAAAAGCTCTTGGGAGACCATGGACTGCCTATAATTCCTTATTCAGAAAAAGGTTTAACTCGTCTGCTGTCTAACAGTTAATCAGACAGCCTGTTATTTCTAGCGATTGCCGACAACATAAGGGAGGCTGCAAGTACTCCTCTCTTATGGAATCTTGCCCACAGACACTTGCCTCAATCATTAACCAACTGGCTGTCAGACATCGGTGTCACATATCCCGTACTCATCAATAAACACAATCTGCATTGTTGCTTTGTCACAAGCAATATAAAATGGTGCTATAGACTTTAGATATTACCTGATTGACATTGTTGACAACTATGATGTGTCGAAGGCCCAGACTACGGAAAAGTCGGAAAATTCTCGGAAGTGAAGTAACCTGAAAATGATATTTTATTTTCATACCATGAGCCCATTTTATAGATTTAAGTCCAAAAATACTGAGGATTAGGTTTTAATCAGACAGCTGCTATGCAGGTAGGTCATAACTATGTTACAATTTAGTAGATGTGCAGGGTGTCTTAAAGTCAAAGGTAAAGAATCGAGGAATCCATTCTAAACGAAAAATTAGACTTTACTTTCTCATAACATTTTCTCCAAAAAATCTCGCCCTTGGAACTGTAGCTCCCCAAATTCCTAAATCAACACTTACCTTACCTCTTATTTTGCCTGCAATTTTACTTTACGTCTAACCATTAAATATTGGTCCAACACATTTTCCATAATACTTTTCATTTGTTGGTTTAGAAGTAGGATACTCACACTTATAGGTAAAGCTTAGGTGTGTTTTTAATGGATTTATTAAAATTTTTTTAGAATTTCTTCAGACTGAAGTCATTAAATCTGAAAACCAATTACACGATTTGAAAGACCATACATTCGATCCTTTTTCTCATGCAACCAAACAGTTGGGAGAAAATTCCAAGCAATGTCAAAAAAGAGATGTCTGATTAACAATAGACCACTAGACAAGGTACGAATTTAAGCAATCTGATACATGTTTCGTAACCAGAATTTCACGTAGAACACGATTCACACTACGAAAATTACCGAAATCAACTTCTAACGAAGATATTAACGTTTTTATTTCGCACTGATTACGAGGAATTTGAACTGCCCGCTCACAAGAAACTCAAAGCTCTACGTGAGTCAAATCGCGCACTACAACGGTTTCAGCAAGCTTCTCAATCGAGCAATGTTCATTTTCCACCATGTGTTGTTCAAACTATTGGTAATTTGCTATAGCTGAGCCAAAGTGTCAAGATTGAAGTTGAAGATTTTTACATCGTAGAGACTGTCATGATAAACATTTAGCGCGCGATGTGAATCACGTAGAGCATTGAGTTTTCATGAGCGGATGGTTTGAATTCACGCATCAAGAATCATTAAATATCTTCGTCAGGAGTTGATTTTGCTAATTTTCGTTGTGCGTATCGTGTTCTACGTGAAATTTTGGTTGAGAAACATGTATCAGAATGCTGAAATTCGTACCTTGTCTAGTGGTCCATTATTGTTTCGAGAACTGGTTTTTTTCCCCCAATTTTTCAGGCAACTACCTTGTAACTGGTTGGTCGACCTTGTGACAGTAGAGGTCATGAGAAAAGCAACTGACCCATTGCATTGTGCCTTTTTAGATAGGCAACATGGAATAGGCAAGAAAAATAGGTACTTACAGCACGTACAGAATAAGGCGAAGGATTCATGTAAGCTCTCAAGTCTAACACCATCTCTTTCTCTGCAGTTGTTAACTCTAGGGACTGTAGTAGAACAGAGAGAAAAACCAGAAGGTATTAATCCTTTTCCAAAGAAACATTGTTTATCATTTTATGCATACCTACTTAGAGCAGTTTTAATAACCCCCCAAAAAAGGGGGAAAATTAAGGACACTGCTGCTGAAAATTATCATTGAAGAGAGTTGCGCTATAGGAATGCAATACATTTTCGCCTGCAGTGAGTGGTTGTTTATATTTAATGAAGAAGAAAACCAGAACAAATGTTAAGTCAAATGAGGAATCCTTCTTAGACAGTCATTTTTGTTAGGGAAATCCGATTTCACAAGGCACCTTCATGTACTAAAAACCTCTGGCACAAAAGATGCTTGTATAAACTAGAATTAAAGTTTATCAACTTGTAACAAAATGTATACTAGTTTTCAAATGATATTTATTAAAAGTCGCTGTCAGTTGAATTGGGACTGATTCAAAATATGCACTTGTATTCATTTTACAAAATTTTGAAATTTTAACTCAGGAGAACGCACAAAGCATCTCACAGCCATTTTGTTTAATTTTCTTACTCTGGAAACCTCTTCCGAGGATCTTAAGTTGTAGGTCTTGACAGTTTTCAAAGGAGCGGCTACAATTTCGAGGAACAGGCAATGTTTTCATAAAAGGCAAAGGGTTTCAACACAGCACCCTCAATGAATTTTACTTGAATTTTTTCATATGGTCGTGCTAACTTAAGTTTTTCTCTTATGAGATGGAATTTTACCTTAGTTTAGCCCTCATATTTGTAAAATATGTCAACTTTTTTATGAATGAGATGCTCAAACAGAAGTGTAATTGATTAGGTACATCATTCCAAAGCTCATTATCATGGCACACTTGAAACTTGATAGTTCAGAAAAGAAAAATATGTGTAGGAATTTTTTTGCAACTTAAGAGCAGTTTTCTTAATGAATTCTGAATTTTACTGCAAAATAATTTTATCTTAAAGCTACCTTTGATCTCAGTTATTCATCATGCCTGGACTAGTAAGCTTGCAATTATAATGCATAGTTCAAATGCTAAAAACAGTTCAAAATCGTTTATTTTTTTAATGGTAGTAAATTGTTTCAACTTTGACAAAATCAGACAGTTGACTAAACCTTTCATTTTTAAATAAGCTTTCACTCCTCAACAACCTATTTCAAATAGTGATGAAATTGTACCTCAACATCCACTTGCTGACAAGCGTACGCTTTTCGAAACATGTTCAGTCTGGTCTCAAAGTCTGCTGGGTGTGATTCTTCAAATGCTTTGTTCATGAGAAGGACAATGAGCTGCGATCGAAGAATTAATCCCTCCAGTTGACCATATGGGATGAGAAAATCAGGATCCTAGGCCAAATGCACAGGAATAATTGAAACTTAGCTATCTCTCATGAGAAAAAAAAAAGAGCACAGAGGGGAATATTCTGAGAGGAGAACAAAAGAAGAATGTATGCAACCTTGTCTTCACGACACGTTTCATGGGATCTATCCCAGGGAAAAATCTCATTTGCGAAGTCGGAAAAATACTAAGTTAGTCAATACTGATCACAGTGCCAACTAAGAGTCATTGTGAAGTCCCAGGAACGATTTCAAAAGAAGCAGAAGAAATTTTGTTGTGTTGTTTAACAGGAGGAATGGTCCGAAGTTTCATTCCTGCGATTCGCACTTGGGAAAAATCCTATGAAATGCACCGTAGAGACAAGACGTTTGTTCATGGAGCTTTAGATTTTATCATTACAGTTTTGAACTTGGCAACAGTTTTATCAAGGATGAGACCCCAGTACCCAGGGCTGTCTTCAGAGAAGAGACTCAAAGATCTGGAAAGTAATCAGGCATTTTTTGCATATATCTCCCCTCTGCTGGTTGGCCATGTAAAAATGAAGGAACTCTGAAAGCAGATTCGCAATGGATGAAAATGTCCAATGCAAAAAAAAAACCCCAAACCCATCAAAGTCTCCAGGAAATATGTCCTTTCTGTTGAAATGTCCCACCACCAGAAGGGTCCAATTATAATATGACAAATAATATAACAAGAAAATGTTCAAAAACAAAAGTGACCCAATGTTCATTGGCTTTTTTGGTGAGAAGTAAATTACCTATTTCTAAAACCTCTTTATTCTTCATAGCTTTCCTTAATATGTTTACGTTGCATTTCGATGGTAACCTGTATGTAGTGGACGATTATCTTGTGGTATTGTGATGAGAGGGTCCTCCTGAAAGAAGGTTTACCTACTTTCTACCTGAAATAGATAATACCAAGACACTGAATTGTTTGTTTAATAACCTGAAGACATCGTATTTTTGTGGTGAATTAAAATATTGCGCTGGTGCAAGTAAATGAACATTTGGTCATTTTTGTTGAGGATTATGTTATTCCTGTTGGAGGATGTGTCAGTATGAGCATGCTTTCCTCTGTATGTTATGTATTTTAAAAATTGTGATCTGTTATCACGGATGCAGTGTCAATGTCTAAAAGAGTGCCTTTCTGAATAATACAGACTTCAGAAACACTTGTCAAGAAAAATTACGACAATCTGGCTACATATTTACCCAAAACCTCCATGATAGGGCAGTGACTTTATAATTATAAAAATTGGATAGTGAATTCGGTTTCTAAACCTAATCATACCTATATCACTCCACATCATATCTCAAAAAACTATGGCCACTAGTTCATTAATTGTAATTTTTTCAAAAATTTCTTTCAAAACGCCCTATGATAAATTCGAATTTCATCAATGACTAATCTTTACTCTACAAAATGCGAACTTTGATTTGAAAAACACAATTGAGGAGGGTTCCGGATAAAGGACCCAAAATAGCCCAGGCCTGCTTCTTTTTCCAGGCAGCGCCTATCTGGAGAGACACGGTGTACCTGAACCCATTTCTATCTGCTTATTAAAATTAAAATAAAACAGATTATAGAAACGAACTGGTTCTTGCTGATACTGACTTTGTGGGCCCTTCTTCAAGAATCCTCCTCAATTCTAATCTGCATTACCCCAGGAGTCAAGAAAAAAATGATTACATGTACTATGCTTTTCTCAAAACACCATTTTTCAAGATCAGGTCTTTTTCCCAGAAAGCTTTATACTTAATTTCATTTTGATTTAAAAAAAATCAAAGAAAGAAGTTATCTAATAAAAATACCTGAGTATTGACAAGAGTCGACTGACCGACAACAGGAAAACAATGAAAATTTGTATTTTTTAATTTTGCAAGAACTTCAGCAACAACAACACATGTAGGGATGGTAACAACAGAGGTGCTCATGATTTCCTCAGCAGTGATATTACTGGTCAAAGGGGGAGGGTCTGTTGGAAGAATTGGTAAACCTCTTAAGTTTATCTGCATTTCGTAAACACCCTGAAACAGACGAAATCAGTGCCGTCATAGATACGAATACATTGAAAAAAGGGGAAAAAATTTTCTGGGAATTTCTCCCTCTTGATTTTAAAATAATTTTATTGAATTGGTCTTGAACATTTCTAAATTAAAAACTTCACAAATCCTAAACATAGTGTACGGGTTTTTATGCTGGCCCCATTACTTTTTAACAGCACATATTTGAAGTTGAAGATATTGCAGCAAAATTCACTTTTCTAACTAAATTTCCTTGAGACTGGCAGATGGAGAGTTCAATTTTAAAAGCTCACCTTACTCGAGAAATTGTAAGGAACATCATATTAAAAAATTTCTAAATTTTGTCGACGCTGAATTACACAGTATTGTTTGCGTATTCCAGAGTTATCTAAAAGAAGTTGAAGACTAAGAATATCATAAAAAATTTTTCGGAAAACTTTCACAGCCGATAGTTTCATTCTTCTTATCTTATTCTTCTCTTATTTACATCTTTTCTTCCAACAGCAAACTGGACTTTTTCAACTTTCTGATTCAGAAAAATCAGAGAAAGTCTTGTTAGAGGGAATAAATTAATCAATAATAGATTTTAAAGAAAGCTAATCAGAAAGTAATGCAAACATTACAAATGTTAAAATCAAACCGTAGGTGAACCTCACAGACTCACGCTTACATACGTGACCAAAAACTTTTCCTTTTTTTAAAAATGTAAATACCAACCTTTGATATAAAAAATGACTGAGACATTTTTATCAACATTGAAACACTGAACATAAACGGTCAAGCTTATTCCTGTTGGATTTTGTTGCGTGCAATCATTTTCTAAGACTGGAGGCTAGCAATGCGCTATCAGTAGAACGCCTTGCTACTGTTGAAAGATTGTGAATTCAATTAACGCACTAGGAATTTTTTCAATCAATCCCGATTTAAGATCCTCCGCAAAGTATCCTCTTATATTTTGGAAACAGACAGCACTCGCTATAATATGATTAAAATGAAGTCTTGTGATGAGAAAAGTGTCGGGTACAATTTTTTGTAGAGTTGGAAGCTACTTTTGGAGATACAGCAATGCATCCTTTATATTTTTAGCCTATACAAAGGTATCTCTGAATGATAGGGAATGTAAACTTTAAAATGCTGTATTATGAAAAACAGCATTGAATTCTTTTTACCTCCATCAATAATTTCAGTGAATAAGTATGAATTCAAAGTCAAAAACTAAAGTTCTCTTTTACGCGCCAGAGCAACTACTCCGGAAGCACAACAGAAAAGCTTCTTGCTCGTCTGAGGTACTGAATGGTTTAATTTCAGTGATTGGTAACTTTGTTTTGAGATGTGCCACTTGGTGAAAATTCCTAAAGACTGCCAAAACATACTTCTGAAATAAAGTCTCCGATCCATTTAGTGGTGGCTAGTGCAAACATGACAGGAAGAGCAAATGTTATATTGCCAGTTGCCTCAATGACTACGACACTCAGACTAATGGTGCAGCGGACCATTCCTGCCAACTGCACAGCTGCTCCGACCAAGGCATATTTTCCTGGGATAATCCAATCCTATAAAAATGAAAAAAATTAATAAAAAGAAAGGCTCCTTACTTTCATTTCAGAGGTATAATTACTTTCTGTCGCCATTTCTATCCCTCGCGTTAAATTCTCCTAAGAGACCAGCAGTCGTTGGAGCCATGTTAATGCTTATGGCTCAAAACAGGCATGGTCCTGACAGAATCCACCACTGAATTTTCGAAGTTTTTTTCGGTTATATGGGGAAAGAGAAAACGCTTTAGTGCCTGAATAAATACATACTCTAACGATCTTTGAAGGCATCTCGTTGAAAAAATAATGAGGCAACTTAAAAAAAATTTGAAAAAATTATTGAAAGTAATTTCTGAATAAGATAATGACATTCTCCCATGAATAAATTAAAAGTTTCCATCCATGAAAAATTATTATCTATCCCTATTAAATCGCGCACTGACTTTTACAGCAACAGTCTCTGCAGTATGAAAATATGGCAACCTTAATCTTAGCGTTTCGGCTCAGCTGTTCCACATTGTTTACACTTTGAACAACACGGGGTGGGGGAGAAACACTGTTTGATTAAGGAGCCTTCCAAAACCATTGTAGTGCACAATTTGATTCTTTTAGACTCTGGTTTTTTGTGAGCAGAAAATTCATAGGTTTCGTAACCAGCGCTGAATAAAAACATTAATAAATTTCTTAGGAGTTCATTTCAGTAACTTTTGTCACTGCAAATCATGTTCTAGAAGACATTTTGAATAGGAAACACAGATCAGAATGCTTGAATTTGTAGCTTGTCTTGTGGTCCATTGTTCCAAATGGAAAATGAGAATCACAATCTTGAGAATTCCTGAGAAACAGAAAGTGGTACTAATCTGATACTTACAGCATGTGGAAAGAGATATTTAAGACCAATGCAGAAGAGCCGGCCCCACAGAGCACCAACAATGAGGTTTGGAATGAAAAGTCCGGCTGATATACTCAGTCCAGTCGTTAGAAGGATCATTATGGAATAAAGTAAGAGGTGTACCAAGAGGGGCACTGCTTGAAAGACAGCTAAAATTAAAAAATCAAGAGGAACGTTAACCATTGAATTGCATCAATTAGTATTTTGGTACTAATGAACTATCAAACAAGGGTGCAAAATCCACCTCTTGTCGTGGAATAGGTTGGATTTTAGTATAAAAGAAGAGTGAGAGAGCGAATTTGGCAATGACAACAATGCGCCAGGTATAGTACTCCAACTTCACTAGATATTGTTCATTGAATGCCCTTAAAAAAAGGCAAACTGCTTGAAAATGATGCTTAAAAATTGGTGCGAGGTTTGGTTTCTGTAACCGCCTCGCTTCTTGTAATTTTATGCTATATTGTAAAAAATCGGCATGCCTCCTAAAAACTATGAATAGCTCCGTAGTGGCTAGATTTGCCACCAGGGCAGATCATAAAATTTTGAAATGAAGTTGAAACATTAGGGTAAAGATATCTGCATCTGTTGTTAGTGGAAAACTTCAATGGCTCAGTAGGCATTTGCTAAGTTGGGCAGATTAACCCAAAAATCAGTGCAACTACATCAGATGCTGCCTAATTTTCTTCAATGATCTATGTATCAAACAGAAAACTAAGCATCTCTGAAACCTGAAAATTTGTGAGTATATTTTTTATAATCTGGGGTAAATTCTCAGAAAGTTCCACGGCGCTTAGTAAGTTAGTTCTCTGTTAAAAAAATAAATCATAATAGAAAATTAGATAATTCGAAATCCAGTTAAGCTGATTCTAGTTAAAGCCATCTAGTTTTAAAATGGTTGATTATGTTTCATGATTTAATAAAGGCATTTTTCAGTGACATCAGATTGAGCTGAGTTTTAAGTAATGTCACAGAGAGGGGAAAAGAATGGACATGAGGAAAAGTTTAACCTTACCAATGGGACTATGAAGTAAGTGTTTCAGCATATTTTCTTGAATTTGAAACCAAAAATAGGACTGAATATTGACTTCATTTTCTTTGCAGTTGACCTGGGACAAAAGGAAAGGTGAATACAATAAACAGGAATTTCTTTCATATAAAGTCTCGTGCAGGGCTTTCAAAAATTTCATCTTCCATCTACCGACAAAATTTTGGACAAATTCTAGATAATGGAAAGAATCTAGCATTACTTTTTCACTTTTTATTATTCATTTATGTGTGCTGTTGAAAAGGGTCTGCATTTTACGACCGTAACATCTCTGTTTTAAGTACATTTTTGAGACAGAGATGTTAACATGACATTATAATTTTACCAAATATGTATTTTCTACCCTTTTTCTAATTTGCTCACTTGCTTTTGTAAACTTTGTCTTATCGTGTCTTGCAGCCTTGCTGTTTTGACCTCATTTATGTTCGTATTTATTTATTTTTTTATTTATAAGAAATTGGTACATTAGCCTGAATGATAAAATGGGTTAATACAAGTCAAATTAGGAAAAATTACAAAACAAAGAATTTTACATTTAAAAACTCTTGCATAGTGAAGTATGCGATTTGTAAGAAGTGTTATTTTAATTTATTAATAAACAAATTTGGAGACTCAGTCTTGACGAAAATCTCTTTCAACTCCTAGGTAATTTGTTGAAATACCTGACTCCTCTAAATTCCAAACCATCCCAGTCCCAACCAGTATCAAAATTTCTCACTAAAATGTTTCTTGTTTCCATGTGACGGCTAATTTTACTTCTCTTGTTACTTATACATCCCATTTATACCGCTTCTTTGATTGTGATAAAAATGTACCAAGAAGGGACTGCCATGACTCGGAGCTCAGGGAAAAGCCTTCGACAAGACTGCAGGCTACCTTTTTTTGCAATTTTTTGGATAACTTTTTTTTGGGCTAATAGGATATCACTCACATGTATCATCATATCAAATTGATGAGGTTACCTTTTTTATTCAAGTTTGAATAATGAACCTTTTGATAACTTAGCAAATTTTTATTAAAAAGTATTGACAGCCGTTTTCCAGCTCTTAATACGCAATACTTTCTATGATTTTAGAATATTACAATCCATTTGATCCATATTAAGTATTTTTAGAATTGAAGGAAAACATACTTTTACCTTTTAAAAAACTGATATGTTTTCTGTTGAAAAATAAAAGCAAGGAATTTTGTTCACTTTAAAAATGTTTGAAAAACCATAAGCACTGCTTTGGTCTATAACATCCATTTTTCATTGGCAGATAATGTCCATCAGTGGCAGAAGTATATTTCAGGAAACCTTCCTAAAAAAAAGAACAAAATAGAATTGTAAGATTACCTGGACAGCATTGTCTGGTCTATAGTTGACTGGCAAACAGACATTTGACATGGCATAAATTGAAAACACTCCAAAATTAACTGTGATAAAAGCCACCATCATAGCTTCTAAAAACTTTTGCCATTTCTTCTTAATAAACCTGGGGAAAAATATCAGATTTAAAGCTAATACATAAACTGATAGCAAGTACAAAGTCACACATAGCTCCTGCTCCAGTAGCTTAATTTTCATTGAGAAATTCACTTATCGTTTCTAGGACTCTACCTCGTATCATGCGGCTAATATTTCAGGGCTGTTCTAACATCTTTACCCTCTCCAAAAAAGATGGATGATTATGGAGGCAACTTGAATTTGATCCCCCTTTGAGAGATAAGTCCCACCTCCTTCAGTTAAAAAGGATTTTTAGAGATAGAAGAAAATGCTGAAGAACAGCCTAAATAAGACTACTTTCACGTCACATTTTTAGAGGCACCCTCCACATTGCTATCCACGAAAGACTGTGAACTTCACTGTTTTCTTTGCATTAAAGAGGGCATTACAAATTGCTTTAAACAAAAATAAACGCTCTTAGTAGTTTTTTTTCAAAAAATAATGTGTCTTACAGTTACCTTCTCAAAAAGTAGCGCATTTGTGTGAAGAAAGAATACTATATGTAAACAAAAATTTAAATGCCCTCTAGCTTCACATTTCTCCCCCAAGTTCTCGTGTCTGCCTTTTCAGGGGCTCACTTCTGTGTTACTTTACAAATAAAATTGTCAACGTTACAATGAACCTTAAGAGTCATAGATGGATAATGTAACCTCAAATGCACAAACCTCACAACCTCAAATGCACCTCAAAGAGGAAATATACACTAAAGAACCACTGATTTTAAATTGAAGAAAAAATATTCATTTTGGGGAAAACATTGATTTGGATTTTGCTGCTACAAACATACTTCGATACGACAAAAAGAATACAAAACCAAGATCTTCTACTCGGGAGCATGGTTATCCAATAAAGATGGAAAAAGTGTCATCGACTGAAATAAAATCTAATAAAATCTGTACCTTGATCGAAAGACGGTGAGCCACATGTTTAGTTCAACACAAAGAGCACCGATCAATCCACCAATGGCACCCATCAAAATAAAGAGTGGAAGCTCAAATACCTCGTACCTTAACTCAGCATCCGAAAATTTACCAAAAAAAAATAATTCATCGTAAGCCATTTTCCCTGAGAAACAAGTAAAAATTCAGTTAGGTTAAAGTTCAGAAATTTTCTGAAACTCAATTTATCCATACAGATCAGCATTTTACAGCATCAATAAAGGTTTACAAAAATTTCCTCTTCAAAGTGGTGACTTTCTTTCTTTTCACTTTCAAGAACCCACAGCTCTTGCCATATGACACAACTGACATTGGCCCAATGAGAAAAGAACTCACTTTGTTTGTTTAAAAATTGTACAATTGTGTCACCTTCAATAAAAAATGAGCCTTCAATAAAAAATCACCTGACGATGAGCGTTAGCTCGAAACAGCTGTAGTGAAGTATCACCAACAATTTTTAGAAAAATCGGTAAGAAAAACTTTTACTAAAATTTCAAAATTTGAAAAAATGAGCCTTTGGAATTGAAATTATGAATGAATTGATTTGAATTTGATTGAAGTGAAACCTAAAAAGTTAGAATTTCATTAATTTAGAAATTTCTTTCCAAAAAAAAAAAAAAAATTAAATCCTTGATGGGTCACTTCAGCTCAAAGAAAGATTCACTTTTGAATAATTTACCGGAGCAATTAGAACACATCAGCAAATTGAAGGATGACAAAGATCTGGTAAATAGTCAACTGGAAAGCCAAGTGGCCCAACTGATTCTCCCCTCCAGCTTGTTCTAATCTGATTGCATGCGCACATCTATCAGGTCATCGGCAAAGAACTTCGTATGCAAAACAAGTTGATTATCAGTCGACTGCGCGGTTACTTGTATTTTATTTTTCTCATTTTTTATGATAGACATACACATTTTTTCGTTAAGTCACACCTGAGGCTGAACATCCAAACGCTTGAAATAAATATCATGTAGAATTTCATCTTCAACTTAAATTTGTGCAGAAAAAAGTGTAAGTTTAATCACTAGCTAGATCAAATCTGTGTTTAATGAAATATACTTAATGCATCAAAATCAATTCATTAAAAATAAAAGTCAATATGACAAGAGTTTTGAGTCTATCCGAATTGATTGAAAATAATAATCATCACTATAACTCACCAGAGTGTCCGTGATGCCAGCTCAGGAAAAAATTAAAAAAAAAGGCAGAGATGATACCGCAGATAAATATTCTCCACATGAGTAAAACGCTCCAAAAACTTGTACCCTCTTCTAAGCTCATGAGGACGCCACCTAAAAACAACGGACGTAACAAATTATTCTGCGACAAGATCATTCAAATCGTTTTAGACTTAAGTTGCATACCTCTAGACAGCCCGGTAAGGTGAAAAGAAATTTAAAATAGTAGCTCTATTGAGATTGGAAAGATAGATGAAAAAAGAATTTTCGACTCACAATTAGACCTTTGGTCTCTATAATTTTTAAAGAGCAATTTCTATGTTCTTTCTGTTGAAAGAACAGACTAAGAAGAAATCAAGTTCCCTGTCCTCTTTCTGCTTGGACTTCTCGTATGTATAATTTCATTTTTTAGGTAATGGACCACTAAACTCGATACAAATTGAAGCATTCTTAGAGCTGATCCCTCTTCAAAATTTCACGTAGAACACCATTAGCACAACGAATATTATTGAAAGTAACTCATAAATAAGATATTAATGTTTTCATTTAGCAGAAGTTATAAAAAATTTGAATTTCCAGCTCACAAAAAAAAAAAAAAAAAAAACAGAATCTACTTGAATCAAATCGCGGGCCACAACCGTTTTGGCAGGTTTCTCAAATCGGCAGTGTTTCTTTCCTGACCTGTGTTGTTCAAAGTGTGAACAACGTTCAACAGCTGAGCCAAAGCTCCGAGATTGAGGTTGTCATGTTTCCATACTGCAAAGACTGTCATGGTGACGTTTAGTGTGCAATTTAACTCGAGTAGATTAGGTATTGTTTCTTCTACGAGTTGAATTAATGTATCGAAAAAGTTGATATTTTGTTTAGCAGTTCCTTACAGTGAGTTTCGTTGTAAAAATTGTGTTCTATGTGAAATTTTGATGATAAAACAGACATAGGTAACAATGTTTAAATTTGCACCTTGTCTAGTGATTCATTGACAATTAGCTTCCCCAAGCTGGACGAATATATACGTCATCATAATAAGTCTGACTTGGGGATGGAGTAGGGGAAAATAGCTTTCCATGATCAAGGAGAAAGATTGGAGAAAGTATGACAGATAGATATTGGACTGTAAAGATTAATACCAATAGGTGCACCAAATGCAGCAGCTACACCAGCAGCTGCTCCCCCAGCAGAAAAGTCCCGTCTCTCTTTATCATTCTGGAAATAATTCATGTAACTGCTTATTTTTCGGTTTGGAATGTTCATTGAAGGGATCAAGCCACCTATTATTGTGCCGATATGAATCAGAGGTCCCTCCTGGAAATCACAAAAAAATAAAAGAAGCATTCAATTTAGTAAAAGCAAGGAAAAAAACGGCCCAAATATTCTCGCCTTAGGCCTTATCTTCTTGGGACGTTTTCAAAAGATTTGTCCCAGGATCAAAACACAGGAATGAAACTTCAGTGATTTTTTGCCGTTACCGTCTCCACAGGGCACGGCTCTCACATTACTGCAACAATTTTGCGTAGGAGGATAAATTACGAAATAAAAACCGAGTATTTAACCAGTATTAAGATAATAATTGAACAGAATTAACAATTGAACAATTTATTTGCACAACAAACGCAAAAAATTGAGTAAAAAACAAAATATGACACAATTTGCTTTCACTTTTTTTTACTCTCTCAGTTGGTCTTCAATCTCTGTAAGGAGTACAACTACCATACTTGATGCTGAGATTGGTATTGAGTTGGTCAATATTTTTTCCAATTTCGCAAGTGAGGCTTTTCCCTGGGACAAATCTCATAGAAATATTTCGAGGAGATAAGGCCTTCAATTTTTTTTGGTGACATCACAAAATTGCTCAGTTGTTGCATTCTATCGAAAGATTATGGCTGTGACACAACGCAACACCTACCCTTTCCTCTCATAACTCCTCTTATTAACTATGGATACTAAACCTTGCAAGATAAAATCCCCTTGTTCTGGAAATTGATAGACTTAAAAATTATAAAGATAGGAATCAATTTGAAAGAAAAATGGCTTCATGCGTGTAAATTCTGGATGATGCTTGATTTTCTGTTGATGATTATGGGAGCTAAAGGAGAGGGGACTTCCTTTGAATGCTGTCCATGCATTTAACTCTTATGCATCTGTGATTTTTATCTTAAAACAAAATTTCTGTGGTTTAATTCAGAGTTTAGTAAAGAATCATTCATTCAGTAAAATTACCTTTCCTGCACCAAGGCCAGCCACGACAGCACAGATTACGCCTGCAACTTTGCATACAAGAGTCTTCAACGTCATCATACGTGGCATTGAAACACCATTCAAGTAGCATAGTACTGCTGGAACTCCGCTTCCTGAGGACTCGGACTAAAAGAGGGCAAATATTTCAGGGTTGGATCATGGTTTTTAATTGAAAAACAAGGAATGTCTTTGAGGCAACTTTGGCATTTGAGACAAAATGGCGGAAAAGTGTTTCGTTGAAACTAGTTCCACTAAGACTACTGTTTTACCTTAAAAAAATAAAAAAAAAAAAATAAATAAAAAAAAAAAAACCTGACAAAACCCGTCAAGACCAAAGGCCTAGGAATAGCTGATAGGAGCAAACAATAATCCTTCTTTAAAAAGATTTCATAAAATCCTTACTTTGTTATCATCTTTTCCTTTCTTTAATTACATTTTAAACTCTGAGAAGAGACTTATCTTCTCAAACCAACAAATAGACGAGTTTTTCACCAATCAAGGGTTTTCGAAAACTTGCAATGTAGATATCTTTATGACTTTCAAATAATGTAACATAAATTTCTCAGAATTCCACGAAAGTAATACATAGAATATTTTGATAATATTTTTAGAGTAATATGACCATTTTCTTTTGGAGGTGGGGAATATTTTAATAATATTCGAAATATATTTCTGGAGTGTTCTAACAGCGGTAATAAATTCTCTCTGATTTCTCTTGTTGCATGTGTTATCAATTACGCGATAATGGATAAATGAAACTGAGCAGACTCACTTCAACATAGATTGCAAGGAATGAACCAATAGCAGTGGGAACCATTACCAGTAGACACCAGACAACATATAGATATATATAACAGTGTTCATGGCATTCATCAGTCACTGCAACAAAAGGAAAAGAAAGCCATGAATGAAGCTTCGTTAATATACATGAAAAAAAAAAAAAGCTAATTTAAACAGAGAGCTATTGCAATCTGAGCTTGAGAAAAGCATAACTTGATATTTTATGATATTTAATTCTGATATAACTCAGATTTTTATCTGTTATAAAGAGACTTAAGGATCTGAAAAATGAAAACCCCAAAGATGTATAAAGGACACTGTTCTCAGAACAGAAGGGAAACCATCAGAGGAGAGAGGCTCTTAAATTGAGTCTCATCTATTTTCTGGGATTCTAATGTACAAACTATCGTTTTAAATCTTTTGTAGAGGAAAGTTATATTTTATTTGAAAACTGAAGTAACAGGTGAAATAAGCATGAAGCTTTACACAGAAAATTTCATTAAAATAACCTTTCAGCACTTTATGTCATAATCTTAAACTTCTTGATACCTGTAAAACCTTCTGGCAATAACATTTAAAGATTTTCTTTAAATTTCCTGACAAGCACACTTCAGAACTTCATACCTCAGTTCGTTTTTGGGATCCTGTTTGGTTTAAAATGTTTGTTTATACACCTTTCGTACAGTGGTATGTGCGACTTACATTCAGAAATCCAGTCCTTTTTTGCAAATCCGATCAAATATCTTTTTCAATGAAGGAACATATCATGTTTAAATTATCACTGAATATAAATCAGATCAAAATGTTAATGCTTGCACTTATTTATTATGAGATGAAAAATATGTTATAAAATCTTGAATGCAGCAGTTATATCTTCATATAAGTTTAAGAGAGAAAAGATCACTTACAGACATGAAGGATACGATATTTTGGTTGGGTGAGGAATTGAATTGAAAAGTCTATGAAAAGGGTGATGAGACCCACTAACAGTCCGATGACCAGAAACAGTATATATCGGATGATATTGATCTGCATGATGTAATTGTAGCCTTTTGAGCGTTCTTCATCCACCACCAGCATATTTTCGCAAATGTCATAGTCAAGACTCTACAATAACATCAAAAACAATATTAAAATCGTGGCATCTTTAAGTTAATGCTCTCATCCAGTTGTATGAGGCGAGTAGAAAATAATTCTCTATTGCATGAGAACGTTTCCTCATAGACCATTTACCATTGACACTTAACCCTTAAAAATAAGATAATGGTGACACAATGTTTCATATTTTCTTTCTTAGTAAATTAAAATACAGTTAAAGACATTCTAATCTGGTCGTTGAAAATAATATACTTTTAGTTTCCTGAAATAAGGTGGTGTTTCTTACTCAATCAACTAGTTGTTCAAATCCTATATTGTCAAAGCAGCTATTGCTACTACTGCAGATATACAGCAGGAGACTTTTATTTTTTTGGAGATAAAACTAAATTCCTAGAAGAGGCAAGTAACTACAAAATTCTACAGTTTAAAACTGAATTTAAACGTTGGTAAAATCACCAACTTTTCATTATAAGTGCAAGTTACGATAATAAAATTCAATCATGCCAAAAAAAGGCAGTATTTTCAGCTTCTAGACAATATCTACATTAAGTACCTACACTATTCTGCCGAGGCAACTGAAAACTGCAAAAATTAGTTTTCCTGTGAACAAGTTACACTCTTCAGAGAGGCCAATAAATTCTGTTCATTATCTACTTATTCTACAATTCTATCGTTCAATTCTTATTAATTCAAGGTATAATAGCAAATTTACATTAGAAAAATACTTTGATTAAAATTAGAGTGGTAATTAGTGAAAAGAAAACTCATGGGTCAGGAAAAATGAATGAAAGCAGTAGGTAGGAGGCCCACCTCATATTTGGTCGATACGAAGTTGATTGACTTGGAGCGAGCTCTGATCAGACGAGTAGATGACACAGTAGATACAGAAGACTAAATCAGAAAACAAATTAACAATTACACCAGTTTTAAAAGTTTAGTTTAAGAAGTTCAGTTTTTAAAGTTCAGAAACACAGTAAAGAAAATTCCCTTTTCTAATAGCTTCATAAAATACCAGAGCGTTTGAAAATAACTAAATCTTGTTCCTTTTTTTACCTTAAAAGTTTCAGAGAGAGAGAGAGTAGTCTTTAAAGCAAAAAGAAAAATTTCTCAAGGGTACTATTTAAGCAGTACAGTGGCAAAGGTCGCAATAAATTGCGATTACACAGTAAAATTACGGCTGCCGCATCAGTGTTGTGTATGATACCTCCCCAACAATTGAAGGCACTCAGCTCTTGTTATTAAAATTCATAATGATGAAATTGAAGCAAGCTGCAAGTTTTCGTTGCATTGCAAATTCCAAGCAGACCCCCTAAACTCGGATTGGGAGGACGAGTGTTTGCTGAGAGAGAATCTGTGACGATAAACTCTTCAGAGGGCGCGCGCTCGTCCAGACGGTTCGCCGAGCCGTTTGACAAGCCCCATTGCAAGCATGTAATTGTCCCGCCAAATCGCCGAACCCGGCTGGCGCTGCTTGCACTGTTCTTATAAAGCTCGTCAAACGGCTTGGCAGGTCGTGTGAATGCGCCTTCACAAGCAACAAGTAGGGATTATGGTTACCCACCGCTGCTTTATCCCACTACGTATATCCTGGATGCATGCACATGTGCGAGGAAAGAAAAACTCTTACTTGACCTCTGGCATTCAGTTCTTGCAGTTTCATGAAGCAAAATGCTGATGTTCAATATGCTGTGATAAATAGCAGTTGGTTCCGGATTTTTATCTAAGAGAAATCAAATAGGTAAAAAACTTGTTAGTGCGATTAATAAGAAAGCTTGAAAACTAATGCACAAGTTTTTTCTTTCTCTTTTTACAGGAATGGCAAGAATATTGTTAATAAAAGCACAAGTGTGAATAATAATCCATCGCCCAGTCCTCTAATAAGATTATTGAATAATTATGTGCGTAAGATGCAGTGCCTGCACTGCAGTGACCTAAAAATTGGGTCTGAGGGACCGTTTAAATTGACCCTCCCTTGCACTGATTGCCTCAGAAATCCTCCTGTGCAATGAAGATCAGGCCACCCTTCGGAAATTACGCAATGGCTACACTTTAAGTAAATGGTGCTTGCCTTTGTAGTCTGGAAGATCGCTGTCATTTCGGTGTCCATATTCATAATGGACAAATTTTTGGAAATCGACAGAACTTTTCTCCCTGATCTCAAAACCCGTCCCTGGTAAAAATTGGCGATAGGAGCTGCGTTTCAAAATACCATAGGAATTCTTATAGCCGGCTAAAGAAGGCAATAGAAAATCATACAGCTGGCTGTAGAAAGCGGAGCAAATCATACGGCCGGGCTATACGAAGTGATAAAAAAATATACAGCCGGGCTATAGTTCCTATCGCCGGGCTTTACACTTTATCGCCATCGGCTATAAAAGGCTATAAGAAATTGTGTAGAAATTCGTGTCCTTTGGAAATCATTAAGTTTGATACGGAACCACCATAATATTTACAAAACACACATTATATTTTCCTTTAATACATATTCTTTTTATCCAAAAATCATCCGGATTCATCCGGAAATGGTGTGAACCGCGGTAGGTTCGGCACCCAAGATATATATTACGAATTATTAACAATTAAAGCGCGCACTGTAGTGAATGCGCAATGCGTGAAGTATTCTAACAGTCTTGTAGGCGCTAATATGCTTCTTACAGTTCTGACAGTGCGGTCACCGCGACGGTCGGCGCGGGAAGCACATTAGCGCCTACAAGACTGTATGAATACTTCACGCATTGCGCATTCACTACAGTGTGCGCTTCAATTATTAAAAATTCGTAATATATATCGTGGGTGCCGGACCTACCGCGGTCCACACCATTTCCGACCGGCCCAAAGCTTTTGGCAAAAGCTCCGGCCGGGAAAAGCGCGATTTCAAGCAAAATTCGACTTTCTCTGCAGCGAAGAACTACTGCGATATCTCATAAACTGGAAGTCTAAAATTAATACATGTATAGTGTTTCTCACAAGAAATTTTGTGCTCTTCATGAAAGGTCCAATGGCATTTTTCCGTGGGATTGATTGTTTTAAGATATAAGCGAAAACCCGGTCGCCGGTAGTGTATTTTGGCCCCCGGGCCGGCTTTTTTCGAGCTGGTGGCCTTAAAGCGGACAGCCGATTCCGGTAAACTTTAGCCAAGTTGTTATGGTGGCCTAATGCAACATGTTTTCGCAAAGAAACCTTCTATGCGTAGGTATATTTATTTTCCCAGATTGCTCTCTTTTAGAGCTAATTTGACTGGACTAAAGGCCGCGAGGTTGCATAATAGTAGTACTCCTGAGTACTACTCAAAATCAAGAACTCATACTTAAATGTGCTTAAATGAAAAAAAGGCATGCGAAACAAACCCTTTTTTTTTTGGCTGGATAAAGTTTTTGCATTAAACCAAATGGGAACAAAGATGCCAAAGATGCTGCATGCACATCGTTTTATTCTAAATTGCGTGAAAAGTGCAGTGAGTATTAAGATTAAGGTATCCCAACAACGTGTAACACAATTTGACCTCCACAGCCATTGATACAAGATGCGCACGCAAAACGCACACCTCCATAGGGCATAAGCCTTTATTTTAACAATGTGAGGCACAGTTTTTCCACGGTAACTATAATTTTTGCATTTCTTGCTCTTCCTTTAGGTGCTTCTCGAGCTCTACATGGGGAAATGCGACGAGAGATAGTGCACTGACGTAACCTTCCTCACATCACTAAGATGCCAATGCTCGCGAAATGAGAGACTAGGAGTGCAGGGGGTGGCCCACAGTGGGAAAGTGGGGGGGGGGGGGAGGCATAGAATTGGATGGCGGTGGGGGCGCACTTGCGTGCCACTAGCAAGTTGAAACAGCCTGCCAATGGTTGGTCATACTTTTGCTCCTCGAAAACGACAACAAAAAACAACTCTCTCCTTTGAATAAATTACTTGATATTTTTCACCATGGCAGAAAATGTTTCATGGAATTTCAACAACTCACTCAAGTGCTTGAGTTGTAGAGCGGGGTGCGTTTGTGTGGGTATGCGTTAAACACACATATCGACGGTGTAAGTCGGCAATCACTTAACTCGTTTGCGGTGTCTGCCTCTATCTCCGCCTCTTTAATATTTTTTTAAAGGAGAACAAATTGACATCATTTCTTCAAGTTTTTGCAGAATTTTCTTCACATATAGAGAAGAAAAATCACGACAGTTTTTAAGAATTGCCGTTGAGTAGTTTCCCGTTTAAAAAATAAAGTATGATGGGAAGTCTGCGACGTCGCAAACCGAGTAATGTGATTGCCGACTTACACCGTCGATATGTACGGATGGAGTTTTCCCCCAAAAGTTTCGCGCCATTGTAAGTAATTTCCGGTCTCAATTGGACGTATTTCTATCAAACGGAACTAAGCGCCATAGGAGAAGGAAGGGAGAGGGGAGCTTGGATTGGCGGGTGTTGAGGAACGCGATGCTCGTTCCGTCCTATACTCGTAATGCTTTTCCATGGCACTTAGTTCCGTTTGACAGAACGCGCTTTCCGGGATTCGAAAATCCTCAAAAGGAATTCAATTTGGCGCTTAGTTCCTCTTAACAGAGATACGTCCAATTGGTTGAGACCTTTGGCGGCATGGGCGGAAAGAGGGGGCCAGGAAGAGGGGTTGCCCTCCTCCTTAGAAATCTATTCAGCCTCACCAAAGGGATTTGAGGTGCTTTACTGGGTAAGTATGTGCCATCCTTTCATCTTTGAAATCGTGATTGGATCAACTTTTCGGCGAGATCAGCTAAAAGTCGCTCCTGGGAAGTCTCAATTTATCAACATTTTCTAGGAGAGGTCCCTAGGGCCTCTCTGATGCTAGGGAAATCCCCCAAACCTTCCTTTGAAGCTGAAGGAGTCTCGCAGCAGATCTTCTTTAAAGGCGTGTATTCGTGTACCCCCACATCCCCCTTGATAAGGTGCGGTGCCCTTCTGGCCCCCCATGAAAAGGTCCTCGATCTACCTATGTTTGACTGCTATTTGCCCCGAATCTTTAAATACCATGGCTCCTATAACAAAGAGCGCTAAGCGGGGAGTTTGGCTCGTAAATTCGGACGGAAGGTCCACTTTGAATCGCCCGCAAGGAAGAAGATGGAGAGCGAAGACTCTTGTGCATTGTGCAGAAGGGAGGGGTTAAAAGGACCTACTCCTGGATTAAAATATCTGAAAAACTGTTTTGTTCGATAAACAGGAACATACCCATTCTCTCCCCTGCTAAGAACGATCATGTTGGTGCAATGGTACCATGGTGGTAGGTGCCACGTTGGTGAGTGAAACATGGTACCCTGATGACGCAATCATGATATTAACTGGGTCTCAACACTATCCTGTGTTGGAACCATATTGGTTACTTTGACCAAGTTGGTACCGTGTTGGTTGCTGGTCCCAAAATAAATCCGACACGGAGGCCGCACAAGAATATTTCAAATGAACAGAGCAATTAATTGACTCACTTGCACCACGTTGATACCATGTTTCACTCATCGACGTGGTTTAGCAGGTCGGAGCGGTTAATTCAATTGGAAACAAGCTAAATGCCACAGATTTGCCCTGGAAAGTGAACCAACTGACACTCGCGTAGCGAGCGATCGGAGTCCATCTTCTGGAGCTTCGAGCTGGACTTCAAGGCAGCCTAATGAACGGTGCGGTAGAGTATCGATTATTCGCGCCGCAGTTATCCGCGATTCGTTTTATCCGCGGTCAAGTTGGGCAGCTTTTCTTTAGTTTGTTTTTCTCTTCAATGCAAATTCACGCTTCGAACGCTCTGTCAAAAACATTTTCCGCTAATTATGTTTCCACATTCAACAGAAGAAAATATTTGTCTACTCTTGGATGAGAATTATATTCCTCAGATGAGGTCTTTCCAATTTTGTGATTTCTATCAGCCGCGTTGTGTAGTGATGGACTAACCACTATTTCCGAATATCCGCGATGCCTCCGATGCCAATCATCGCGGATAATCGGGACCCTGCTGTAATTACCTACTGAGGACACAAATGAAAACTGCTCAATTGCAGTGGTTGCGAGGAGGGGGGCGGGGGGGGGGGGGGGGGGGGGTGTCAGCATTCAAGTACATGACAACCGTGAGTCGATTGAGAAGAAATCGGGAAGCAAGCTTACATTTCTAAAGGATGAATGGCCTTGTCGTCTGGTGCATTTGATCTTGACTTCCACGACACCGTTTTCGAACACGAGGTTTTTTCTGCGGAATCCGTAGACTGCGACCGCATGCACTTGATTTAGATATTTTACTCGTTCACGGTCAAAACGTTCAAAAAGCTCCTATCACCCGTGGGAGGCGGGATTTGTGGATCATAGTGCGCAGGACAAAGGATGCGGAGCGAGATAAGAAACGAAACAATTGCGGGTCCAGCGTAAGAAGTAGGGAACATCCACGGTAGAACGGACGCAACCCCGAGTTGTACTGAGAACAGACGAAAAATTAGCAACTAGGTCCCAGTTCAATGAGCAGGGACTTCAAGGGGACACAGGCATAGATTACTCAACATTCGATGTTTTGACTTGTCTCAAAATAAATTAATTAGCGTTGCCAAACTTATAGGTAACCTTTCCTGCGGTGCTCATACCACGAGCGGAATTATTACACTCCTCACTAGCTTGCTGCCACCGGCTGACGTAATCATTATGGTAATAGCACATCTTGATGAAGACTTTTTTTTCGCATTTCAAAAATAGTGATGTGAAAACCTACCGCATTCCTTAGCGCTGTTTTTAACTTTCCTCAGGTATGTCCTCATTTTACCTAGTAGCAATGGCTGTTGAGAAAAGTTGTAAAAAGCTCGTAAATTTTAAGAGAACTTAAAATTTACTTCAAAACCACTTGAAAATAACGTAAAAACTCTTGAAATATTCGTATCAGGAAACTCTTTTTGAGGCTTTTTTACATACTTAAAACTGAAGAAAAATTTTTAGTATAATTTACGTATTTTTTTATGAACTTCCTGCGGGCAAAAACGAGGAAAAAAGTGGTGAACAGAAAAGTATAAAAGGAAAAGTTGCAGCCCATAAAAATTGAGGATATAGCTTGTTGATTTTTACGTGCATTTTACGTTCTCTTTTAATTGAATTAACACTATTTTTTTTTATTTAAAAGAATTCCCCAAAAGGGTTTCCTAAAAAGAGTATTTTAGGAGTTTTTTTACTTAAAATTTACAAGTTTTTCACATTTTTTTTGACAACTTTTCGTACAATTTTTTTAAAGAGCCATTGCTACTACGGCACTTATCCGGACGATATCCGGTTTCCGGTGTCCGATCGCGTAATCTATTGGACTAAGTTCCGGTGTCTGACCACGGCATTTCCCTGTCCGATATTCGTTAGGCCTTGTCGCCACGAGTCGTTTCATGGGATTTGTCCCAGGGAAAAATCCCACTTACGGAGTCGGGAAAAATATTGAGTTGATCAATATTTTTCCCAGTACCAAGTATACAGCCCTTGTACCCCTGTAAGGCCTTTGTCTCCACGGAACGTTTTCGTGGGATTTGTCTCTACTTCGAATCGCAGGAATGAAACTTTTGGGATTTTTCCCAGTTATCGTCATCACGTGACGGGTCTCATACGGTTCTGTGACAAGCTTGCGTGGGAAGATCAGTTTATAAAAATCGAGTGATTAACCGCGATTAAAGTAATAATTGAACACGATTGACAATTAGACTCATTATTTTAAGTAAGCAAACACGAGCAGTGGAGTACTTAACCGACAAAATATCGTATCATTCGCTTTCACTTTTTCTTTCTCTCTCAGTTGGTCCTAGGGGTACAAGGACCATACTGCTTGATGCTGGGAAAATATTGATTAACTTAATATTTTTCCCTGGGACAAATCCCGTGAAACGGCTCGTGGAGACAAGGCTCAAGAGCACCTGAGAGAGGAAGAAGAAATGAAAGCGAACTGTGCGATATTTGGTTGGTTACTTTATTGTTCGTGTTTTTTTGCTTAAAATAATGTGTCTAATTGTCAATCGTGTTCAATGATTATTTTAATCCCGCTTAAATACTCAATTTTTACTAACTCATCTTCCCGCGCAAACTTGTAGGACCGTATGAGTCCCGTCCCGCCGCACAGTGGATCGAGTGGATGGGAGCTAGATCGGACAAAATTTGAAAACTGTAAAAGCTTATAACTCCGTTCATATAAAATTATGAGGTTCTAAAAGTGGTTTCATTGGTTACCTTGTAAAATTTTCTTCTTAAAGCCATGGCCGGATTTACCTACTTGCCGCCCATGGGCCGCATGTATTTTGCCGCCCTATCTTCTCATTCATTTTGAAACATCAATAAAAACCATCAAGTGAACGTGCCGGAGGGAGAAGGGTGCATAAGACACGTTCACTCGTGTTGAACACATTTTTTGCATAAGCCCTGTCAACACTACTAGCAAAATTTCACGGAACTTCGCGCCAAAGTTCAGTTCCGTAAACCTATCTCTGGGTGGGCAAGGCCTTTCATTTGTAAGAAATGAACTAAAATTTAAGAAAGAACAGACATAAATGCGGTTTAAGAATTTTAACTTCCGCCGCCGTGCCGCAATGCGTGAAGTATTCATGTAGTCTTGTAGGCGCTGTGCGTTTCACGCGTCACGCCGCCGCGCCGACCGCTGTTGACCGTACTGTGTTTGACGCAATGCGTGAAGTATTCATGCAGTCTTGTAGGCGCTAATGTGTGTTACATGCCGACCGCCGAGCCGAGGGCTTCTCCTTTTCATCTCAAGTCCTCGTCATCATTGCTCTCTACGCCGCGCCGCTCCAGGCCAAATTACGTGTTTGATTTTTCTCTTAACTCAACTAATTAAAGGTGCGCAGTCTTTAGTACCACCGAAGGACGACAAAATTAGAAATTAATGTACTCTCAGGAAATGAGAGATTTTGTCACCTTATCTTGTTAGTGATTTTTTTCCGAATCCGATTTTTTTGTACCTGCATTTGAAAAAATTCCAAAATTTGCCGCCCCCTAATTTTGCCGCCATGGGCCGCGGCCCATATGGCCACCACCTTAATTCGGCCCTGCAATTGAAGCACCTCTTTAAATTTAATATGTGACGAATTATACATAAAAATTTTCAATTTTAGTAAAAAATTCCATGTCCGACCTCACTAGTTTACTCGATCCACTGTGCGCCGTCCCGTGGAGACGGCAACTGCGAAAAATCCCAAAAGTTTCACTCCTGCGATTCGTACCAGGGACGAATCCGATGAAAACATCGCTTGGAGACAACAAGGCCCTATCCAACGAAAGATGTACCTATCTGGGAGCGACATCTATCCGGCCGATATCCAGTTTCCGGTGTCTGATCGTATCATTCGTAAGGCCGATTTCCGGTTTCCGGTATTCGATTGCGTCATCTGTGGGACCAATTTCCGGGACCTGGCCATAGCATTTACCTGGCCGATATCATTATTGACTTATAACACAATCTAGATCGCGCACTAGGCCCGACTTTAGGCGGGGGAGATAAGACAGCTAGGGGGGTAAATCAGGGTAAAGACGCGCCTTCAGCTTAGTTGATACAGCCGGATATACGAAGCGTAACAGGCGACGGCATGCACAGGCAAGACTGGCATTTCCATTGTCTCGGTACATATTGGCTTGCTATATGTACCGATACAATCCGGGTTGCCTATCGTCTCGCCGAAATTTCCTAATGCGCGATCTAGATTGTATTATACGTCAATGGCCGATATCCAGCATCCACCAAAATATATATCAGATCAATATCCGGTTCCACTGCCTGATCGCGTCATTCATGAGGCCGATTTCCGCTTTCCAGTAGTATCCGATCGCGTCATTTGTCAAACCAATTTCCGGTTTCCGCTGTCCTTGATCCCGAAAAATAGCATCAGGCCGTGCTTTGGGATTGATTTTGTTTCACCTATTTTTAATGACTTTGAAAATGTGCTTTTTTGATAGACATGGAACGTGTAATAACAGTTCCAAAAACTGTGACGGTTGAGCATAACCCCTGGCTGATTTGTCATGAAATGACCCCAAAACCAAAAGCTGATTTTCTACGTGTTTCCTGAGTCACTTTAAAAAGATATTTTAAATCATTGGAAATCTGAAGCCCATCTCAGTTACAATTTTGTTCTAAGCATTAAAAGGGGCAGGGGGGGGGGGAGGGCAATTTTTTTTTCAAAAACTAATCAGCACAACTCAAGGTGCTTCTGTATTGTGTGTTAAGACTCCAAAAATGGGGGCTCTTGCTGAATTTTGGCATGCTTAAAAAGTATTATCAAACCGGCAAAAGTATTTTAAATTGTTATTTTTTAACGGATTAAAAAGATGATAGGTACCAGAATAGAATTTTAGTTTGATACCGAGGTGCAATGTTTCCCCCTACACTATTTCAAAATTTGAAAGACCATATACTTGGTCCGAAATAAAAATGCAATATAAAATGAGGAAGGAGAGGGAGAACGAAAATAGAAACCTATGTTGCACAGCAAATTAAGAAAATAAAACTTGCAATCTCTCGAAGTACTAGACACAGACTAGTTATCCTCAAGTAGACACAGATGAATATAAAAGAATATTTCATCCCTTGTGATACATCTGTCATCCCTGATTTACTTCTGATGTATAAATCAAGATATAGTATGGATTAGCCTGCTCCTTGGTCCTCGTAAAGTTAACCAAAGATCAATTTATCTTGTCATCAATGTGCAAATGTCCGTGAAAACCCAACACATACGATTGAATGTCCTGAAAAATGTTTGAAGAATTTTTAAGATTCTAAAATACCCAAGGAGTAAATTGTCAGGATAAAAAATGCTCCCATCAGTGATTCATGAAATGGAATTTAAAGTACTTGAGAGCAAAAATTAAAGATAGTGATCCGACCTGCCTGGAATGACGGTTGCAAACCTGAAAAGCCCTTATCATACCATCAAAGTAGAGCTCTCAAAGTGGCGTTACGTGCAGTCACATGACCCTCCATTGCCCTCAAAGATTGTCGAGCCAACAATCTTTGAGGGTCACATGACCCCACGTGACGCCACTTTGAGAGCACTACTTTGATTGTATGAAACGGGCTAAATGGAATTAAGATAAGATTAAAATTTTACGTGAGTGCCATTACCTGTCGAATCACTGATTTGCTGTAGGTTGCATTCCTCCGACTCCGTTCGTTCCATCATTATTGAGCAGATGATGAGACTTGTGAGGAAAATATCAAATTTTGGCTTGAGCAATCTCTGTTAAATATACAGTTGAAACTTGGGAAATGAACTGATCCATTATTGTGAACTGGGGTAAGTAAGTACCTGTGAAGATGTCAAACAAAATGATTATGATGAGAAAGAATAAATGAAAGTATGCAATATGTTTTTTTATCGGAAGAATTGTTGGCGAAAAGCGTCAGCTGTTTTGTAAAGTTTTGATTCCTCCAGTTTTTCATTTCTCAGTTTCAGTTCGGTATGATACCTTGCCCATAAAGGTGGTATGGAAAGAAATAACACTCGGAGGACGCTTTTAGATCACCTTTATGGGCAAGGTATCATACCGAACTGAAACTGAGAAATGAAAAACTGGAGGAATCAAAACTTTACAAAACAGCTGACGCTTTATTATCCTTCATCATTTGTCCACAGGTGATCAGCCAGCAGATCTGCTCACGAAGCCTCTACCAACTCCGACCTTCTTGAAATTCAGAGCTGAATTTGGGCTCCAATCAGCCAGTACCGAGTGAGAGATTTGATGAGGTTTTCATCTGGGTTTCCCTCATCCTTGCAACGAATGTTGAATCTATTTTCTTTTCTTCCCAGATATTAGATAAAGTTAATTTTTTTTTGACGTTTTAAACCCCCCCCCCCAAAAAAAAAAAAAAAAAAAGTCAAATTTACATTTCAAATTTACATTTCATTTTTCAATGTCAAAATTTAATCCCCAAGTTAAATTTTGAGGGGGCGTGTTGGCGAAAAGCGTCAGCTGTTTTGTAAAGTTTTGATTCCTCCAGTTTTTCATTTCTCAGTTTCAGTTCGGTATGATACCTTGCCCATAAAGGTGATCTAAAAGCGTCCTCCGAGTGTTATTTCTTTCCATACCACCTTTAGCTTTTACCTTTAGCCTTTAAGAATAACAACATTAATGCTTTACTTTTAAGTTGCATATCAAAATAGGAAAAGTCTGTTTAAAGGGAATCATGTTTTTGGAAAACAGCATTGCAAACATGCTGGGACCATGTTTACTTGATGACAAGTAAGTGTATAATTATAGTTGGAGAGTATCGACACTGGTGCGCCCTGTGCCAGTACAATTCAGAAGACTACCCACCAAATAGCAAAGAGTAAAGTATTAAGAAGGAAAAATGGTCATCGCTGACAAAGTAATTTGTGATAATAGAGCTATGATGCGCATAAGGTTTGTGTGCAACTTTGTTCCTTTCAGCTTGAATAGGTCAAATTATAACTTATGTATTGAAGAGTAATTTCAACATGGAAAGGAGTGAGATACAAGTGAATGGTTGCCGATTTTTACAGGGAATTGAGTAGAAGGAAATAAAAAGAGAGAAATGTTTCATGGGCAACCAAAGATTTTAGTTAGATTTATTCACAGCAATGCCCTCTTGATGACAGTAACATTCCATTTTCAACTAATCGGGCAAAGTAACACTGAATTCTGGTTAGGTACTTTGGTCATAATTTTTAAAGAAAAGGGAGATTTTTTGTAGTATGTATATTTAGTCCACTTACTTACTTTCTGTGACAATCAAGACAGGGATAGGTAAGTACATGTTGATGAAAAGCAGGTGCGTAATGATTTGCAACAGGTCTAGAGGATGTTGAGTTCGGAAAAGTCGTAGATTATTCATGTGCACGAAAAGATACTTCGATCTAACACTGACAAGCTAAAATGAACGTAATCATGCAAAACAGAACAACGTGCAAATTAATTGAGTAGAAAGGAACTGACTACCTCGGCCGGCATGACTCGATTAGAGGTTAGATTTTTCTCCAACCATAACAAACACTAAAACAGGGAGACAGAAACATTGATTACAAAGTGGTAATCAGTACTTTAAAAACGCCGAATTTATTTTATGTAAGGAAAACATCGGAGATCTTCGAGTGAAAGCGGACCTTTCTTATTTTTCCTTTCCAAAAGTGTTTGCCGAGCGGAGGATGAGCAACGAGGGTTCTTCGAAATTCGCGGTTTTTATCGACGGTGGCGCACTCTCGTTGACCTAGCCGGGACTTCTGTGGAGCCACCACAAGGCGTAACATTGCTGCCAGCTTCACATAATAAATGAATTACGATTTATATAATTTTACCAATTTTATCTTCATGTCCTGAATTTTAAAATTTCCTTTCCAAAGATGTGTTCTTCATTCGTTCTTTTAAATAGTTGCTTCAAAATTTGAAAGAGATGGAAATTAAGTAATTTAAATTTTAAAACAAATTTAATTAAGAAATAAATGCGATGACTTGGTAACAACGTTAAATCTCGATTTCTCGAGGTAAACAGTGGCTGTGATGTGCCAATACCATCTACCCATACCTGGCCATTGGAGAATACGTGTGAGAGTGTGTGAGTAATAGCTCCCGACGTAGACCTAGCGGCCATAGCGCAAACGGTCGTTTCTTCATCGAGCTCCACTTCAACATCACGTGGAAATGTGAATTATTTTAGTTTTTCTCATTATTTTGGTGTCAGGACTTATGGAATCATGAAGTTTAAGGTAAAATGTGCAAATTGTCAGGTCTTAGTAAAGGACAACACCCCAAAAAGTTGCTTAACGGCTCTGGGGTTCTACATAGACATTATAGTTCTTCTAGCGAATCCAAGAGATACTCTTATATTCAGCTTCTTTATCTCTACCCATTCTAAATTTTTCTTGAATGGAATGTAACAAAATGTGTTACAAAATAAAATTTCTACCTTTAAATCATAAGAGTTGAAGTGGTCCCCCCCCCCTCCTTCAAATAAATACTAACTTGCACCGAAATAAGGTGAAAAAACCAATTTTTCTCAAAGGGGCATGTATTTAGGAGTCTATTTTACTCGCTACTTTGCGGTTGGGACCTAAACTAGCATCACTCAGCGTCAGGAAGACATCTCGCTTCACGAACCAAATCTTGTGGATGATCACTTGCCTTGTATTCCCCATATGACTCCACCACCATTATTAAATATTTTTTTTCTTCCATTAAAACGCAATTCGGTCGCATATATTTAGCTCAATCGGTCTACCTAGCTTAGAGCCTTCGTAACAAATTTTTTCCCCCGCATTCAAGCACTTTTTATGTAAAAAGAATCAATTTTTGTAAGTTCGCCCTATACAATCCCGTGTATTCTCGGGAGTTACGAACATTTAACCTCAAACCCATGGCCAGGTATGGGTAGATGGTATTGGATGTGCCCTCTTTTACAATTTTTTCCTTTTTATTTTTAATATTTATTTAGTATTCCAAGTCATTCTCATTTTGTTAGTGAATTTATGTTTTTCGCCAGTTATTTTCTGTGTCCGAGCAAGTGAGCCATCATTTAATAGTGGACTCGACTCTTAAAATCACGAACGTCATGCTGGTATCAGAGCCTGATTTTGAAAACTCCAATTCCAAGCAACCTGCTGAAAATACGTGGGTAAAACTAAATGTAGGGGGAACTTATTTTCTCACAACTAAAACTACTCTCTCCAGGGATCCCAACTCATTTTTGTATCGACTGTGTCAGGAGAATGCTCAGCTGATATCTGATAGAGTAAGTGTACGTCTTCCCGTCGCTTTAATTTCACCCACAAGGTATTCTTCTACGTGAGTGTCTCAATCAAGGTTCAGGAATTTATTAGCGCATTGACAAATACAGCAGTACCTGCAAAATCAAGTTTTAAGGAGACTCTCGTAGAGTTAATGCTACAGAACCAAATTCTGTTCTTCTAAGATAAAGGACAATTGACCCATGGTAGATTTATCTCCATGGGCCTCTCCAAACTTTTGCTAGAGCAGAAATAAAAGTTTTTTTATTAGTTATTGTCTCAAAAATCACAATGTGTGCCTTGGCAACGTTTTAAATGCACTCCTAACTTCACAACGTGCTCAAGAAATTTGCGTTTTTTTGAGCTCACCGCTTCTAAAACGATACTACGACCCAGGTGAACATTTCGTCAGAGGTGTTGTTCCATCCAACTCCTGTGCACTAGGATACTGCATAATATCCAACATGGCTGACACCAATGCGCCTAAACGTTTGTGCCTGGATGAGATTCTAACCATTTGTCAACAACCCACCGAGTATACATTCATGATTTCTTCGCGTTGATAAAGCTCCGCTTTTGTTGACTTTGTGCTCCTGATTGTGTTTTGCGCCCAGAAGTGTCGGCTTTGTTGAGTATTGCTCTTGTGAAAGGGTTGAATGGAATGACTCATCTAACGCAATGTTCACCTGTGTTGTAATATTGTTTTTGAAGCAGGAAGCTAAAAAAAACGCGAATTTTTCACGCAGATTGTGAAGGTAGAAGTGCATTTCAAACTTTGCCAATGCACTCATCATTATTTTTGAGACATTTATTGATAAATATAACTCTTATTTTTATTGTACCTAGCCAAAGAGTGCGACAGGCCCATAGTTTTTATGAAGCATTTTCTGTCGCATTCTCAAAATCTTTATTATTACAAAGTTTGACTATCACTATTTTTCTGCTTTCCAGGCAGTTAACATAACTAAGCTTTTAAATTTTACTTTGAAGGTCTTATGCATTTTGAACAATTAACCCTTGTGAAAACATAGCCTTTCAACTCGAGATCTTGGTGTAAATAATCATTACTTACGACATTAAATTTTAAGATGAACTTTGTTTCAGGATGAAACTGGTGCCTACTTAATTGACAGGGATCCAACATACTTCAGCCCTATTTTGAACTACTTGCGTCATGGGAAACTAGTTATCAATAAAAATCTAGCTGAAGAAGGTATGTATCATTATCTTCATGGGCCCAGATTTTTGACATAATCAATGCGATTCATTGCATACCAGTTTGACCATGTCAGAAACAACAAATCACCTAAACTGTCTTTTCTATTAGATTATAACTTCTCTAGCATTTGATATCTCTTTCAGTCCAGATTTTATCAACAGTGCTGAAAGTTATATATACTCTAACTTGTACATTCTGCAGTTTATATGTATCCCTTTTGAAGTTCATGATCATTGTATTTGATCTGAATGTTCTAGGGGATGAGGAATTGTCTGTAACAGGGGAAGAGGGGATTGAAACTCAAAAAGCACGAAGAATACCAAATCAGTGCCTAGACGACGGGCCTCTTTTAGTTTTTTCCTGTGTTCAAGAGGCAAGGCAGTCTAAATCACCCTAAATATTGACTGACCCACTGAAATTCTTCCTAATGTTCCCACCTGCTTGTCTACCTTTGGATCTAATTTTAGTAAATTATGTGGTGAGAGTTCAAGTCATCACTTATCAACTTGACTTTGGTTGCTTGGTTTCATAACTGAGCTACAATTTCTTTAATCTTAGACTCAGTTGAGCATACATACCTATTTAAACAACAAAGCTGATAGCCTTGCTTTAGAGATCTTGCCTTTTTTTATCTTTTTGATGTTGTCTTTTCATCAATAATGAGAAAGGTTTTCATAAAATTGACATTTTTTACCAAGTGCACTGTATCCACATAAATGAAAATTTTGCAGGTGTTGGAAAAAAAATGAATTCACGATATGAATGGGATCTTTGGAGTGAATTGATAACAAAGATACCCTTCATTTTTAAATCAGACGGATTTTAAATGATACTGCTGAAGTCTAAAACCTACCAAAAACATGTTGAAAAGGGAGCTTCTGCTTTGTATCACCCTCTTCCATTGTCTGTGATCTCTCCAGAAAAGTTTTTAAATTTTGATTGGGGTACGTTTGCAGGAGTACTGGAAGAAGCTGAATTTTACAATATCACAGAATTAATTCGACTTGTGAAAGAAAAAATCAGTTTGAGAGATAGTTTCTCTTTAAGAGATTCAAAGAAGCATGTTTACCGGGTGATCCAGTGTCATGAAGAGGAACTCACTCAGATGGTCTCCACGTTGTCGGATGGATGGAGATTTGAGCAGGTAATTTTAATTATTTGTAGTATGCGATAGTAAATTCTTCCTGAATATATCAGCAAATTTGTCAAGGTTTTTTGATTTTCGTATTTATTCATTTTTCAAAAGTTTCAAGGAAGGATCATGTTAAAAGTAAAAAAATCAACAACTAAAATTATGGGCGCCAAAAAAAATATAGTAGACGTACGATTTTTTGAAAAAAAAAAACTTGTCTGAAGTGGTCATGTACAAAACATACAGAATAGTAGGTTGCCAAAGAAGGTTCTGGACTGGGTCTCCTTGGTTGAAAACGTAGAGGACATCCTGTCAAATCATGGATTGATGCCAGCCATTAAGGAATTGAGGAGATGGTATCCTACCAGTTTTTCTCTAGCAAGATGGCTGCGAGTGATGGTTGAGTATCAAAGAGCGCACAGGAAGGCCATGAAAGTGGCAATTACGTATCATTTTTTTATATTCTTCCTTGATAAACGAGTGTACACTTGAAACTTTTTGTTCTGACTGTTCGAAAGTATGGACTTGGACCTTCAGTTTAACAGCTTGCTCTCACTTTTCATTTCAGACAAGATCAATGTTATGAACAGTCGAAATGTATTAAAATGTTTAACATAGGATGATTTAATTAATATACTATACTTTTCTCATTCCAAAGTTACTGAAAGACAATCAGCGATGAAACATATGCCTATCTCTTCAAATTTGGCATTGTATAATTTAAAAGTCTTCAATAAAGTCTCTTGCTCATGAGAAAAGCAGTTCAATGATATAAGAATTTATTAAAATTAGCTTATCCAAATTTCATTACTCATATTTAATTTCTTTTTATGTATTTCAGATGATAAATATTGGGTCACAATATAACTACGGTAATGCAGATCATGCTGAATTTTTATGTGTTGTATCAAGAGAATTAGGTGCAACAACTAACTGCAAAGAAACAGAGCCTACTGATCGAGCAAAAGTAAGTGCCTGCTTTGGAATCAAAGTTCACTCCTTCAGAATAGCAGCCAGTCAGAGCTTTGATAGTTTCAATTTCATTTGACAACCATGATGGTTGAACCATTTCATGTATTTGTGACCGTCCATAGTGACAAGGGACCATGTATTTATTTATTTCTTTTTATATATTTTTGAATAGCACACAACTATCCTTGAAAAGAGAATGTATACGTCGATACAATTTAGATGTTATAATTTAGAAAAACAAAAAAATATATAGCAATAAAAGGAAATCATCAAATTATAGGTGGAAAGGCGTTACAGAAATTTCAGCTACGAGCTGATCCACATCGTAAGAGACCTCACTCAATAGAAAATTATTTAATTCTGAAAAAAATTGTATTAGGTACTTCTTTTTTCTTTAGGATATCCTCTAAATTTGGAGGAAGAGCATTGAATATTTGAATAGAAGTATTTTTTATGTTAGATTTGGAGACAGATTACTTATGTTTTTCTGGTTTAGTAGAGCTGTGTCTTGAGACGTTGTTATTGGACGGGAATAAGTCACTACATGTAATTATACCGTTAAAGTTTGTATAAAAAGGGAAGGAAGGGCAAGTAAGTGATTTTCTGGAATACTCATTTACAGGGGAAGTTGAAGGGGAGCTCATAGTTTATAGAAGGAAAAATCAAGGAAATGGTGTATGTTGCGCAGGGTGAAAGAATGTAGTGAAAAAGGAAAGTTAAGCTTTTTCTGTGCTGAATAAGATCTTTGGATCAGAATCATACCAAATTAAGCCTTTCATTTCTCTCTACTTTTGAAAAAAAAATGGCAGCGCACAAACTTATTATTTAAATAAGAGCATACTTCAACTTTTTGTATGGTTTTTTAAACATAATTTGCTTCAAAGGAAATAATTGGCAAACAAATGTTTTTTTTAAGATTTTTACATTCAGTTTTTCTTATGGTAATTGTTTTCTATTTGTCACAGGTTCTCCTGCAAAAAGGCTCAAGGATGTAAATGAAGTGATAATCATTTTTCAAATTTGTACTGAGACAATGGAAAACTGAAGACCTTGCCCTTTTTCCATCCGTCAAAACATTTTGAAGGTGTTTTACATTTGTTATTTTGTTTGTTAATTCTAGCTCATTTTCTGTCGGCAATTTTTTTAACGTTTTCCTGATTCAAGAACTGGGTCATCAAAAGAGACATGTAAAATGCCAAGATGGGCGATCTGTAATGCACCATCGCTTTAGAGGCAAATGTTGAGGCCTGAAGTTATCTCATTTTGTGATGGCAAAATATGTCTGTGTTTTTCAAGACAGTTTTAGGCTGAGATAGAAGTAATTTTTTCATGGTATTGTCGTAGGCATCAAAGAGGGTAAATTAAAGAAGCTGGACTGGTCACAGGAAGAAGTAAAGCTTTAAACTGCAAGGAATTCCAATAACAATGGCAGTTATGAGTAAAAAAGTAAAAAAAAGAAACTTTAACGCCATAATGTTCACGTATCATGTAGGGGTCGAAAATCTCTGTAATAATAAAAGTTTCAATATGGCTTACCTAGTAAATAAAAAGGTAGAAAACATCTATCTTTAGCTCAAAGACCAGAAAGGGAAGCATATTTGAAAGTTGCTAACTTTTTCACAATGCCATACCTGTGAGACTACTAGGAAACTGGTCGTTTTGCATCGCATACAAATGAGAAACAATCCTCCACATTTTCTATTACCCAAATACAGGTATTACATTTGAAAAAATTGGAGGAGAAGTGTGCACCCACATCATGGGACCCAGCATTTTATCGACCCCTGGTATGATTTCTGCAGTATAAGACTTGGTTTTCTTCAAACATTTACTCAGATATATGCTCATTCTATATCCTCTAAATTGTAAAAATGCTCATGAAGGAATTTGAATTGATGTCTAAGCACCCAATTTTTCATATTTGTATTATCTTTGACTAACAATAATTCTTTGGAATAATCACAATTCATGATTTTCTCTGCCTTTTCCTGCGCTTTTTTTTTTTTTTATCAACCAGAAGGATTTAATAAAAATCAGCCCAACTGCATTTCATGTTGTCTAATTTCCTCTCAAGTTCTATTTGTTTAACATAGAACCAAACAACATGATGCCTCAAAACTTCCTGTGCATTTCTTCTTGCTTAAAAAAATATAGTCACAAAATTTCAAATCAGAATGTCGATTCCTTTTCCGCCAAAAAAAAAAAAAAAACTTGAAAAGATTTTAGGCAACATCTGATGCAGATTGGCTGATCCGAGTGGCGATTTTACATGTTGGCGACACTATTTTTCCTCCGCTTAAATCCATTCAAAATATTGATTTAGTCGAGGCAACCTAGAATCGATTATTTTATCTGCTTTTAAATGGAGTAAAAAGTGGTCTAGCCAACTTACCAGAAACAGCACTGGCTGAATCGGGTTAAATCCATCCATTTATCGAAACCACACCTTCAGAATTTTGAAGAATTCTTGAAGTAACAAGTATAGGATTTTTAAATTTACTCCTTGTCAACACAGTGCATTCTACTTATACCTAGACCCTTCCTTTCTAAGAAGGAGCCAAAAGGGCATACAAACAAACAGGATGAGAGGGGAATACATTGAGAGAAACAGGCAGAAATGTAAGACGTCGATTTATTGGATCGCAATTTAACAGATCAACTTGTCAGTCCTGTGAACTCCAATAAATGGAGGTCTTACCACCTCAAACATTACCAAGTGTGTAACAATAGTATGCCTAATGAATAGACCTTGTGTTAATTAACAGACAAGATACACTTTTGAGTGTTATGGACTCAAACTGAGGTATCTAATTATGGAAGTTCAAAAATTAACAAAAAGCTGATATTCCTCGAGGAAAAACAAATTGATCGCAACAGAAAGAAACTGGCTTGATTACAGTGTTGTAAAAATATTGCGTCTTCATCTTTATCTCAAAAAAAGCGTACTATAGCAAATAGTTAATGTTTTAGTGTCAAGAATAGTTACTTCTAAGTAATATAAAACAAATTAGTTCATTACTGTGCATGTACTTATTATTTTTAAAGGAAAAAAAGACACATGATTTTGAGGAAACTTTAATCGAGCTGGTTCCCTTCTGTTGAATGCAATCCAAATGTCGATTGCCAAAGTCGGAAACTACGTACCTCAGACTGCTTGGTTGTAAGTCTTTGCCCATATGTCATTTTTTAAAAGGAAAAGTAATCAACAGTTTCAATTGAATTTTTTTTCTTTCCCTCTAAAAACGACCAAAAATTTTAAGGAAGCATTTTGATTAGTTTCCAAAAATTAATAGATTAGTCAAGGAACGGAAGAAATAATTGGATCTCTGCGGTTTCCTAAGAGTAAATTGGCTTGTTGGGTAAAAAAGTCAATTAAAACCCCTCCTCTCTCACCCTTGCCTTCGAGTGCACTCAATGTTTAGGAAGTTGTTTCCCGGTGTGAAATGCAACTTCTAGTAAATTTTAATACCCAGAAAAATTTTGCTGCCTCAGTGTTTTCTGAATCATGAATTTGGCAAGTAAATGAAGATGATGAGGTGGGATTCCTCCAAAATTTGAAGTAATCAGCAGTTGCAGAATTTTTGTCTAGGAGTAGCAGCACTTTTAAATAGTTTAATATTGGATTGTTGCCTATGAGATAGGATAGTGCACATTATGAGTACGTCCAACTATGGGATTAGACAAAGAAAAATCAAATGATTTTCATAAATTTCCCTGATCATAATGGGCCAAATTTTTTCCCCGGACTTCTTTCCATTTTAGCCTTTAAACACCCTGCTTCTTTTTTGAGTGAGATAATGACATTAAAGTACTCATTAAAATCATTCAGCTCTGACTGCAGAACATTGTCCGATGCGTCTGGATATTAAAAATTGAACCGAGTAAAATATTCTACATTAAAAAATAATTATTCTTCTTTATTTAAATATAAAATAGAACAAAGACAAAACGGATCAAGACATAAGAAAAAAAAGAGAAAACTTAGGAAATAAGCAAACATTAAAAATCACGAGGTAACTATCAATTTCAGAGGTCCATCAAGATAATCAGCCAGAATTTGGGCTTTCTCACGGAGCATTCCAAATCCAATCGGTTGCTTCGCATAAAGGCATAGAAGCAGATTGGCCACCTGCGTAATTGCCACTTTACCTTCCTGAAACACAATTATCACATTACATTACTTGGGGTCAGCTGAGGAGTTCAATACTTAGAGTAAATTCACAGGATTTTAGAAGGGGGGGGGGGTGATTTGCCTTCACTGATAAATAGTGATGGAAAATTTAATTATCGCCCGATGAAATGTCTTAACTGGATGGGCAGCTAAACTCCTGGAAGTGCCTACTCTTGAACGAGGTCAGCTGGATTTTTGAGTACACTACTGTTCTTTACCTTGCTGTGTATTTTTCGGACATCAAATTTGAAGTTACCTGACACTAAACAGATGAGCTTTTGCTGCCATTTGGAAAAACTTTCAATATTTTCTGATGTAATTTCTTCAAATTGACGTTTACACAAAAAACCAGAACCCAGTTTCTGGTAAATAATTGGATGATAACTATCTAAAATTTAGAAGAGGTGGTGTGGCAAAACGGCTTTGGGAAAAAATTGCTTTCCACAGTTTTTGACCACTGTGAAAATGAGGCTACTTCCTGAGGAAAAACCCACAACTCGCTCAAAAGTTGAGATTCAGATATGAAATGAGTGCAGTCACAGTTAGTTCATGCTCGATGCGAAAAGTACTCGGAAAAACAGGGTCATCAGCACCCACACTGTCATTCCGTTTTCCTAATCATTTTAACATTCTTTGAAAAACAAGGCATATAAACAAAGCGTTGCAAAAAGGCTAACAGCAGGCTAAAGGCTTTAAATAAAGCAACTATTTTCTGTGGTTGGTAAAAATATTCCAAATTGTTCAGAGAATTGTAAAAAAACAAAATCCTTTAAGGTTTGCATCAGTGGAAACAGAGGCTTACATTACACTCAATGAGCAGAATCTTCAGGTTGTCCTCTTTAAGGGCAGATCTTCCATTTTTTTCATAAATTGACCACAAATTGCTAGCGATGGCAGCTGTCACTGTGGCATCATTATCTCCGAAACCACTGTATGCTAGTAAAGCCCCTTCTAGGTTGAGAAGCCTGAAGAGAGAAACAAAGAAGAAAAGTCAAGGCAAAATTTCTAGGGTTAACCAAGTCAGAATGAACCCTAAGTAAACCAGACGATCGAAACTGTAAAAGAGGAGACTCAGAAATGACCACCTAAGTGGCGTGCTGTTTATTTGAGGATAAGCCAAAGTTAGGGCGACCGCCATCAAGGAGTGTGGGGTAGAGTGTACTTTTTCCATCCACAGGGATTCTCCACATTGAAATGAAGATCCACTGCGACCCAATGTTCATGCGATGCTAGCCCTGAAATCTAATGGAATGTCTAGCATTATATGATCACATTCCTTGCTTTCTTACTCAAGTACATCTATCAATTTCTTTTCTGAAGACCAACGCATTTTGATATAGTATGGGGCTGCATAACTTTCAATAGCTAGCTCACAGGTGCCATTGTACACGAAATGATTACTGCAATCTAGTTAAATCTTGACAGAAGCTTCATCATCTTGACCGATGTTTGAAAGAGACAATTATGACACTGCATTTGTCTTCAATTTTCTTCACTGACAATGAGTAATAATAAGTTACATGTGACTTACATGGTATTTTCAATTCCTCCAGTGTTAGCCTGACTTAAAACCTGAGACAAGACCTTAGGTCGAAGCATCTTACAATACAGCACCTGCGATAAAAATGAGGCGAATAGAAACTGTTCGTCTGTTCGAAATGAGATTGCTAAAAAGTGATGAGTTACCTTTGCACACACTTCGGTGCGCAAAAGAGAATAAGGTTTACACAGAGAAAGACATTTTCTTAAAGAATAACTGGGGAAAACGATAGTGTGAGCGTTTTTCTTAAAATCAAATGATGAGTCACAACCAAAGCATGCATTTGACACTTTTAAATTGATAATACAACATTACACTACTACTATGCTATGCTTGCTTTTTTGATAAGAGGCTAAACCCACATTATCAACACTAACAACCTACCAAATCCGGGCCTTCCATTGGTTGGTTTTGGCAGCCATCATAATAATGACGTAGTAGAAAGATAGCAAAAAATTGAAGTTCAAATTGCAAATTTCAAGTACATAGTTATTGCAATTTCGAGCGTACCCGGGGTTTTTTGCCATTTCCCTTAAGACTGAACTCCTCATTTTTTTCCATGGAGTAAAATTTAAAGTGAAAATGACTTTGTTGCAGTTTACACGCGTTGAATATGTTAAATTTTTGTACATCGGGTGACGTAACTCTGACGCTTTCAATGGCCATTAGATCGGAATTGGAGCAGCTACTGACCTCTTCCGGACCTTTGTGTGAGATCTTCGGAAAAGAAGACCGTAACTCGAGAATTCTCCGATTCTCGGTAATTTGGATGCGCACGTACGCAGGCAGTGTTTGGTTTTGAGTTGTTCTAGTTTGTTAAATTTGATAAATCATTCTTAGTGTAGAAAATTAAATATGTCGAACGCGAGTGCTCCAGATTCATGGGAACAACAGGCAGATTCGGGCGCCGCAGATGCCGTGGCTGCCAACGATATGTCGGCTAAATTTTCCACGTTGAACGTGAACGCAGCCGAGTTTGTGCCTTCATTCTTTTCACCTTCACAATCGGATTCGCCAACCAAATCACAAGGTTCCGATGGTCAGACTCCCGTCCAAAACGGTAAGTTCCTTCAGTTTTTGCTCTCGTGGCACCTAAATTCCCGATCGAGTCTGAGAGGCCGCCTCGGTTTCCAAGTCATGATGTCTAATGTAGGTTATGTTGAACACACACTGACCTAGAACTGAAGTCAGGTTTCTTTCCCCTTTCATCCATCACTTTATACTCCTAACGTGCATTCAAATGCCCTTTCCATCCTTAATCTTGAAAGTTATACTTTCATACACCCTCTCTTTTGCTGGTCCATGTCTGATCTGGATCAAACCTGTAGACCCTAAGAACAAGCACCGCTCTTCTCAGTATCAGGGCATACTAATAGGTTTATGAATTAATTGTTGAAACCTTGCAATAGAGAACAAAGTTTGAATATCTTTCCAGAATTCGTTTACGAATGCTGCTAGTTGAATTTTGCTCTTTTCCATCCCTTCGGTACTAATTTGATTTTGGGTCCTACTTTTGCAGTGTATGGACGCTCATCCTCCAATTAGGTTAGGTTCTATCTGAGACCAGTTAATAAAGAATCTTGGAATTTTCCTGAAATTTAACCTAATTCATATTTTGAAGTTTTACCCCTTGGAACTGATTATCTGTTGTACATCTAAATGTACACTGGAAGTGACATTTTTTATCTACCTTTTAATATGAACGCTAGCCTATATTCGGTTGAATATTTCCACCGAATGTTCCTGGATTGTTCTGCCCCAAAGCATCCATCCAGTTCCATGAATTGAATACCCCTAACGTATTCACACTAAACTCTAGACTGATGTTTTAAGAAATACACGGTTCTGAAACAGGACTTACATGGTTTATCATTGAACATTCTCCTAATTGTTTTTCTACGATTGAAAATATTGTAGGGAAGCTTGCGCCAATTGGTTTTTATTATTTTGCACACCAGTACAGCTGTAACAGGTAACTAATTTAGTTTAAATACGAAGGTTCCTTTGCCCTCACCCCGCTCCATCTGTTCGGCCCGTATAGGTGGCGTAAGTAAGTGATTAGTTTGCAGGGTGGCAGCTGTCACTTCATGTTTCCATTTCATTCAAAACTGCCAAAGAAATCGCAACATATTCAGGCAGAATACCTAGCATGTAGGAACTTTCAGCATTCAAGCTTGTCGCAGGGCGTGGTTTAACTATTAGCCATAGCCCACACATCTCTCATCGTGAAAAAGATGCTCTTGTAAGCATTTTATCTTTGAAGTAGCTTTTTGTAGTTCTGTGGTCTTAGGCTCCGAAAGTGTTTGAAGACTCCCCATGATCTAAGCAGCTGTTCAACATTTCGTTCATAGCTCTTGTTTTTGCTCCCAGATGACTATTCTCTTTTCACCTAGAGACCTAGATGATGAAAGAAGAAGTCAGAGAGTGGAAAGTGTCATTTAAATTGACACTAGAAACACTAGAAAGTTGTCTGGAAGTCCACCTTTGAGTAGTTCATGTAATTACAGCATCAAAAATGAAATCTTTAGCTATGCTATTCAATATTCAGGTATGCAAGGACAAGTTACTCTATTAAAACAAGAGCTCATTGATCAGAAGCTCCTATTACGGCCTGAAAGTTATATGCTCTATCTTCCAGTCTCTAAGATGACCCTCTTTGGGGACGTTCAAATTTCTTGCGTGAAATTGTTTTCCTAAACTCTAAATAAAGAAACGTGTACTTTTTTCTCTTTTGAATTGTAGAATTCTATCTCTCCAAAAGTCATTTGACCCTACATACCTAGCCTTTCCTCAAAGAAAGTACTCCGATACTGCCATCTCAAATTTATTAATGCTGGAGAGGTATTTCTGATCTTATCGTGAAGGTCAAATTCTTAGCTATGGATTGAGATCAAGATCTCATTTGTTTGAAAATTGAGTAAGTTGTGTTAAGGGTGGAATGTTCCTGCTCACGAGCCAAAGTCATGAAGTAGCTCATTGTCATTGGATGTAAACAGTGAAAGCATACAGTAATTCTTTGACCATTCTTGACTTTGCACTCAGACATAAGGGAGATATTTAACCATTTAGAAAACGCCACAGTAGATATGAAAACTTAATTTTTTCAAGTATTAACAAAAGCCGCACCGAGATTTTGGTTCTGTTGGAGCACAAATACGGATGTACACAAACAAGAGCAAAGTTGAGGCTGTTTTTGGTGAGAGTTCTAGTATCTGAATCAGATATTGGCCATCGGACCAATAAACAAGACAATTAGTTGGTTCTTCCAAATTATAGATTGCCTTTGTGCAATGAATTTAAGACATGTCCTCATAAATTAAAAATAATTACAAATTTTGCTGCTTATAACTAAGCACATTCACTTACCATTGTAATATTAAAAAATCGCTGCACTGCTAAGCCATGTTTGAAAAAGTCTTTGATCGCCAACCCATGAAACACAATTCAAGAATCAGAAACAGTCCAGGGTCCTTAGCCATTCCATGAGTGATTCTATGATTTTACAAAAATTCTGGCATCCGTGCATGATGTCATGATGGTTTTCCTATCTTTCTCAGTTTTAGCACAACATAACTTTTTCGCTTTAGATTTGTAGATTCTAAATTCAAAGCCCAATAAACTTCCAACCATTAGGGACACTCAAAATTCAGAAGAGTAAATAACTATAAAAATGAAACCTCCACAGATGCCTACAATCACTTGTTTATTTTTTTTATTTATTAATTTTCTTTCTTCACTCCTAAATTTTGCCAAAATATAGGTGTAATATTTCTTTACTCAAGGTCAATCAGCTACAATAGTGGCCCTAGATAGACTGTAGAATTTTCCTTCAACATTTTGTATGCAGATCTGTCAGGCTAAATGGTGTATGTAAGAGTTGTATTAGTAAAAGGAAACTTTTCTCAGGAGGATGAAATTCACTTAGGTGTTATTGCACTCATCGGAGTCCCTAGTGACATCTACATGCTAGTCGTTTCAGCATGTAGCACAGTTGGTAATTTACCCGCTTGCTATTTTGTATGTGCCCCTGTTATCTCATTTAATCCATTATAAACCAGTACATAGATTTTTTCCCCCAATTCCTTATGTAGGCAGCTCCCTACTGCTTATTGTTGTTTACATTAAGGAAATATGTTGAGAACTAAAGTATGAGGCTCTTAAAAGTCTGCAAAATTAATATTGGTTGTCAAGATGAACAGGAAAATCTGATGAAGGCGTTTAGATGAATGTAAATTTAATGTTTGATTAAAGGTGTGGGAGTTGCAGATGTGGCCATGAGTGGTGTTAGTGGAGGAAGCGGTGGGGAGCGAGATGGGGGTGAACCGCCTGGGGCCCCACCTCCTGTCGACAGTTGGGAAGAAGCCGCTGATGTTGAAGTCATCCTCACTCCGGACAATGAAGAAGGTTCGGAAAATGTTGGTGAAGCAAGTGATCTAGGGGAAGCCATGGAAGTAGATGAGGCGCCCAAACCCCTCAAAAAACCCAAAGCTTTAGCTGAAAAGAATAAGGACAAAAAGGAACATGTCAACGTAGTAATCATTGGACACGTAGGTTAGTATCACTCATTTCTTTCACTCAAGTATCATGTCTAGTTTGCAGAATGTGAGCCTCCGTCAGCGAACATTTTCTGAATCTTAATATCAGCATCCTTATGAGTAGTATTTCTCTTGAAGACAGGCTCTGATTTCAACCGTCTACTTATTTTTTAAAAGAGCTTAAATCATATAGTGGGTGAAATACAAATTGGAACCACATTGTATGGTACTTAATTTCTGAACTGAAGATCTCAAAAGCAGTTCTCTTGTAGCCGCCCCTTCACCTGTCGAAAATAAAGGATACTGAATCATGAGACTATAAATACGACTCCTAAAATGTTCAATGGGATAAGAATCTTTGAATATGCAGGTAGTGTGCTATATTCTTGAATTTATGAAAATCAAGTAAGCCGTAGTTCTATAGTTCTCTTCTTCTTCTAGTTTCGTTACTTAATTTGAGTTCATGAGGGCTCCGAAGTGTGCATTTTTGATACTCTAATCTTTTTCCCAATGTACATTTGTTGGACTTGTACTTTCTTTGGAAAAAACTTGTGTAAAATCTCATTTCAAGCAGGTTGCGACCAAGTTTGCTTACTGAGTTCTAGGGGAAGTAATAGACAGTGAAAGATTAAAAAGGCCTCCATCCCATAAGCTTTTTTCAGATTGTTACAGAAATCAACAAATTTAATCAATTAGTAGGGTGATTGTTTACAGAAAGTGACAAATTTTATGAAACAATTGGGTGCACAAATGAACAATCAGCATACTAACCTGGCCTGGCAAAGAGGAGCAATTTTTTTTCAATTTGTGAGAAAACGTTAAGTTACAGATTTAACACAGTCGGAAAAAACAAAAAAGTGATCTGGAAGTCAGGGGAAATTTGCTAAATTACTATTTATTATCCCATGTATGTCAGAAGTCAGAGAATTTTCTCAGAATCGGTCAGGGAAAACCTGGCATATTTCAGGAATCATAAAAAATATTTCTGTAGCCACCCTAAATTTAAGCATGCCTAAATTTAAATATCCCAACAAATGTGACAGACAAAACTATATCATTTCAGATGCTGGTAAATCTACTATTGGTGGTCAAATAATGGCTCTCACTGGCACTGTTGACAAACGCACACTAGAAAAATATGAAAAAGAAGCAAAGGAAAAAGGACGAGAATCATGGTATCTGTCGTGGGCGTTGGACACTAATCAAGAAGGTACACTTTCTAAGTTACAATATTTCTTTATTTTGTTTTTTGAGGTGATTTCAACACAATTGTCAACAAAAGCAATAAAAATCAAAGCAGTGGAGTCAAAAATCAACTCTCCACAGTCACAATTTTAGTTAGTTTTTTCCAATTGGTTTTTATTAAAACCGGGCGTAAATCCCAAACTCATGTGCCCTAGCATCCTGCATGACCAAGGAAAGCCAGGACTTATGAGTTTTTTTACTTACGCCTGTCTAACAGAAACTCTTTCAATTAACATCTTGTAAAGTCATAAAAAATAAACAAAATTTGAAAATATAAAATTCTGTTTTCTTCTTTAATGTAAGAGGTAATTAACCAGTGGTTTGATTTAAGTCCTCAATGGGCCTGTTGCAAACTTTTGCTAGAGCAAAAATAAGAGTTGTTTCCTGTAGATAATGCCTCAAAAACCACGATGAGCGCATTGGCAAAGTCTGAAATGCACTCATAACTTCACAATCTGCGTAAGAAATTTGCGGTTTTTTGAGCTTCCCGCTTCAAAAACGATACTACGGCACAGGTGAACATTTTGATGGAGGAGTCGCTCCATCGTCGGCAATATTCATCATGGCCGACGCTTGCGCAGTTCCGCGCGTAATTCGAGGAGAGTTCAAGATCAATCAAGGCGGGCGAGGAAAATATGAACGTAAACACGCCGATTGTTATCTGGTCTAGTCCTGTTTAGGTGTTATCTCGTCCCATCACACGTGTTTTGGTGGATTGGCGTCAGCCATGATGAGTATTGCCGACGATGGAACGACTCCTCCATCAAAATGTTTACCTGTGCCGTAGTATTGTTTTTGAAGCGGGAAGCTCAAAAAACCGCAAATTTCTTACGCAGATTGTGAAGTTATGAGTGCATTTCAGACTTTGCCAATGCGCTCATCGTGGTTTTTGAGGCATTACCTACAGGAAACAACTCTTATTTTTGCTCTAGCAAAAGTTTGCAACAGGCCCATTACTCACTCAATTTTCATAGTTCACTTATTTGCCTTTCAGGTAATGAGGAGCATTTTTTTAGCATGATCCTAACAAGACTCAGTTTCGTTACTTACGGTATTTTTGCCACTGAAAGAATAATAGACATTTTCAGTCTTCAGTCCTTAAATTGATGTTTTGTGAACCACAGCAGTTCAATTTTCAAGAATAGCATTTCAGGAAGGGTTCATTTTATTTTGGTAAAAATTGCTTAATTTATAAATCCCCAGATTTTTTTAAAATTAAGTATGAGGATTCTGCTTGATTTCAGGCATGTTCCCCCAAAAATTTCGAACCCCTAAAAAATTTTAAGAAGAATTGAGGAGGTTCAGTTGGAACCTTTGTAGCTTAATAACTCTTAAACAAATGTTATATCAATTTGTGATTTGTCCTAAAAAAGGTCAAAGAGTGTACACTTTAACCTTCTGGAAGAAATAATTGTTGGTTTGCGCTTAGAAGCTGTGTTTTGAAAATGCATAATAAAGTTTAAACTCCTTCTACTGAAAAAAATGTATATTCTTTACTTTGAAAGAGAAAAGAGTCTTAAAGCTTTTGTTTACTGTATTATAGGTCTGTCAATTACATGCTTATTATATATGTTCATATTATTTTGTTCTCTTAATTTCTTTGTTGAATTTCTGCAGAGAGAGAGAAGGGGAAAACAGTTGAGGTAGGACGAGCAACGTTTGAAACAGAAAAGAAGCGATTCACTATTTTAGATGCTCCTGGACATAAAAGTTTTGTGCCTAACATGATTGGTGGTGCCGCTCAAGCCGATTTAGCCGTTCTGGTAAGGCCTCACTTAGTGTTTTTGTCTATTTCTTTTACTGAAAATTTATATGTGCATGCTACGCCCCCCCCCCTACTTTTTTTTTAACGAAAGAATGTTGGATATTCAGTGTCGAATCATGCAGATGTACAATTATCAGACAAGATTTAGGTAGCGTGCGCCATTACTATTAAAGCAACACTGTCAAGTATTATTATTCTGCACTTGTCTTCCTGAAACATTCTTTGGCCCAGGTTTATTTTATAAGCATTTTGATCCCTCTGGAATGATTGATCTGCATGTTTAGAGAGGAATCATTGAAAGTTGTCGGAAGAATTTTGCAGTTTATAAATTACATGTCAAAGTGTGATTTGACTGCAAATCAATGCTCAAATGTAAGACAAGTTTCTTTCCTTTGGTTTAGTATTTTTCTTGCGCACAAAGATATAGGCCATTTTTTCTCAGCCTCATGAAAACTTGTCAGTACGTCATATTTTTATTTGAAAGCAGCACATAAAGTACATAAAGCAGAATCAAGTTACTGTAAGTAGAAAGTCAAAAAGACTCAAGCGCTTATAATTTAAGCCAAACTATCTTGAATCCATTTCCAAATTCCATCACATCTTGTCGATCAAGTGAAAATCTCAATTATAGAAACTGGAAGTAAAATCTTTAATTGCCCAATGAAGTAATGTGATTTTTTTAATTTTTTATTCGTATAAATAGGTAATATCAGCACGAAAAGGAGAGTTTGAAACTGGTTTCGACCGAGGTGGCCAAACTCGTGAACATGCTATGTTAGCTAAGACTGCCGGCGTCAAACACATGGTTGTACTTATCAATAAAATGGATGACCCAACTGTGGAGTGGTCAGAAGCAAGATATTTAGAATGTAAAGATAAACTTTTGCCATATCTTAAGAAATTAGGTTTCAATCCACAAAAAGATTTGTCATTCATGCCTGCCTCTGGACAGACTGGCTTAGGAATCAAAGAACAGTTAGATGAAAAAATATGTCCCTGGTACAGGTAAGTTCATCAATATTGACAATTTACTCTGCAGGTCTGTTATCTGTAATGCAAGAATCTTTGTGATGACAAAGTTATTAGCAATAAAAAATTCACTACTTTTAGTAAGTTATGTATTTTAGGAGGATGGAGGGAAGGCCCCGACAGGGTTACTTACTAAAATTACATTTTGCTCCTCGTAAAGGCTCGCATCAAGAACAGGTGGGAAAGTAATCGAATTGGAATCCCTAAAAGCCTTAGGTCTACGAATCAACTTCTTGCGCTTCCATCCAAGCCGTTTGGAGGGTAATAGTCAATTTTGGAATATGAAATGTTGAGGGTCATTTTTTTGTGTGAAAATCAGCAAGTTAAACTGCTTCCCAGTTGCTGTTGTAAAAACAAGTTAGAAACAAAACATTAAGTCTACTCCACTTAATACTTCGTTATGACTTAACTGACCCATTTTAGTTAGTACTAGTGTGAGTCGTTGTATTTCTACCGATTTTTCATAAATTCCCAATATCTTAGTCCAGATTCAAAGAAGGATTTCGATTTTAACAGTCCATGTGTTTTCTCTTGCAATTGCCAAGAAAAACTAACTAGTTATTATAAAATTCAAGCCAAAAATTAGTTGCAATGCAAGTTACAAGCCTCAGCATTTTCATTTTTCCCTTTTGTGAAGACTTCTGAAATTAATACTTTTTTTGTGCTCTATTTTCTAAGTATTCGCATCTATGTTACAGAGGACCCCCTTTCATTCAGTTCATCGATAGTTTGCCATCACTTAATAGGAAAAGTGATGGTCCGTTCTTACTTCCAATAGTGGAAAAATACAAAGACATGGGCACAGTTGTAATGGGCAAAGTAGAGTCAGGAGAAATCAAGAAAGGAATGTCCCTAATTCTAATGCCTAATAGGGTAAGTTTCTTCCTTTGCTCTTGTGATAAACGTATTGATTACAAATGAATGTTACTCCCAGTCATAGATTTCTGAATTCGGAAAGTATTTTCAGTGATTTTCTCCGCTTTCTGAATAAAATTTGCCTAGCTCACAAAGAGCTTTATGTGCAAACCCCATAAAATGCTCTGCTTAAAATATCACTGAATTTACATCTATGACAGAAGGCTACCTCCAGCCCCCAAATCTGTCTTTAGTTCTAGAACTGAGCTGAAAAAGCAATGTTGCCTTCTTGTGAAAAGTCAAAATTTGTCTGCGCCTATAACTTTCAACCAGTAAGAGGTATCAAAAAGAGGTACTGTTCATTAAGAAAAGAATAGCAGAGCCTTTATGCCAGTTTCATTCACGCATTGTTGAAGTGAACTGTACTGTCTTAATTTTCAGTCTCTAATTATCGTTAACTTCAAAATATTGCAAATACAAGCAAATTTTCGTCATATTTTAAACTCAAAATGACAAATCTATGTCTTCTGAACATTTTTCAATTTTATGCTAGATGCGTTGTTAAATTTAATAATTGAAGTCAGCGAGATGACAGCAGTCTGCTTTAGTCATCCGCTTAGCAATGACGCAAAATTGTTAGTAAACAAAAGCTGCCATCTTCTCAGCTTACTCGGTCAGCCGCGGACCTGCCGCTGAGTGCTGAACAATTTTGCTGAGAAGATGGTGGCCTTTGTTTACAAAATGGCAGCTCAGCGGATAACTCCAAAAAACGTTTAACAACACTTTGGCTGAGCGCAGCAACTCAGCGGTTTCAATTCTGACTTTAACAACGTGTCTGTATGATTTCTCTTTAGATTATTTCTAAAACCCGGGAAACTTTTACGACAATAAGGCTTGGTAATGCCCTTCTCTGTCAATCTGTCTTGTATCTTTAAGTGTGTTTTTATTAATGCCTGTTTCTTTGTTTTTCCCCCCAGTCAAATGTGTCTGTAGATCAGTTGTGGTCTGATGATGATGAAGTCTCAGAAGCTGGACCGGGTGAAAATATTAAAGTTAAATTAAAAGGAGTTGAAGAAGAAGATGTTTCTCCTGGTTTTGTTCTTTGTGACCCTTCCACTCCTGTGACAACTGGCAGAATCTTCGTGGCCCAGGTTTGTCACTGAAAAATTTATCATACAGTGAAACTATGATCCCTCGATTTGCATCGGGACTGGTGCGATGTAACAAGTCTAGCAGGTTATCGACCTAAGCAGGTTTCCTCATTTTTCAACAAGCATTTCCGAATTTTGCATCCTTATTTTAAAAGGCTTTTAACAATGCAATGCAAACACATAGATAAAGTGTATTTTAAGTATTTGATCATACACAAATGCAGTAAACAGTACAATTTCTTTTGAAGAGCTTGAAATTGCAAAGTTATATGTTGTAATTCGTAAGGTTTTTGCAAATGCATTGGATTGGTGGTGATTCGCTGTCAGCAATGGCGATCGTTGACACTTAGTACAAAAAGAGTACATCATCTCTCGAGAATGTCACTCATATTTACTCCTTAATTGGCTCCTTTCCAAAGGGAAGCCCCCATGGTTTACATTGATTTGTAGCGGTTTGTTGGGACTCTGTAGAGAGGTAAAACAGTTATTTTGGCAAAATTTACGGATTATTTCTTTGAAGATTTAAGTTGACTTTGTATCCTATTCTAGAATAAATAGATAATTGCTTTCCATTTGCTTTTCCAAGAATTACAGTTTTTATTTTCGTAATATTCAGATGAAATCACAGGAAGTTTATGTAACATGAATTTCAAGTGATATGTGCGCCCCTTTATTGTAATAAGCTGTAGTTTTTTTTATCTTTAGCGGTGTCATTTTATGTATTGTAAAAGAGCTGAATATTGTGTTTGTCTGTCACAGGTGGTTATTTTAGAGCATAAGAGTATTATTTGTGCTGGTTATTCCGCAGTCATGCACATCCATTGTGTAGCCGAGGAAGTAACTGTCCAGGTATGTATGAGCTTATTACACTTTAAGTTCCCTTTTTTGGATTCCCTGAAAGTTGTGTACTTGATATAAGTCAGGCATTTGCCTTCCCGCTGTCCTTTTTCCCTTAGGAACGATGTTTGTACAAAATTTCTGCTCAAAGTAGATCTTTCTCAATCATGATATTATGTCACCATCCTTATGCAAGAGCGCTACTGGACTTTGTTGTGAATCCTGTCGTCCATACAATGGACCACTAGACAACATACGAATTCAAGCATTCTGATACATGTTATCTAACCAGAGTTTCACATAGAACTTGATTCTTGCTTCGAAAATTACTGAAATCAACTCCTAAGATATTATTGTTTTTATTTTACATTGGTTAGAGGAAATTTGAATTGCCTGGTCGTCAAAACAAAATTCTGTACATGTGTCAAATCACACACCACAACAATAACGGCGGGTTTTTTAATCGAACAATGTTCGTTTTCCTCCATGTGTTGTCCAAAGTGTTGACAACGTGCAACAGTTCAGCCGAAGTATTGAAATTGAAGTTGCCATCTTTTATACCGCGGTGCATAGACAATTGCGTATTCATAAGTGGGAGGTTTGAATTCGAGCCTCAAGAAAAATTAAATATCTTGGTCGGGAGTTCATTTCATCAATTTTTGCCGCGCAAATTGTGTTCTAGGTATGTGAAATTTTAGCTAAGAAACATTCATCAGAATGCTTAACTTTGTATCTTGCCTAGTGGTCCATTCAATACTTGTACAGGCTTATCTCATGATGTAGTTATGCCCTGTAGTCAACCTAGTGGAAAATAGTATGATGAGACAATTTTTCAGTTCCTATCGAGTTTGTTCAAGAATTCTTTATTTTGCACTTTTTTGCACAATTGTAAGAGGAGAGAAAAACCCACTGAAAATATGGCTTGTATATTGTGAGAAACAAGATAGTAGAATCGTGCCAAATCCACACTAGCCAGTGGAGAAATCAAAGCCAAAAATTAGATACAGAGTTGGAAAACAGACTTCGATAAGTTACAAAGTAAAGCTGAGGGTAAGAATGTTCAGCTCAGGGAGTTACATTGAAAATGCTTCGCTAGGATCCTCCTAAAAGACTTACACCGGTGCTCCTCTTTTTTAAGCATATCAGCCAGTCACATCTAGTCAAAGTCAGCCTAGCATCCTGATCATCAGCATTAGAACGCCATCATGGACGCAGCACAAGGCACTGCACCGAAGAGCAATCTTAGGGCCATCTGCCGTCATTGCTAGAAAAAACTCTCAGGACAAAACAAGGAAAATACCCTAAAAAATTGATTTTGCACCCAGTCAAATGCCATTTCTAAGCCAAATTGTATGAAAAAGAGAAAATAAGGAGAGGAGGAACCTCTTTGCCTAGTTGTGGAAGCTGTTACTGTATTTTTCTTCTCTATATCCTTCATGAATTTATTCCCACTCTGAACTTGCATGACATAATTCAGTATTTGTAGTACTAATGCGTTTTCTTTAGCGTCTGTCATCTGCTTTGCAGCCTTGTTAAAAAATGATAATGTGGTATCAATAATTGGTAAATTCTTTCAATTGTCTGAGACTCTCATTGTTTTGCTGTCAATTTAAAGCTTGCCTCTTGCTTTTTTCATGAAAACTGCCATTGCACTTAAATGCATCACAAATGAAAGTGACAAGAGCAAGCGTCGCATGCAAGTACATTAATACAGATTTGGTTCATTCCTCATCAAATCATACAGGAAAAAAAAAAGTTGATCCATTATCCCCCACCATATTTCCTACAATGATGATGAAAACCTTTTTCCTGTATTAGCAAAGAGCAGTCAGAAAGCTGTAGGTACTACACATCAGAATCAAACGCATGTTAAGTGGGTTAGTGCGCCAAGTGAATCATGCCTTTTGAGTTGCTAACTGCTAATCATTCTATTACTTTCTTCAGAAGCCCATGCATTTTCTAGGGCTGGAAGCTACATTCATATTCAACAAATTTACTCTGAGTGTTGTTTGTTTCAGGAATTAGTGACATTAGTGGATAAAAAAACTGGCGAGAAAACAAAAACAAGGCCGCGCTTTGTGAAACAGGATCAAGTAGCTATTATGGTACTTGAGTGTGCTGGTACAGTATGTTTGGAGCCCTTCAAACAAGTTCCGCAGATGGGTAGATTCACTCTACGAGATGAAGGTACATTATTCTACCATTTCTATTCTATACCTCAATTTTCATGGAAAATACTTTGACTGCATTTTGCAATGAGGAACTTCTGTTCCTGGTTCATTTTAGAAACAACACACATGTGTCATCGGTGTCCCTGTGAAGATTAGTGCTTGTATGGATGAGGTAGGAATGGTAGTTTTTTGCTGTAAAACGCAGTTCATTTTTGTTCCAAACTTTGGTGGAATGTAGTCTTATGTGTATGCACTTTTTGAAAAAGGTAACAGAAGATGAAAACTTTATCTTTACCAATAGGAAGTGATCTTGAAGTATGCTGATTTCATTTGAAAACAATTGAAGCTAAAATTCTGGCCCCAAACCTAGAAGGAATCGGGCAAAAGGCAAACTCTGATAAATTGCAGGCCAATGAATCAAGCTTTTACTGTAACTTTGCCTGCATCTGTTCATTTTTGTATGTATCGAAAATTGTTTTTTTTTTTGGTCTACCTATTCTCTACCTTTTTTTTCTATTTCTGTTCCAGGTAAAACAATTGCAATTGGCAAAGTACTCAAAATCAAGGAATAAGCATTAAAATGAATTGTTACCTCAACTTTGACTAAAAACTGCAGGTTTGCAAGTAAATAATTTAAACTGCATAATGTTGAAGGGTATTGTCGATGCAGGAATTATGTGACATTTTTGCCATTTCCATAATCATGTATTCAAGGACCAACGGTCCTAAAGCCTCTCATGATATGAACAAATATTCAGTATAGCTTCAAGCCAAAACCTGGACTCTGATCTGTCATACTTGTCTGTAATTATGAAGATAGTTATCAGTTGCCAATTTTGTAAGAATGTCCGGTTCCATACTGGATTTTGTGCGTAATATCTAACCATACCATCTGTCAATACCACGGAGACAAGGGTTTTAGGGGAAAAGAAAAATAAAAAAACAATTCTCCTTGCCCCTAAGTGTCACTTAGCTTCTCCATCCATGGTACCCTTCCATTGAAACACTGATGTTCTGGAACAAGTATAATTCAAGGAAAATAGGAAAGTTTAAGCAAATCTTGCAAAGTTGGGTTGTGTACTTGTAATCTGCAATTGCAATTTTGTACAAAGTGATGCAGCAAGCTGGCTTAAAGGTTAAAGCAGTCACATCAAATATGAGCATAATTAAACTCTTTTACTAGCAATGAATATTTTATAATATTTATATAATTCGGATGGAAAAAACAAATCAAAAATTTTCCTTTTTTCCCCCTTTTTTTCTTGTCTTTTTTTACTTGAGAATAGCTTTGTATGCTCAGAAATATTTATAGCATAGTCGATTTGGCTTGTTCACCACATTCTGAAAATATTTTTTGTGTTGAAGTTTTGGATTTATGACCGTGTTTAGCGGGAAAATTCACAATAGGAACCTTTTCCAGCTCAGATGAAACCTCTCTTCCTGACAAGTCTATTTTTGGTAACAAAAAGTGTAATCGAACATAAAATTGAAAGTTCAATTCAGACTCCAAGGGCCATCCCAAACGTAAGTTTCCCCTGATGCATCTTCGAAACCAGTGAAGACAAATTTGATGTGAGAAAAAATTTGTCATACTCTCACATTTATAATGAAGCGTAGAAACTTAAAATAGGCCTCCTTTTGTAACTAAATAGACGATGTGTTACTGTTAAGATCTGATTACAAGGCCAGGAAAGAGTAAAAAAAGAGATCAGATCCTGTTATCACGGTAAACGAAGGAAAGAATCCTACTTAAATGCATCCATCAGCAGATGAAAAGCATTCACGCAGCATGTGATCAAAGGGAAGGAAATTGGCAGGCCAAAAATGTTGGTCTTCATTAGTTTCACCTCGGACATGAGTATTGTAAAGTTTTTTTAATGAGATGCAGCACCTGCGATGAAATGGCAAGATAAAAACTCAACAGCAAAAATCCCCTCATAAGCTCAGGAGATACCTCCCTGCATGATTTTTATTGTAGTGAGGTTGCATAGGATCATTGTTATTCCGTTTTAAGCATTTTTAGACAAACGCAAGAAAAAGGTCAGCTCACCCACTAAAACTAACTTACTAACTTGTAACCCAATTGGCTGATCTTAAGCTTTCATAACTTGTTGGGAAAAAAAAGAATATGATACGCTAAAATCTTTCTCTCTGACTGAGTTCATCTTTATTAGCTGTATGAGAAAAAATGAGGTTAAACCTGGTGCCAAAGCAGTAAGGAATCCTTTACTTCTTGCTAACAAATGGTAGCGCTTCTCTTTGCTTTGCCATCACCCCCATTTAAACATCATGAAATGGGTGTGAATGCAGAGGAAGTGAGAGGGGGAAGAAACATCGGATCTGTCAAATTCACAGAAGTGTAAACTAAGAGAACAAGATTGAAAATGATTGTAGTCGTAGAAACCGTTGTTCGAAATTAGTTTTTTTATGTTGATTATTGAAACTTATGCCAGCACGACAAGACATTGATGATCTATATTTTACATGGCACAGATGTATCAAGAAATAGTTTCAACAATCAGCCCCTTGTATTCAGTCCTTCGTTGATTCATTAGGAGACGTAAGGATTTTGTCAGATGAGACTGTTGCGGTTTAGAAGTTGGCAAAATTATTTTTGTTGAAATCCTTTGGCCTTTAAGAATGACCCCTGGAGACAAGCATTATATCGTTTGCTAAATAACAAGTAGCTTCCGTACTTTGAGAGAAGCCGATACATCTCAGAACAAAAACTCTAACACTTACAGATATTTTTGCAAGTTTGTGCTCGTATCAGTGATGTGGATTTTGCATGAAGTCAGCTGCTGTGAGCGAAAACTCGTATTTGTATATTTTACACAAGGATATATATTTACATGTTTAAATGCATATATTATAAATGAACTCCTTTTTTATAGGAAATTACCCCTTCCTTTAATTTTTTTTCTTTCAGTTCTGCAAATAAAATTTCTTTTATACATACCATATTTAATCATATTACCCTACAGTTTTTTTAGATTTATTGAATTTTTCACATTGTAAATTTTCTCATTGGGCATCCCAATGAAACGAGGGTCAAGGAAAATTCGACCAATACATCATGTGTCACAAAATGAACTGATTTTCTCTCATTCGTGGCTGCGCTAATTGTAGTGACAGACAAAAAAATTTATTTTTCATACCTTGTCAAATTTTTATCTTGCACTAATGCATATTTTACTGTAAATATAATTTCTAAAAACGAAGAGCACGTTGGAACCGATTCCTCATTTAGTGATGAAGTTGAAGTCATTTGTTTCTATGAAAAGTAGATGCTTTTTCATTTTGGAAATAGGTGTCTGTGCTCAAGTTTAATCCTAGGCTGGGTAAGATAATGTTGTATTTGCAACAACTAGAACATTGTATAGACTGGATGAAGGAAAACAATGTTACGTGTATTATTGAAATAAATTTGTTATGAAATTATTTTGTAAAAACCAATTGTTTTTTGTCATTGAACACCCGACCCTGACACTGATTATGATAAGAAACTCTCATGGATGAACTTAACTATGTTACCATAATATTCTATTTTTCTTGAAGCCGTTCAACAACTTTTGAGTTTTAATTTTTAAACTTACCAAAAAAAAAGAATGTGTTTCACTAATTCGATTACAGCTTAGATGAATCTGTAAGAAACTAGATCAAGTACTGTGGTTGTGGAGTCGATTTTGAACAAAGGTATAAGTAAGGAGGACACAACTCAAACTGCCATGTATTTTATTTGGAAAATTTAATATCTCCCAGGCATCACAGGTACTTCAATTCAGGTTTCAAGAGCCTGCATGCATGAACATATAATGAATTGAAAATAGGTTGAAGATAGCTCTTCATATCCGTGTTTTACCCTTTTCTCTTCATCTTAAATAAGTTTCATAGAAAAACTTATCCTCCATTATTGATACTTTACTAAGTATACTGAATATACTATACTATTTTTCAGGCAAAAACCATTGATCAGAATCACTTGAAAATTTTGCCTGATATCTTTATAGTCATCAAAATTAATCCTTGAAATTTTCGTGAAAGCATTTGCCATTCGATGAAAAAGTGCAAACAAGATTGAGATGTGCGACACTACGCACAGAGTCAAGCTAAATGGTGCTTTGTGATTTGGAGGGTGAGGAATTAGAGTTTTCAACAGAGTGAACTGAGATTAAAGGAAAAATAATGATGATATTAACAACAACTGCTGCAATATGTATTCGATGATTACTGAACTTTCTGAAGTAGCATATTGACTTTAAAATAAATTGCTCCGAGATATACCCTTTGTAGCTAGTCATTAGAGTTAGTCATTAGAGTTAGTACATATTTTAAATGTCATAGAAATTCCATTAGTTCCCTGTCTCAACACCAGGTACCGCTTAAGTAAATGTAAATAAACCGCTATTTTAGGTTATGTATTTACTATGATAATGATAATGATAATGTGGTGGCATGGCGGTGTAAAAGAAACGTGCTTGAATTGTGGTTGTGTGGTCGGTAATATTTTATCCAAAATCTTACTTGCTCCTATAAGTGAATAATTATCTCAAAGCTTACATCTGACTGTACAGCCTCTCTTTGATTCACCTACTCACATCCTCTTTGATAGGAAATTCTCTTAGAAATGATCATCAGAAAACTGAGCCGTTTTCGCCTTGAAACTGTTCTATTTCAAAATCATAGAAAATACAGCAATAGGAATGTGCTCAAATTACGAGAACGAGGACTGATTGAAGATTTATTCCCGAACTCTCCAGTGGCTGTGTAAGTACTCGAGATTCATGGTAACTTACTGTGGTTACAGGATACTATGGAAGTATCACGAACACGAATCATATGATGTTTCAGTTGCATTGTTTAAGGTGATTCGTCCCTGGTTCTTGGCGTGCATCTCATCATGCTGTTTAACCTTCTATCAGTGATCCCAAGTGTGCGGATATCATCACCTTCCAGCCAAAGTATCCCAAGCGCCATTTTTACCGAAATTGAGTTATGAATAGTGTCGAAATTACGAGATGCATTAACTTAAGAAAATAATCATTTTTTTCAGAACAAAAACGTCGAAATACGAAAAAAACCGATGGAAGTTGATGTATACTTTCGTATCGCAAGCATCATTTGGGATATAAGTATCACAAGCGCCAAGTTCGGCAACCACCAACTTTCCTGATTGTTTGCAATTTTTGTTACTACAACCCCTCCGAATGACTTGAAGCTAAATTATTTTTGTATGTAAATGCATTTCGTTATTTTGAACTTAAAATTCGTTCGTAGAAGAAAAAAAAATATGTATGGAAAATAGTCCGTTGAAGTTGATGAACTTTTGTATCACAAGAGCCTTATAAAAGCAAAGTATCACAAGCACCATGCGTAAATGCTCATCTTTGGGATGTTTTTGAAATTTCAGTATCAGTTGCACTTGGAATGACCTAGAGCAATTTGTCACTCTCCGAGTCTCCGGCCGGAATATCATAATAAGGGCTATTTGTATTGAAATTGAGTAATGGGTGGTTTTGAATTAATAGAGCATTTGCTTATGAGGATAATCATTATCATTAAATTAAAAATGAAAAAAAGTGGGAAAAACTGTTAAATTTGGTGAGCGTCCGTATGGCAAGTGCCAGGGTTGCTCAGAATGCCCGGAGGATACGGTATCACAAGCGCCAACTTTCAAAGGAAAAAATTTATTTTAAAGAAATTTTAAGAAAATTCAAAGCAGGAAGTCAAGCTGGATCGGTATTCCAAATTTCAAGCCGAAACTCCGACTGAGGTGGTCGCAAATCAGTTTTTGTGTTCAGTTAGCAAAAAATTGCTAAATCTTGAGGAATGAAAAAAGGATTTAGCTTAGAACAAAAAATTGCATTAGCTGCAGCGATCGACCTCCATATCAAATGCAACAATTTTTTCCCAGGAAAATCCTGTTTTCTTCTCTCAGAACTTCGCAATATTTTTGTTGCAAGAATTTTTCAGATCCATGCGCAGGGGCTATTGTCCGTAATTTTGGAAAAAAAGTCAGAACCTGCCTAGATTTTTTATCATTCTCAGACAGGATCATCAAGAGAAAGGGAGCCTTGGCAATGCCAAGTAAGGTCCTCGGGGATTGTGGTATCTCCAAGAAAAACAACTGCCAAATTTCTGATGCCATCATGAAAACCACCAGGCTCTATGGTACCTAAAGAATGGTGGCCTTTAACAGAGCAAATCAAGGACATGTTTAGAGTAACTGAAATGGATTTTTAGCAGCAGTCTACTAGCATGTACTTCGTATAATAAGTTTTTCACTTATTTTTAGGCATGAAGCAATTGATCTCCTTGTAGGCAAACCACAAACTGTCTATGCAGGATTTGATCCTACTGCAGAAAGCCTTCACATAGGAAACCTTCTAATTATATGCAGTTTGATTCATTGGCAAAGAGCTGGTCATTTTCCAATTGCTCTGGTAAGTCTCTAGTTTTGTTTTAAGCTTCGTTTTTGTCCAGAACTTGTTTTAAAAAATCATAAAGACAAAATTGAAGTATCGGAGCTGACCTCTGTGTAATTTCATGACTTTCAGCTTTCAATTCAAGCAAAAGTATCCAAACAAGAATATTGATGGTGAAACTACCAGACCACATATCTTGTTTGCGGGCTTTGAAAATCTCCGCTCACGTTTTATTTTTTTCAGGAAGACCAGATCAATATCATTCCTTGAAATTTTCACAGAGTTTTCTCTGCCTGAAGAGGAATAGTCACAGAAGTCTTCAAGAACTGTCATTGAGTAGTTTTCTGTTTAAAAAATAAAGTATGACAGGAAAACTGCAACGTGAAAAACCGAGATACATGGTGTGGTAGTTTCACCGCTAATATATACCGAAGCCTAACAGCCTACACTTATTAGCGTAGTTATATTTGTCTCCAAAGAACGGCCACTTAAATAGACTGTACTGACAATTGTGATGATTTTCAATCTCCCCCCTCCCCCACTTGAATTTCACCAGACTCTCACAACGGCCATTGCTCATGAAAAAGTGTTCTTTGAGAGTATAGTTAATACTAGGAGGCTACGCCCCCTGGCCGCTACGCGGCCCAACCCCCTGAAGGCGCTCCGCGCCATCAATGGGCTGCTTCGCGGCCCTATTTTTACCCTCCTATCAGTGTTAGTTTTATTTTTCCCCTAAAAAATTACGATATGAGGTATACTTCAATTTTAAACTTTACTTAAAATTACTTTAAAATTAAAAGGACGCGTTTTGGAATGACTGCTTGATGAAATATTGCAGTAAAACAATTAGCAATGATAGTCAGGCAAGTGTTTTCATGATTCGGGGATCGAACCCACACCTAGTACAATGTGGATGCATTCGACGTCTTAGACGACTCGGCCACCGCTCAGCGTAAGCTCTTACGCGCGAATCTTGTGTACATAAGTGTAGAGCTGATGCGCAGGCTACACAGCTACTGCGCAACCTCCTCGACCACTGCGCATCCTCCCGCGCATAGCGGTAGCAGTACCGGAGCATTCTGTAAACTCACTCACTTTTATAACGTGATTTTAAAAAAACCTGGGTCCTTTTTCCAAAATCTGATTACAGTGGGCTCATCTAGGGCCTATTACCTGTCGATTTACGCAGAAATCATGGAAATCGGCCCGGTAGAACGCTCAAACGAACTATGACAAAAAGTATAAATTTACATTGTTTAAATGGGAGAATTCGCAACTTTACCACGTAATATAAAAAAACCTGGGCCATATTTTGAAAATCTGAAAAGAGTTGGCTTATCTAGAGACAATTGCCCGTCGATAGCCGCAAAAATCATGAAAATCGGCCCGGTAGAACGCTGGAACTAAGCGTCACCAGTTTCGCAAAATTAGGAGGTCTTGGAGCTTATAGTATAGATATATTACGTTTTAAAAACCTTAAACTGCTTGATTTTTTACTAACAACAAGTAGATGATTTCATAAAAGACTGGGCCCCCAGTACCTATCTACTTACTTAAACTTATAGAATGTCTCCTCAAACTCGTTTTGCTGTATTGATTTTCTCAGAGGGGGCACTGATGCAAAAAAAAATTAGTAACAAAAATTCTTTGGAAATATATTTTCAAAAAATTATGAAAACTAACCAATGCCAAACTTTACTTTTTTGTGTTATATTGAAACACCTCAAAATTTTTCTCCTGTCAGGAGCATAGCAAGATTTTTTAGATGAGGAATGGGGGTGTCTTTTTTTAAAAATTGCCCATAGTGGACCATTCCCCCCTCTCGAATCATGTTCTTATTCTTTACATAGGAATGCATAATATTATATAGGAGCCTCAACTTTAGATTGACTCACAGGTTATTTGCTAGTTAACACTGACGAATTTTTAATGTCAATAAGCTAGTAAGGATTTTTATCAGGACTTAAAAAAATTCTGATTTCAGCTTGGTGGAGCAACAGCCCAAATTGGTGATCCAAGTGGAAAGACAAAAGACAGAGATGAAGCTGCCTTATACATATTAGAAGAAAATACGGACGGTATCAAGAGGAATATTCAAACAGTATTTGCTAATCATGAGAAATATTTCTGGGAAAAGAAAGCCAAAGCAGAGCGCCTGCAACCCTTGCAGTATGTCTCTTGCCTCTGTTCAACAAAATGTCAACCATCATTTGTATTCCTAACCTGTTCACTTAAATTAATACTTCAATGTTTAATTAGATCAAATAATTTTTATTTTGTGACATAAAGCATTTTGCAGCATGTTCTCTCTTTAAATTTTCACACGGAAAACAAATAGCTAGAATTCAATTTCTCAAGTTTTTAGAAAGATTGGACCCTAGCTGTGACTTTAACTGTTAATAATTTTACACAAGCACAAATTTGTCCATATTTGTCTAATCCATAGGGGACTTACAGAGCATATGGACAAAATTAATAAATGCAGTATTTTTTTGAGCTACCTAAGTGGTTTTTTTAAGTATGGATTCTTTACCATCCGAGCAAGAATCCCATTTGAGGAGAGTTGAATGTGGACAAAGAAACTTAGAAAACTCTGTAAGTCCCCTATGGATCAAATAAATATGGACAAATTTGTACCTGTGTAAAATTACTAAAAATTAAAGACACGGCTAGGGTCCAATCTCTTTGAAACTTTCAGATTTTGAATTCTTCAATCATGCTGAAATTTTTCATTTTACTTTTCAGGATTGTAAATAATTCTAGTTGGTACGAATCGATGAATGTGGTAGACTTTATCGGGCACGTAGGTCGCCAATTTAGAATGGGCACCATGTTGCGGCGAGAAAGCGTTCAAACAAGACTTGACTCAGAAGTTGGTATGAGTTTCACCGAGTTCACTTACCAAATATTCCAAGCTTATGACTGGCTTCACCTTTATAGGAAATACAATTGCAGATTCCAGGTAAGTAAAGTTGATGAAAGCAATTCAATATCAAGAGTTACTAATATAATGAGTTGAAAAGTAAAACTGAATTCTCGAATGGCACTACTAAAAAAATCATTAAATGTGTTGCACCTGAGGAATAAAGGGCTTAAGGTGAAAAAAAATCACAATTGAAATAGCTGTAATTTCGAATTTTTGCATTTATTTTGAATCATTTGCCACAGAGTGATACTGAAAATTACCAAAACTGACTGTTAAAGTGCATTTAAAAGTTTGAAAACGAGGAAACATGATTTTAAAATAAACGCAGTTAACGTTTTGAAACAATTTTACCCAGAGAATGTGGCTTCTTTATCCTTAAAAATGAATTCTTGCATTTGCAATTACCTCTTTATTTCTGAGGCTGGAGTTTTTTTGATCAGGTTTTATTCTAACTTTTGTAATATTTCAAATTTCACAGCTGTATTTCAATTTTTGAGCAACAAATGGGCTTTTTACAATAGAGAGGTAGCTTTGCTGTATCAACGGCTTTTTCGACAATTCAAAACTTTAAACGTAGTTCTCTCAATAGTCTATTTTGCCATCTATATCTTTTTTCCACCAGTATCCACAATCGAAACACACACACTCCTGGACACTCCTGGAAATTTGCAATTTTTTTGTATATTTATATGAATTTATCTCTAATTATAGATAGGTGGTAGTGATCAATTGGGTAATATTGTCTCTGGGCATCACTTAATCGATAGATTTGAAAAAGCATCCGTTTTTGGTGAGTGAATCTGAGAATTAATTCATTTTATTAATTTTAACTGGCACAACCTTCCTTGAATTTAACAAGCTCAAAGAATTTACATCCCCTCCGGTAACTGCCAATTTTGACGTAAAAAATTCATTGGGGAAAAGTTGCGGCAACATCAATTTTGGCAACAGTGTTGTAACAAAATTTTTGCTACTGCTTCTTGCCACACGAGTGTCATCCTCCCCAAAATATAGAACAGTTGCTACAAAGGATTGATGTGTTGCATACTGATTTCTACAAACTCCTCACAAACGTCTCATGTCTCCAGCTTTAGGACCAAAAATATTTCCAGCGCTTTTCTAAGGCTTTCAACAGTATCATCCGAAAAAATTTGTTCTTTCAATAGTTTGCAGCGGCTATTTTGCCTATTGTATTGCGCTACGGTCTGCAATACAAAAGTAGATATTTTAGTCAGTAAATTCAGAATTCTGGCATGAAATCATCAGGAGGGTCTTTTGCCTCGATTGAAAAGGTTAATGTGAGATTATTTGGTGAGGTAGCTGATGCCAGTGGTTGTGTTATCTTGGACATTAGTTTCTTCATACATGCGGAAAACACCATTTTTGCTGGAAGTGCTTGTATGTTCGCAAGTGAGGTTTTATTTCATACAATGTAGATACTTTTTTGCCCGGCTTCCATCTTAGACAATTGAAAATCAAAGTATTTCAATCATTCTCTGATTGCAAAACATTGCAATTTCAGATCCCTGTTTTTCTATTTTTATCTTTGATATCTCATGTTCGCACAGATAATTTCTGTGAGGAGACGACCCACATTCCCATACAAAACGATGATTTTGTCAGGGAATTTTGGTCGTCTCCTAATACTTCTCATTCTGTTCAATTCCTGTCTAACTGATAGAGACCTATGTTTTTGTCAGCTAAGTTAATCTTTAAATTCCTTGTTTAAGGGGTTACCGTTCCATTGGTCAAGACTACCCACGGAGACAAACTTGGTAAAACCGCTGGTAATGCCGTGTGGCTCAACCCTAAAATGAGCTCGCCTTTTGAGATGTACCAGCACTTTGCACGCACTACGGACAATGATGTGGAAATCTTATTAAAGTGCTTCACTTTTAACTCAGTTGCTGAGATTGATGCCATTGTTAGGGAGCATAAGGTATCGTACTGCTCCTCTTGAAACAGATAGATTTACAAAATGTCCTAGGGTCAATAAGCCGTTCTCTAGGAGTGTATCCTGAGGGCTAAAATATGACTTCATTTATAAATTTGTTTTCAAAAACGTACCACTTTTGTGTTTCCTATGGAACCGTTTAAAGTTTATCTTATAGATTTTTTATCATACTTTCAATTTCTAAACCTAAAAGTGAGGTTACTCCAGGCCAAATCTGGCAAAAATAGAGGTTTTTGACCTGACCCCCTCAGATTTTGATGAAACTTGGTACACTCCTTCTCTACAATAAACCTAGAAATTTTGATGTTTCCCTTCAAATTTTATGTGGGTTTGAATTTACTGAAAATTGCGGGTTTCATAAGTATGACCAACTTTAAAGGCCTACATCTAAAATCTAAATGTAGACCTTTTTTTGAGTTTAAAACAGCACCTTCTTATTTAAAATTTAATATTTTAACGAATAGTAAAAAACTGAGGTCTTCTCAGGTGCAGCAGCCACAAATCGGTGGGAGTATTCCCATCAAACATTTAGAAAAATGTTTTTCCAGTCCTCTCAGACGCAAAAGAGATGGATCAGTTTTACTTGGTGGTACAAGGGCAGATTATACCATTTGACCAGAAAAAAAACTCAGTAACAATGTCAGCGGTGAAAATTCTTAAGCATGCCATTTATGAATTTCTATGTATTATTGGCCGCTAAATCCCAAAATGACCAGGGTCTTTCCTCATCATGTAGCAGTTTTCTAGGGAAATGCATTTTCCAGGAGAAAATCCTGATGTTTCTGGGCCGGAACAACATGATCGACAAAAACAGGAGTTCTTTCTAAAATCAGCTTGAAAAATTTATCAGATATCAGTTCGTAACTTCAAACTCAAGTTTCATTGCTGTCATTTTGATTATGGTGCTAAATAACCATGACTGAATTGCTCAAAATAAAATGTTACATGTAAATGTATTTTGCTGGAGTCAATTAATAGACATGGGTATGTTTGTTTCGAGTATCAAAATTTTGGTCAAAATTGTAATCGGAGTTTTGAATGTATGTTTTTTTATTTTTCAATTCAGGAGTAACATTTTATTTTTTCAGAACTCACCCAGTAAGAGAACAGCTCAGAAAAAATTGGCAGAGGATGTAACTCTATTGGTTCATGGAGGTATGTTTTTTCTCCTTTGGATAAGTGTAAAAAAAAATAATGAACAAAAGACCAAGTTATGCGTAATGCAAATTAGAATCTAACCCTTTCCTTTTATAGTTTGTGAATTTAGAAATAAGGTTCTGACGTTGCTTTTTGCCTAACTTCAATAGAACCAAGGCCTAGGAAAGAGTCACGAAGAACAGCATGATTAAATCTATTCAAGAAAGCCTCTATCGATCCTGAATAATCTCTTCTTATAACGTTGAGCTTCAATCCTGATGGGTTGCCTGGAGAGCATTTGCATAGTTGCGTCACACCAACTTTAAAGGTAACTAGAATTGACGGGATGCATGATGGATCACTCACACAAGAACTAGCTCTCGATACTTGTGTTAGTTATAGTGCTGAGGTACAAGGAAATAAATTTGTGCTTTTGGGTAACTTGCAGATTTTTTTCCCTTCCAAATATTTTGATGTCGGATAAAATATATCTCTTGCTACTCATCTATGCAGCTAAATCGAAACTGAAAAAAATAGAGGTACGTTTATTAGTAGTTTCTCCATCAAATGTTTGATTGTATTTTTGTTTTCCTAGTTTATAACTGCAACTTTTTCACTGTTTCCTTCCTTTTTCTTCCACCAGAGGCAGGATTGAAATCAGCTTTGGAAGCCACCGAGGCCTTATACTCAGGTACAATTGAAAGTTTGAGTCGCCTGAGTGCAGATGATGTAACACGAATTTTTAAGGATGCAACCGTGAAAGAAATTTTCCTTAAACCTGGGATAACTGTCTTAGATCTATCATTGGAAATTCCATGTTTTAAAAGCCAAGGTGAGTGATTTTAGGTGCTATTTGTCAATTATGTAGCTACTTCTTTTCATATTTTTTTTTTTTTCTTTTTCTCTTTGAATATTGCTTTCTTACACAAAAGCAGCATGTTGCGAGGCAGGTTATATTCGATTATTTCCATATTTTGTTAGGAAGCACTTTCCTTTCTTTTTTCTGAGACTATTTCCTGAACTTTTTTCTATCAGGCCTGATGTTTTATTCCAACTCTCATCTACAGGGAAGTGACCCTGAGCTCTGAATGTGTTTTTCCTGCAGGAATAAGAAACTACAATGGGTCAGTTGCGCTGGTCACAGAATTGTGTTTTTATGGGTTATTCTTGCAGATCAACTAAAAATAATAAGATCTGTTAGTGGGGCCGATAAGTGGAAAATATCATAAGAATCGTGCACTTCTGGAAGAAAGCATGAAAATTTCAGGGATTCATCTCTACCCTATAGACATTCGATTCAGACATAGACCCCAAAAATCTGAGCCCCCTGGGGGGGCAGGGGGGCCCCCAAATTTTGAATTTTGAATAACTACTGAACGGCTAATGTTAGCGTAATTTTTTTTAAGCAGGACGATAGGAAATTTTATCAGGAACAAAAATGATTCTTATGAATTTTTCTGTGGGATCGATATTTAAGGCGTGAAACGGGAAAAACCATCGGGGGACGGGGAGCCGGCCGTTCTGAGGCAGATCCGCGCGCTGCGCTGTTTGCCCGGGACGCGCGCGGCGGCGCAGTACGGTGTTACCGACGAAACAGCCGCTTGTCTTGGTTTAATCTCAACGATGCGCAGTTTTAAAAATAATAATGAATTTACCGTACTGCCTAAATACTTTTCCTCAGTAATATAAGCTCTACTTTTTACTAGTAATACATAAAAACAAGCAAAAGCGAAATACTCCAATGTGAGAGCGCCGAGTCAATAGGAGGGATCGGTCATCGCGCATCACGCGTCTTGTTTTCTCTGAATGCAGAGCTTTTCCGACCTCAATACAGAGTAAATTACCCTTTCCTCGCGTAAGTTTTGTACAGGATTACATTTTTTTAAGATATTAGAGCGAAATAACAAGTTTTAATACGATTTTGACCCACTTTTTCATGACTATTGGAAATGGCGGATCCTTCGTAACTTATTTTTAGCTTATTTTTCATGTTACTTTCGGCGAATGAGACAATGAGCTGCTTACATAACCATGAATTTTGCAAAACTTGGTAGAGATATTAATTGAGGAGTGTGGAGGGAGGGGAGGGGGGCTCCACAGTCCCTTCGCCACTATAAGGTTACCAGATTCCCTTCAAAATGAAGGAAATATCGTTTTTCGTTCATGTTCATTGGTTTCTCGCAATTGCATAGGTACTGATTCATACGGAACATTCCGACAATGTTCTTTTCTCCTCTTTTTCCCTCCAGCCAGTCAATAGAAGTTTTCATTTTCATGAACTCCCTATTTTTTCAGTTATTCAACAAATATGCATATTTAAAAAAAAATAGAACAATACATTAAATAAATGATAAAAAAGAAGATATCTGAATACTATCGCCTCTTTTTATCGAGTCATCCTTGAAGATATTACTGGTACTTACCACGACACATAGAAAATGGAATGAGCAGTAAAAAAAATCCATGTATATTATCTTACATTTTGTTGTATGGAATTTAGAGTGGAGTTGGTAACATTTGTTTTGAAAAAAATATTAATATAGGAGGAAATTTATTTATCATGCAGGTTCTGATTCTTTAAAGAACCTCTGAGAAGGACCAGGCCTCAGGAAGAAATTCATTGCATTTCTTCTTTTTCAATCCGCAAATCTCGTACCGATTTTTGATTTGTATGGAGCTCATGGAAGAGTTCTAGGTAAGTATGTCGGAGACAATTTTCAAGAAACGGGACTTGCAAAATATGCAATTCACAAAACGTACACCTTAAACGTTATCGTACATTATAACACTGATCGAATTAGCTGTAGAGATCATCAAAAGGTTAATTTATCGTCATAATATCAAAAAATCAGTCAAAATTAGCAATCAGTAATTAGTTGCAAAATTACCGAGATTGCGGAATATCGTACCTATGATGCGCTGACATAAGAGCAGGATAGGTTCCCAGTACTTAGGCGCGACTTCCTATCACTCAAATGGACCGTTTTGACAGATTAGCGGATACGGCGACTAGTTATTACTTAATATTATTCTTTGTACTGTACAAGAAGCAGTCCAACAAAGGTTTTTTGGGGGTCATTTATCCCTATCAAGCTTTCTCAAGATTCTTTTGCCGTTTTTTTGGAGCAAGTTTTGAAGGTGGTTTTGGTCCTCTTAAAAAAATGCCTATACGTAGCAATGATGTACCAAAATGTTCCTGAAAGAGAGGAGAATAAGCAAGCATGTTTTTATGTATGCTCATTGTTTACAAAATTAGGCTCCCTGTCTTAAGTAAGCATATTTAGATACCATCCTGATGTCGCAGCACCGAGGGAAAGAGAAAGAAAAACACTTTAAAATCATTTTTCAGGTCATCGTGGTACACAAATAAGATTTGTGACTTTTAGCCCCCCCCCCCTTCCTGAGACAACTGTGCCTCAGATTTTGTTCCGTTCAACTGATGTCTGATGCAGTTATCTCGGATGCTGTAATAAAACTTGACAAACCCATACAACAAAACAATTCGGAACTCCAGCACTTAACTCCTTCTCTTTCTGTTGCCGTGCGCTCGCTTGTATACATATATTACCTGCATAAGTTAAGCCCTATTTTAAGGCTTTATAGGTAGTACGATATATTCACAAAACTTTTAAAACTGCGCATCGTTGAGATTAAACCAAGACAAGCGGCTGTTTCGTCGGTAACACCGTACTGCGCCGCCGCGCGCGTCCCGGGCAAACAGCGCAGCGCGCGGATCTGCCTCAGAACGGCCGGCTCCCCGTCCCCCGATGGTTTTTCCCGTTTCACGCCTTAAATATCGATCCCACAGAAAAATTCATAAGAATCATTTTTGTTCCTGATAAAATTTCCTATCGTCCTGCTTAAAAAAAATTACGCTAACATTAGCCGTTCAGTAGTTATTCAAAATTCAAAATTTGGGGGCCCCCCTGCCCCCCCAGGGGGCTCAGATTTTTGGGGTCTATGTCTGAATCGAAAGTCTATAGGGTAGAGATGAATCGCTGAAATTTTCATGCTTTCTTCCAGAAGTGCACGATTGTTATGCTTATCGGCCCCACTATGTCCAAACAGCAACTTTCTACATTGAATATTAACCGAGGTATTGCGCCTTGAAAAACTCGATTTATGAGGGCATCCACCGCGGTAGTATGTAACATGTTTTAAATCATCTTATTTTTAGCTAATCTACAAGAATCAAGCATTGAAACACGATTCTGTTACCAGCGCAACTGACTCATTAGTAAGTGTTAGATGAGGCCGGTCTAAAGGGCCATTTTCAAAAATAAAAATAAAAAACTAGTAAAAAAAAAATTGAAATGGCGTGTGTTTGAACTACAAGACGCAATGGAAGTTTATATCATTATAAAAAATAAGGGAAGGTGTGAAAGGGGGGGGGGCTGATCTAATTTCATTAATTTGTTTGAATCATTATTTAGTTTAACCTACCAAAAGAATAATTGAATAAGTCCAGAACTTTTTTAACTTTTTAAACTTCATCAATTCTTCCAAATTCATCGGTCAATTTTGATTTACTTTTGATGTTATTCTCAATAATTGAACATATTTTTTTGGTCCTATATTTATTGTGTAATAAGTTCTTGTGTGATAAATGGACTACTCAAAAGAGGCTCGGACGAACTGCAGTCGGTTTGCACTAAGATCGTTATTGCTTGGATAGTATACACTTTGGTGCTATACTTAAGATGCAAAAATATACATTCAGAGTTAAATGAGGATTGATCTGATGATCCATTCCTTCATGCAGGAGTTACTATAAAAAAGTTATTTTGCTGCGAGGACTGATCTTGCCCAGGCTACGAGTGTGAAGTACTGTTGAGGAAATAACACAACCTAAAATTAACATTCAGAAAGAAGTGGATACTGTAAAGTGTAAGTTAGGTAACTTTTTTTAGGGAAAAACTTTTCAGTAGCAACCTAAGAATGCTTTGTGAAGACATTTTTCTGAAAGAAAATTTCACTGATAATTTTATCATTGATTCAAATTTCAAGGCTTCAAATATCAAGTGGGTACGAACCGAAAGTGTCGAAAACAAACGAAACTAACGGAAAAAAACCGAGGTAACAAACTGTGAGCTAATTAAATGAGAAAACAGAGAAGAATCGGAAAATTAAAAAACTCAAACTCACAAAATAAAATTAAAAAGCCTTACCTAAACTTAAAACTTACCTAACTTTAAAATTAAAAAGCCTTTAAAAGGCTTTTTAATTTTATTTTGTGAGTTTGAGTTTTTTAATTTTCCGATTCTTCTCTGTTTTCTCATCAAGTGGGTACTTAAAGCACTTATATGAAGAGCTCCTACACTCAAACAACTCCTTTTTTGTTCAATATTAAAATAGTTTTCTTTCTAAATTTGATGCACCATGGTAAAAAATGAAAGTGTTTAACAATAGTTACCTAGAAATATTCAAAAGGAGGATCAGATCACCTTATGAGGTGACCTAATCTCCATCTACCATCCCATCTAGTTGTTTCTACAGGGAATATATCCATTTTTAGATGAATGTCAAATGTGAGTCCCATTATGCACATCAGAGGTAATTGGTCATGGTCCTCCTCAAATTCAATTTGTCCAAATGTGTTATTCTGAAAGCAGGGTTCTGTCAGACTGTTATTTGTGCTACTTCTTAATTGGATGTGTTAGTCCAAAAGGAAATATGTGCATCGGGTTTGCATGCAACATAGTTTCTTTTAGGGCAAAAACACTCAATTATGGACAGCTTTTTGTTTCTTGCATTCATAGTTATCAATCATCCTATTCGATTTTATGAATATTCCAGGTTTAAATATCGGACATTTTCATCAACGATAACAAATCTTAATTTTCCCCCTCACTATTAAGTATTGAGCAAAACGGAAAAAGTAAGTAAGAAATATGATGTGTATTCCTTAAATTGAGTTAATATCTTGTTTTCTCTTAGGGGATGCTATCCGTAAGATTGAAGCTGGAGGACTGTACTTGAACCACCAGCGAATTACAAACTTCAATGAAATAATTACGCCATCTATTCATATCTTGCCAAACAAACTTAGTCTAATTAGATCAGGTAAGTCCTTCATTTTTGTTGTTTCATGTGGTCAATTTTTTGGGGGAAGAATATCATTAATGTTCGTCTCCTTTTTTGTTGTGCCTAATTTATTGAGGATAAAAATGTTCCCATTATGTAAGAAAAAAGGAGAACAAATTTTTCATCTTTACTTTAGAGAGAGAGGAAACCTCATTTTTAAGCAGTTTCAAATAAAATCAAGCTAGATTTTGCTTTAACAACATGATCATTAGAACGTCTTCACTTAGATTTGCTACAGAATTCAGAAAATGAAATCCCTCGACATTTCCCTGTCACATTTTGGTGAAATTCCCTGACAATTTAAGGTATGCCAAATTGTTAGAAAGACAATTTGAAATAGTTTTCTTTTAAAATCTGTTGCTCGAAACGTCGAACACATTTTAGAAAGCAAATGAGGGTGACTGAATAATTCTTCCTTGACCCCTTCGTCTTTTTCCCCGACATTTACCGATATTCTCTGACTGTAGCAATCCTCAACCAGATCTGTGAAAAGGAACTTTATTTTCCTTAACTTCTTGCAAATGTATGGAGGAAGAAAAATTAGAAATTTTGGCAAGAGTTTGACCCTTAAATCTCAACAACTGAAGGAGGTATTAGTCCTGAAGTTTCAAGTCAAAAATTCTTGGATTTTAGAAAAATGTGGTTCAAGTGTCAGTAAAAAATTGAGGATAATTTTTTCCCAAGAGATAAGGTGCCTTTTCTTAGATGCTGTCTCATTTATACCGTTTTCTATCATTTATTGATCTCAATTCAGGAGTAGTATTGACAAGCTCAGTGCAACCATCTGTTAAAAATTAAGTATATCTATTTTTTATTGGGTTAATTTAAGGGAGCAAGTTTTCTTGCTTTTAATTCTATTTTTTTTTTTTTAACTTACAGGCAAGAAAAACTACTACATTGTCAAGTGGATTTTGTGACTTTCCATTTCTGCAGTGAAAAAAGATCATTTGAAACGAACCGTTTTTCTGCGTTCCAGCATTTTCTTGTTGTTTTCACATGTTTCTTGAAGTTAAATTATTCTGTGATCTGAATTGTTCCAATCCAAACGATCAGCCAATGCTTGATCCCTTAAGAAACCATGGAGCTGGGTGTAGTGGAACATTCCTAAGATTGCTCAATTTTTATTTTTTGGTCCATGGCTTGTAAAAAAGTAGACATCAACTTAGTCATGGATTACAATCAAAGATCCCTGAATTTGCTTTTCTTAGAGACAAAAAGATTTTGAAAACATTTTCTTGTGGGTTAGTTTCTTCAGTTTGATGCATGGAGAGGAACAATGCAATTGATGGTTGAAATAGGTGTCTTTCTTCATCTGATCATAATCCTGATGATGATCACTCACTGAATGCTCAAAAAGAAGTTAGATATTATTGATCAAAGAAAAAGTTGTATGAATCAATTCCCAAGTTGTACCTTTTAAATTATTTGAAACTTAAGTTTCCTTGTATGCGCCTTTAAGGGAGACCATGAAAGTATCGACATCCCCTCTCTTAGTGTTGGGGGTTGATCAGAAGATTGATCCTTACTAAATTTCAGCCCAACGTAAGCATTTGAAAAGAATTGCAATGAGCTGCTGACTTCATTGCTAAGATTGAATTGGTTCAAATAAAAGAATGACAGAGTGTGACCGACAATTATTACAAATCTTTATAATATTTAGAACCGTTGAATGCATTGAAAAAATAATAATTCAAAATACAAGTATGTAAACATTTTATCAAAATGTTCTGAGGCGTTTGTCTCATTTCATGTTTTAAGAGGGGACATTTCTCAGGCAGCCATTTGTCTTATTCTCACTTATTTCTGGAACTTTGAGGGCTAAGGAACAATACTGCCTAACTGACAATTTTGGTCAAAGTGCATTGGTGGCTTTGCAGCAATCTACTGCGTAAAATACACAAACTAATGGTTTTAGTTTTTCCCATAGAGTGCATAGAGTGGTGGTAAAATGGAGTGAGCTGAGGCCGTGCTCTGGCTAATGAGTTCCAAGTTTGGTTTGCGCCGAGATTCGGTCAACATTTCGTTACATTTTCCATCCAAAATGGCGATGTAGAATACGTAATAATTCACATTCTCTTAGATTACATCAGATGGTCAGGTCCCTGTGTATTGCAAACAGTTGATTATGTATCGAAATGGTGATCCAGCGTGACCCAGGAGTCACGGAATTCAGGACCTGGAAAATGCTTTAAAGTGGTGCCAGCTCTCCCATTTGCATCACAACTCTGTGTACTCTATGGTTTATCCCGTTTCCGCATGGGATTACTGTATAAACAAATTGCAAGTCTAAACTGAAAATAACAAAAATGGCGAAGTTTTTTCTTTGTCAGTTTTCAGATAAGCGATATTGTTCCTTACCTATCGACTTTCAAAAGGGAATGATTAAGATGTTTGCGAGAAGAAATCCTTCTCTTTCCTCTCGGATCCACTCTATATGTAAAGGAAAGATAACGCATGACATTAATTTATAAAGTATTCACGGCGATTATGGAGACAAGTAAGTCAGTTTGATTAATGCTTTTCTATCTTGTCCATAAAAGCTCTTATCAAATGATTGTGAGTTGATCATGAGAAATTTCAATCAAAAATTGGTTCCTAATTATGTTTTAATAAACAACTTGCTAATTTCCATCAAAACTGTTTCTTTTTCATTCCTCTTTGCAGCCAAAACCAGGGTTTTAAATAAAATTTCCAGAAAAACGTACAAATGTTCAGTGTGTATCACAAAAACTGAACAAGGTATTTATGCAAAGCATTCTATGCTAAAAGTTCAGTAATTTTAATGATGTAACAACTACAAAGATCCATGGTTCAAAAACATGTTCTTAAAAATATTGGGCTTTGGCTCTGAGAGCTAGACGCCACACTAAAGGACATTCCTGAGCTTGTAAGCCGTTAGTTAAAGTCATGGAATCAAGGAAATGAGGGAAGGTAGCAAAAGAAAGAGGAAATATTTGTGACAAACATTTGATGGCTCTTTTGGCCAAATTAAAATGTACAAGCAATAATTACATTGCCAGGAAATCGTCCTTAAAACTGTTTCATGTGTAAACAGTTTCTATTTGCAGGCTAATCTCCCCTGGGCTGAACGGATTGTTTGTTTTAATCTGCCTTGTATATTCACCTGCCTTTGGTAAAAATACGCGAAAATATGAGAAAATTTATCATCATGATTTAATTTCACATATTTTATTGCAAATTTTTATTTATAACTTAACATTGAATTCATAAATTAAAATTAACACACCTCTGCGGTATCTTCAACAATAAATATTGCAAAGGTTAAATGCTAAGACCAGAATTTTCAAGTGAAAACTGAGTTAGTTACTTAACTACTTGACACTTGAGTAGATGAATCATATCAGGTAACACTTGATCATCAGCTTCTTACTTTCAAGTCTGACCATGGCAGCAATAAATAACATTTAAATTATTGCAAAAAGGAACAGAATGATTAATAGGAGCGGCAGCGACAGCATAGGAGATTAACTCCCAGGTTAACTGGCAATGACTTCATGCAAATTATTATGGTTCTCTTGGGTCATGTTGGGCACTGCCTCAACGCACTTCCACAGACCATATGTTTTGCCGACAGTAGTTTGCCACAGACGCAAGGTCCCATCTTCAGAGCCAGAAGCATACAATTCACCATCTGGTGAGAATTTCACACAATGGACAGGACCAAAATGCCCTTTGAATGATTCTGCAACAAAAAAGGACATTTTTTGTTAAAAAACAACTACCTGCACTTATTTCAAATTCAAAAATGATCAATTTTTTTATTTCAGAACTTCTGTTCAATTTTAATTCCAAGTATTTTTCGGCAGATATAGGAGTGATATGTTTTAAGTAGGTCACAAAATGTCAGTATTAAACCGAAGAATTATAAAGTCTTGCTCCATGAGGATGAGACCTAAAATCTTACTCCTCAGAATTCACACAAGAATAAACTGTCAAGTTTCTTTAATATTTGACATGAGATACTGCGGAAGAAAAGCTTCATTATTCCCAGAGGTTGGCTGCCTTTTTACACCCTAACCTTATTATGGGAGGCATCCGTGAAGGCCTGATGATTTTTTAAATTATACACCTGTCTATACTCTCGCTATGGGGGTACTCTGCAGCAACCCTGCTAATGTATTTGCTCCCTATCTGTACTTCGGGAGTTTGACTAGATAAAGAGGTGGACTCTCACTATGGTGTGGGATATTCCCTCATTATGGCCTGAACTTTGAGAGCTTCACTTGAGTTAAGGAGTTGATTTCAGAGAAAAGAGAGAACCAGTGGCGCCATCGAGTTTCTCGCGTTTTTTATACATGAGAGGAATTATTATTTAAGACCCAAATCCTTGTGACACGCAAGAACTCCATTGGTACTTTTACAACTAGATTCTAGCATTTGTCATTTTTGAGCATACAACTTCACACAGTTTTGACGTTTTCTTTTATTTCTACTGTAACTTCATCAGTACACCTACTTTAAACTTTTTTTGTAGAATTAAATTTAAAAATTACACAGCCTCTCTGATTAAATGAGGAGTTTTTATTTCACTCTCTCTTTGGGTGAGGAGAAAAATACAAGGAAATTAGTTGTACACCTGACAAAATTTCTTTAATTGTTGTCAAATGAGCTGATATGAAAGACAAAAAGATTACTTCAAGAAATATTTAGTAAATTGAGACACTCAGAGCTCTGAACAGAATACAAAAGCGTACTCTTCGAGGAAAGATCAAAAATCAATTTGCCCTCTAAAAGGACACTCAAAGTAAAAAGAAGTTGTTCACAACAATTAATAATGATTGATTGATTACTTACCAATCTCTACGCCTGTCGTGTAGTCAAATTTGTACATTTTGAAATCTTCACCACCACAAACAAACATAGATTTGTCTGGATGCAAAGATGCTGAATTGACTTGCGTTGGGATTGGGATTTCACGAATTTTGCTCATACTTTCGGCGTCCCAAAAACTGACTGTCCGTCCATGTGCTACAGTAAGAGTAACCCCATCCTTTGAGATTTCTATGCTGCTTGGCGGCGCATTAAATTCTAATTTTCTTACTTCCTGAAAAATTAATTCGTTTGTTAAGCTCAAAAAAAATTACAAAACTAAGGAATCAAGCCCAGAATCTAAAACAATGTGAAGTTCAGATTATCTGGTGTTTGAGGATCGAGATTGTCTAAACTGATGGCTGATCAGAGCGACAGGCAGAGTTCTTTATCCTCAACCGGTATTCAATGCTATTTTTCACATCAGCACGCGGTTCACAATCGATGAGCGAACTGGGCGTTAATGGGTTTTAGATACAGGTCTAATTACCTTTCCCCAAGTTTTGGGTTTTCCATCGACGAACTCGACGCGCACAAAAATCCTCCCTGCGGAGAAATAATGCTCCCTTTTGAAGGGACCTCTAATGCATGTTTGAAACACCTTGTTTATTACCGCCATCTATGATTGAATTTACCTACCATAGATGGAAAATGGTGGTAGCGATGCTCACTTACTAATTATCACAAGGCTTTTGTTTGAATTGTTGTTGACTTCTTGTTTGAGGTTAGGTTAGTTCTATAGTTTTGAATAGTATAGTGTTGAAACATTCTGGAAGGTATCACTCACAAAAATTGCACGGCATAGCCTATAAACTCCTGCTGATCCACAACAAACAGGAACATCGCTGTGTATATTATACCACTACAAATTCAGCCGCCGTGTTGATCTTGACACGTAAATCAAAAGGCAAGGAGCACGCAGTTTGAACCCCGTTTGAGGCTACCCTACTATTTTTAAACTTGCCTGTGAACTTGATTAACTTAGTAGTTGTTCCCTTTCTTGAGGATTAGTTGAAATAAGAGATTAACGATCAAAAAAGGGTTACTCATCCTTCACTTAATACTGTTAAGTTGGTGAATACAGAAAGAATTTAGCAACAAAACAAAGTGGGGACTCACCTGTCCAGATATGTGATCCCAAACTCTTAAAGTTCTGTCATCTGCACACGATATGATGCGCGTGTTGTCTCGGTAAAACATGACGTGTTTGATGCTAGATGTGTGCCCGGAATATACTGTTGGATCTAAACAAAAAGTATATTGAGGATTAAACATATGACAAACACAGGTTTCCTGCCTATTTAGAGATTAGAAAAATTTCATCCATTTATTACCTGTTTTTTTTTTCTCAGGGTCTTTCTAACTTAAGATTCACCAGTTCATTTTAGGTTTTATCGGTGATGTCACTTAGTTGTAAATGTTTTGAATTGTATGTAAGGTTGTAAGCAGGGATGCAAAAAGTTCTTGGCCTTCCCAATATTGAAATTAAACTACATTATGTAGCAGAATCCCTATTTCTGGCTCATTTTGGGAACAATAAATTCGTATATGCTCCATTACTTTTGCAGATACGTGCCTCTGTGGATGAGCCAGAGTAGTGGTTCTTGATCGTAAAATGTAGTCAAATTGGCCCTTCCCATTTTCAAAACCCCTTTATCCCACAAAATTTTCAAAAATATGACTCTCCTCTATCTTCCTTTACTCAATACTTGCAACTGGCTGCAATTCGGCAGAAAACACTCCTTTTGCATGCTTATGCAAGCTGCTTGTGCCATTGTGAAGACCCATTTTTGCGGTCATCCTTCATTTGCAAGAGACAGAACACTACTTGTCACTTCAGCAGTGAAGAGCTTGGTGCACCCATGGGACTGTCACAGGGTTAGAAAGTTTTTGCATCCCTGACTTTCCAAAATTTTTTCCTCCAAAAATTACTTAATGGTCTCTCTTTCATTCTGCGTTACAAGGCAGAACGTACAATAAACTAACTTCATCCCTCAATTAAAAAAAGAGAACACCATGTAAACAAGAGATTACAAGAAATCCCTGCAGATTCATTTTCAGATTTTATGTTAAAGACTTGAGAGTGAAATTACCAGCTTCTGGCTTCTCAAGATCAAAAACGCGAACTAGCTTCTCCGCACTGGCAGTGGCAAAAAGACTTGAGCTTGACGAAAAGTCAACACTCTTAACTATGTGGTTGTGCTTGAAGGAATGAAGCTCCTCGCCAGATACTGCATCCCAAACCTATAATCACAAAAAGCAAAAGATTCAGTCAGCATTACAGAAGGCAACGAAGGATTATTTTTTTTTAAAGCAGTTTCAAAGCGATCTACTTACTAGGGTATTCAGCACTTTTCTATAGGTTATGCTTAAAAGCGTTTGTGAGCAAGAACACTAGCGTGTGCTTTACTCGTAGCCTATGACCTAGGGGTCACGGGTGGATCATTAGATTTCACTCGCAGTTGAGACAGGTAAACTTGATTTCTCTGTGACGCATTTCGCGGAAAGTCTAAAACTGCGGATAATCTAGGCTGTCCAGATATGTATCCAGCACAGGCATGGAATCATGATCATTTTGAACTTAAACGCTGAAATAAAAATATAAAAGGGAATGATTCTACATACTTTCGCTTCATTGATATGTTAATTCATTGATGTTCTTCTAGGTATATTTTTAGTCATTTTATTGAAAGAATTACAACTTAGCACCTACTTACTCTGAGGATTACAATTGACTTTAATCGAAAAGAAAATTAAAATTAGATTCACCCCAAAAGAGTGCTCCCCCTCTCCCACCCTGATCAGATGCAGGGACCGATGAAACTAAGGCTATGTTTACAAGGGCTTCTGTTCCCTTCTTACCTTGGATAATTAGTTAATACCATACACTGCCATGGTGCTGTTTTCACATTTAGATGTACATTACTGAACTAATATATATTATTGAAATTCATTTATTTGATATCAATGAATTCCTTTTGATCACCTAAATACCATGATTAAAAATTCAATTTATTGAACTTCTATCTTTCATGAAAGGAATCAATGTCTCTAAGAATCCTTTCTGAGTTGAGTTCTGAATTATTTTAGACCAAAAATAGAATTGAATGCGAGAACTTACTCCCCCCCCCCGGGATGTTTTCTTATGGTTTTCTTTGATACACCAAAACAGAATTGAAAGAGAAAGGCAAGTTCACTTTACTTATAAATTACCATAATTTCAGTGGATAAAATGGAAATACTATAAAATTATGGCTGTGGCAAAGTTTGAATTCCTGGCCACCGGTAACCGTGACACTTATTAACAAGGGGCTGATGAGGCACCGACAGCATTTCAGTTTCAGGGCCTTGAGTTAGTCTTAAGTATTGATTTTCCACAGCTGTCTTTCTAACAATAAGCCAACTTCACTGCTGACAATCATGACTAAACTCAAAAAACTTGAAACATTCACACAGCTTACCTTTGCTATGAAATCAGCAGCCCCGCTGGCTGCTTTGGTAGCATCTCGGTTGAGCGCAACGCCCCAAACAGCTCCCTTGTGACCTTCGAATGTTCCGATCCAATCACCAGTGTCACCCTGCCGCAACATCGGCTTACCATCTGAAATCATGCAAGTGACATAACATGGAATAGTTGATGATTGCAAGCACATCCTTCATCTCCAGCACAAAATCCAATAGACAGAGACATTCTTTATCAGGGGAAAAACTTCAGCAGACTAGGTACCTTGGAAAATTGTGAAGACTAGTCACTTTTTCTGCAAAAGTTAAGAGGTTTAAACAACTATGGAGAGAATCCAAGTATCATCATTCATCAGGGTTAAAGTAGGAAGAAATGAAATGTTAATATCCGCAACCTGCCCATCAAATTACGGATTGGAACGAGCAAAGTGTTGTCCAACTCCCGCTAAGCTGTGCGCTGAGTGACCACTTTAAGCCCAGGTGACTGGTGGATTGTTAAAGTAAACTGTTTGGAAACATTAAGAAACAGAATCACCCAATGCCAAGCTGTCGGGATTGCTGACTTCGAATTACCCGATGACTTGCATGTTTATATTTGAATGCCCAACATTTCCACCCCATGCTCCACTGTGTCTGGAAGTCGTAGGGATTGTTGAGTTGGGTTTGGTAACCAGAAGAACTAAACAGTAAAGGGTGAGATGCCTGGACAACACAGCTCTACTGGATGCACCTAACCTCAAAATTGCTGTACGCTGCAGCAAAAAGTAAACAAGTTTAGAGGAACCTAAAGTGATCGCTTAGTGTAGACTCAATGCTAAATGCACAAGACAGAGAGTGGTTGTATGACTCACCTTTACTTGCAGATATTAGAAAATATCCAGAATCTGTAACGTCACTGAAAGCTAAATTCACAACTGGTCTGGTGTGTCCACTACAAGTTAACGGAGTTTGCCTTAGATTAGCCATTGTAAGCTATAAATAAAGAATAATAAAAAAATAAGGAAACAGTGACCCTAAAGAACGGTGACAGAAAAACTTGAGATAGAAAAGATGACACAAAAGGCGGAGATGAGGAAGGAAAAGGACCGATCAAACCCGGAACCGAGACACCCAAAACTGCTTTACAATCAAACTTATGATGAAAATCCGAAAATCGCGACGACCCTGACAATTAACCAAGGTTGCTAAAACGGATCAGGGATTACCGTCCCTTCATGGACTGTTTCACGGGTCACAATACACGAATTCGCGACTTGCCATCTACAAAATAAAAAGAAAACTTGCACATTAAAAGAGCGAGTAGATGTAGATGCGGAATGAACACGAAGATTTGAAAACAACCGTGCAGAATGACTGAAATTTGTATGGTACAAGGACAACAGGCATGGACAACACTCCGTTGTCGTCGGCTCTGATTGGTTACTCAAACCTGTACACCTAATGCGTCACGAGCAGAGATTTTAATGTGTTCAAAGCGAAAATTGTACAACCCTACGTCATACTTTTCCACAATGCGTTACCGAATAACAGTGCCGTCCGTACCGTACCTATTTTCTTCTCACCATTGTAAGACGGGCAGAGATTGAGACGGTAGACGCCTTGACAGTGGTGGTGGTTGCCCTTGAAGCTCTGCATTACGACCAGCGGTGCCAAAGCTCTCGTACTTGCAGCAAAAACCAACGGCTTGCTCTAATAACACAACTTTGGGGCCATTCATACAAAATGTAACGTTCTAGGGAGAGAGGGNNTGCGAGCCTCCGTCAAGGGTGCGTTACAGGGAGAAGGGGGCATCTAGCAGGGTTGCGTTAGGAAGGTAACGCCAGACTGGACACGCAGTGCCGATTTTTTTAGATTCTAATTTGTAAAATCAACGCGAGATGGAAATTTTTCACACTATTGTCATCACAAAAGGCAAATTTTGGGAGGAGGCGGGAGGGGGGAGGGTGGTGATGGTGAACTGATTGTGAGAAGACCTTTTTAGGAGCGCCATTCTGTGTCGCACGGATATGACACGAGTGGAGACTGGGTCAAATAATTCGATTTTTTGCGTCATGTATTCTATGAACAACCCCTTTTCGTCATCCTTAAAATATCCGTAAAGCAGGGAAACATTGAGGGGAGTCATCCCGAATGATGTGGATCACAGACTGGACGAGCGCTTCGGGTAAAAAAGGAAAAGATATGACCCTAAAATAAGAGAGGCAACAATAATCAAATGAAGAGTGTTAGACTTTTTTAATACTATTTTCATTTCCAGTTATTTCATCGTAGAGCACATTGTTAAGTTGCGGGAGGAAGGGGGAGGGGGGCAAAATTTGCATACAGTTAGTGTTATCGCATAGATGTTATTGACGTTAATTCATTAAATTTCGCAACCCTGCCCACTGAGAAATGGTCTCTGTTTTCTTATCTTTTCTTTTGTTTTAAAACGTCCCTTCCTGTAGGTTTATATTCATCAATGTTGCCGCTTTTATTTATGCGATGAAATAATCGTTGAGCGTCTCACGTAAAAATTTTCATCGCAATGCTTCTTTTTAAATTTATTTATTAATTTTACTTTTATATGAATGATTTAATTTTTTTATATAAATATATTTTTTTAACAATAGCAAAATATCTGTGTATGTAGGTTTATATTTACTTAATTTTTGGACGTTTCTAGCTGGTTGGAGAAAAAGGTCTATTCGAAATCATCAGTGAGTCAGGGTATGTCACGTAATGTATTTTCTCACTCAGGGGTTGAATTTGGAAAGTTGTAGGTACATGATGCCTCCGTCGTGCTTATACGAACGTAAAGTTTCGATTAGGATACCCACAAGTAATTATTGTAGTTCTTAATTTTCTATCCTGCCCAGTGGCACAATCGAAAACCGCACCATGTTCCGCAACAATCCTGAAGTATGAGAGACAAAATACACCAACTTTCTCTACAATGGGCGCGTTATTAAAATAAACCGAGAACGGCAGTGAGAATTTCCTAAGTTGGGAAAAGACTTGCCTGCTTCTCTGGTTCAAACAGTGTTGCTTGAAAAATATTCCCGTAGGCGGTTTGCTCCTCCAGAAGGAAAGCTTTGAAGTATAAGCCGCAACGGAGGGAAAATAAGTAGAGGATACAAATTAATGTCTAATTTTGTCGTATTTCGGTGAGACAAAAGACTGCGCACCTTTAATTAGTTGAGTTTAGAGAGAAACCAAACACGTAATTTGGCCTGGAGCGGCGCGGCGCAGAGAGCAATGATGATGAGGACTTGAGATGAGAAGGAGAAGCCCTCGGCGCGGCGCGGCGGTCGGCATGTAATACATATCAGCGCCTACAAGACTGCATGAATACTTCACGCATTGCATCAAACACAGTACGGTCAACAGCGGTCGGCGCGGCGGCGTGACGCGTGAAACGCACAGCGCCTACAAGACTACATGAATACTTCACGCATTGCGCCAAACACAGTGTGGTCAGCGCGGCACGGCGCGGCGGCGGAAGTTAAAATTCTGAAACCACATGTATGTTTGTTCTTTCTTAATTTTTAGTTCATTTCTTACAAATGAAAGACCTTGCCCACACAGAGATAGGTTTACGGCAAGGCGGATAAAGAATGGTGGTCGCATTTCGATTTTGGCTGCCATCTTGAAGCGTTGTGACGTCAGAAGGGTACGGGTTTTGCCGTGCAATCCGAGGTTGAGTCGGCCCCCCCGGCCTCGGCCAGCCCATGTACCCGAATGTACCCGATACCGTGTGACGTCCAGAGGGTACGAAATGCGACCACCATTCTTTATCCGCCTTGGGTTTACGGAACTGAACTTTTCCGCGAAGTTCCGTGAAATTTTGCCAGTAGTGTTGACAGGGCTTATGAAAAAAATGTGTCCAACACGAGTGAACGCGTTTTATGCACCCTTCTTTCTACGGCACATTCACTTGATGGTTTTTATTGACGTTTTAAAATGAATGAGAGGGCGGCAAAATACAGGCGGCCCATGGGCGGCAACTATGTAAATCCGGCCATGTAAGTAGGTAAATGCGTGACATATATCTTTAAAACTGTGATCGAACCAACTTTTCGGTGAGAGCAGCTTAAAATTGCTCCTGAGACAACTCAATTTTTCAACATTTTCCGAGGAAGTGCCACCGGACCCCCTTTTGATGCTAGGAAAATTACCCAAATCCTCCTTCAGAGCTGGGGATGTTCCGCAGATCCTCTTCAGTGGGGTGTCTTTTGGTTCCCCCCTAAGCCCCCCCCCCCCGATATGGTTTTCTTCTTCCTAACTCCCCTACCAATGAAAAGTTGCTAGTTCCGCCTATAGGGACAGTCTTGGAAGACTTTTGCAGGTCTAGAGTTGCCAAGAAGTCTATGTTGTGATTTCAGATTCATCAGAGAAGATTTTCTTGTCAAATTTTTACAAGAACCGGGCTTGGGTGAGGAGACTTGTTCCGCTCGCAGTCAGCAATATTAGGTTCGCTCCACGCAAGGCAACCAATCACGGAATCGGCAACACGGCGAAACGATCGGCGAATTATGGGAAGCTGCGCCTGAGGTGAATGCAGATCACGGATCGGCGTCGTTCCTTATGCCCACGTCGCGCGACGTCCACCGCGTCGCGGCGCGGCGTCGATCGAGCCGCTTTGTTTGCTGCCTCGCGTCGTTGTCTTGATCATGTGAGATGTCGACGCGGAAAAAACGCCGATACTTGAGAACTCACTTCCGCAACGCTCCACGCGAGGACGGCTCAGCTTAAGGAGAGTGGAGGAGGGGGTGAGAGGGAGACAGATCGCGGATCGGACCCACGCATTAATGAAAGAAAATAAAATTGGGTGATTAAACAGCTTCTTAACCGGCGAGGAAAAATTAAGAACAAAGCGCTCACAATCAGGCGGAACCACAAAGTTCAGGTTTCAGCTTCTAAATAAACATTGGTCGTATATATTTATCTATCTGACGATTTATTAAAGGGCGATTTTGCCTTGACTGTAGATAGACATTTTTTGCCATAATGTCTAATCACAAGTACGACCAGCAGTTCCCGAGGATAACGCATATCCAGTTCTCAAAAAGTTACAGTTTCACCCCATTTACAATTAACGGTGCTGCCGCGCTGCGAAAAAAACCTTTTATAGACGTTAGAGTTGTGCTAAAAATAACGCAATAAAATGTTTGTTTCTGAAGCAAGCTGTGAATATTTTTCCTTGACAATTTCAGATCCTTTAGCGCAAATTGGAGAGGAAAGACTTGAAAATTTTTGACAGGGGTCAAAAATCAGAGCTCCGAAGATTCTCCCCGGACGGCGCAACTGTTTTCCTACCTCCCCTCCCCCCTCCGCCCTTATATCAGCTCTCGTCCGCGCCACACCGCCACACCCACACTCGGGTTTACGATGTGGCCGCCGAGGTCGCAGCTCCCAGGGCGGCAATTTTTGAGGTCAATCAATGTCTTGTAAAATTTCCGAGATGAGCCCCGTAGACTCTGTCAGTGCACATAATTCCATGTGCGGGCTGCTTTTGGGTGTAGCAAAATCCCGGTGACCGAAGAAGGTTCCCAACCCCTCGCGTAGCAGAGTCTGCGGGGGTGCCCGTTGTGCCACAGCTTATGAAAATAGTGGGATCGCATCGAGCCAGTCTCTGGCCACCCCTGTCTCTTGATTTGACGGCTTTGAGTTTATGTTGCGGAGTGTTACGTAGGAGAGGAAGAGGAGATTCTGTAAACTTTATAAGAATTGTGTGTTTTATAGTGGCGGAGGGCTTTCGGCCACACTTCGACGAAAAACCATTGGAAATGCAGGGAGGGGGGTTTTTCCTTACCCTAAGTAAATGTCTAAAGGAAGTCCTTTCCGCCACAGGGGGGGGGCGGACACGGGTCGATGAGAATAAAATAAAATAAAGTGACATAAAATGAAATGAAACAAAAGGTAATGAAGTACAAGTTAAGGAATCAAATGTAAGTAAAATTATGAAAATAAGTGAGAAACATGTATAATAGAATGAAATTATGCAATAACAGTAAATTATGAAAAAAATAAAGAACCAGCTACAACTCGTGATCGGTGCTCTTCACGAGGTCTCAGGTCTGGATCCGACATCATGGGAGAATACAATAGTGTATTTTCTTCGGAAAAAACACTACAAAAAAAAAACAAAAAACAAAAATTTAAAAAAAAAACGACGGAAGAGGTACATTTCAAGATATCAGAATGCCTCCGAATATGTAGCAAGTTTCCAGTAAGTTGCAGTTTGCAGTCTGCGAAAGTGCGCAACATTCGTTCCTGCTAGCGACGCGGCACGCGACGCGATGGTAACTACAGCTCCTTCAATTTTGACATCTGCAATTGTGACATCTGAAGAGCAGGATTAGTTGCATCAAGGTGCCTCAGCAAGGCGCTGCGCCGCGCCGCTTTGTGTCGCATTGTCGTTGTGGGCTGTGGGTTATGGGTAAGCATGCTTTGTAGGATACTAAGTTACTTTTGTTCATAAACTTAACTTTTGTTCATAAATTATTTGAACTTGATAATACATTTTTTTTTTTTGTATTTTTATCGGTTAGTATGTACTTAGTTTTTTGATACTTTCTTTCATTACATTACTTTCATAGGTACCTATCTAAAAGCGCGCAAAGTTTTGAGCTTGACGATAACTACTGTTATTCATTGACTCAGAGAGCAAAATCACTTTGCCAAGAATGCGACGCAACGATATTTTTTTCTGAACACATTCTAAGATTTTGAAACTTAACACTGTTACCTCGTACCTCTTCAATTTTAGCGACTAGGTATCGAAACATTGCACGCATGGGAGGAAATGGCCCTCGCGGAAGATCTCCCTAATCTCTCCCGAGAAATGTAAAGGATTTTGCTAAGTAAGTGGGTGACAAATATTCCATCTCCAAAATGGTGATTTGCTTCTGGGGAGACTCATCCAATTTTCTCCGGAGAGGTCCCTGGTCCCCCAGACCCATTTTTTTTAGAGGTAGGGACATCCACGCAGTTCCGCCCACGGCTGAACGAGAACCCTCACTTTTGAGATCATGAGCCCCCCTAGNACCCCCCCCCCCATTATTATAAAACTATTGTGTTGGTACTTATGTTTGAAAGAGAACAGAGAGGAGGGAAAATCGGGGGATAAGCGTTATGTGCCTACTTTATGGGCAGCCTCTAGCTTTCGACGTGCAGCCGAAGTATGAGAGAGAGGAGACGGAAAGGGGGCCGAACATGAAGTAGGATTCATTTAACTTTTGCTCCATGATCCGCAGTCTTGTCGAGTTTCTTAGACTCATACATAAGTGCGCACATTTCAATAAATGCTCATTTTGAGATGACGAAGTATCGTATCGCCAATGAATCGTGAGAGCACGCCGTATGTGGCCAATAATAGCGCCTTCAAGTTTCCTGTATGTGCTACCAACAACATTGAAGTAGGAATAGTTGCGTCAGTTGCATGAAGGCGTCTCACTATTGTTAAAACTGCATGAGCTGAACTCTAATTGGCTCATTTGAATTTTACCGCTCTGATAGTATCGAATACCCTGTGACGTAGTAGTAGTCCATTTTCGTGGAATGGGTGAGTCAAGATTGTTTGGTGCTACTCATGCTACTCCTTCTGCCTCGGTGAAAAAATTGTTCAAAGTTATCATGATGGATTTTGGATTTGTGTTGTGATTTTGATCTCTAGTAATGTCGCGACTCCCTCGATTCTGAAGATTATTTGTTTCAATTTAAATGGCACAAGAATGAAGAAAGAAATACTGTACTGTTCTTTATGTGTAACATATTTCAATTTATGTGTAAATCGGAAATTCAAGAAGTGGAAGTGATGGAGCATCTCTGCTGATTAAATCCAGCGTTATTTTGCTTGATTGTTAAGTTCTTGTACATAAATTGATTGTAAATTTCTTTCTCATCATGCCTGGATTAATTGCAGTACATGAGTTTGTCGAAGAGACCCGTGAGGATTACAACTCACCCACCACTTCAACTTTTGTCTCTAGGATGCCTCAGTGCAGACTAACGATAAATACTCTAGAAGAGGTTTGTTTATCATCAGTTCAGTTAGTTTTCTCTTGAGCCTATCGCATGCATAATTGGGAATTTGATCTGTAAGACCCTCCGTTCATCTAGTTTTATTTTGAATTCACTGGCGTTTTGCTCACCTACTCCGGAATATCCCTCCAGTGCGTGTCAGAGGAATGACGTTGACTTACAAGATACAGCCTTCCTCACTTTCAAATGTTATCTACCTTAATCCTGGCAACCATCAGGTTCTAAAGTCTATCTGTGATAGGATTGCCTCAAATTTTATTTCCATCGCTTCTAACATCCTGTAGTCTTGATTCCCTGTGACCTAGTTCTGTCGATTAGCGAGTAGCTTTTGGTCAGTCACACGCATTCCCACAATGGACTAATTTAACCATATTGACCTAACAGTTACCAAGTGAGAATATTGCTTGCCAGATTACACAATCCTAGGTTGCTCATTTCTTCTTTAGGAACATCTTTATGGCCACTGATGGCTGCCTATACACTTATTGTACGCTAATATGTACAAGTCATGAAAGATGATTTATGGACGGTGTAAGTTAGAAATCACATAACTCGGTTTGCGACGTTGCAGATTTGTTGTTATACTTTTTATTTAAACGTAAAACTACTCAACGGCAATTCTTCAAAACTGCGCTGTGATCTTTCTTCTCTGTGCAAAGAAAATTCTGCGAAAACCTCAGGAATGATGTAAATTTGTTCTCCTTTAAAAAAATAACATATAGGCGGAGATTTTCAGACACCGCAAACAAGATATGTGATTGCTGACTTACGCCATCGTTATCTGTTAGTTGGCAATGTGAGGGATTTGATTCTGCAACACACTAAAGGTCTTTGGCAGGTTTAGGGTTTGCATAGTGCTGTCAAATCATTAAAATGGTGTTCCTTCAAGAGGCAGCCAATTTTAACTACCTTTAGGCAAAGTTTTTCCAAAAATATGATTTTTTGGAATTGTTCGAGTCAATTTATTTGTGTGCCTAGATGTTGAATAACTCTTACATACCAAGATTCTCTACCTTGTTTTATGCCAAAAAAGAGAAAAGAAAAAAGAATTGTGATAGACCTATGAATGAATACACTTAAGTATGCAGCAATTAACATCGATTTTAGATTTTTTTAATTTTTTTGCCATTCTTTCTTTTACTTCATTTTGTTAATAAACCCATTGAATTTTTTCAGACGCTCGATTTTGACAGAGATGGACTGACCAAAATGAAAAAAGCTGTGAAGGCCATCCACAACTCCGGCAATTGTAAGAAACCTCATGTTTGGTTTTTTTCTCTTTTTTTAATTTATTTTTCTCCGGGAATGATCGGAGTTTTTTCCTTTTTGATCTCATAACCATTCATTTATTTTCAGCTCCAAAAGTCAGATATTTTGAATGAGAAATGTAAGCAGCACCACTGTGAAAATAGGTTGAGGGCTGAAACGCACATCTGAATTACTGTTTTTCATCAATTTTGCATTTTATTCATTTTTTAAAACAGAGCTATACAGACCAACATTTATAGAGAAAAGTGTCCGCACGTAGTAAGAGGAGATAAGACTTTCACTGTTAAAAAAATACATAGCTGTTAATTTTCGACAAAGTCACAGAAACCTAGCTGCCAAGGTCATACAATTAAGGAGCTGAACACACAATAGTATCAATAACCAAGAGCTAGATGCATATCTAAGGAAAGAAGTCTCCGAAAAACTTACTAGTGTGTCTGAATCAGGGTGATGAGGGAAAAGATAGAACATCTAACTGGCATGCCCTTCCAATCAAAAGTGTCTCCATACACATGAATTTGAAGTTAATTATTTTTGTATTTCTTTTGACAGCACACGTGGACAATGAAATGTATTTGGCACGATTACTGGAAAAATTAGGCAATAATGCTTTGACGCGAGATATGGAACCTGACATTGGAGCTGCTTTTCTTAAATTTGCAGTTGTCACAAATGAACTTTCTGCATTGATGAAAACATTGGTAATAAAGAGTTTTTTTTTTCTTTCTTCTGTATCTATGATGTAAGAAGCCCTTTTAAAGAGGATACAAGAATTAAATCTTTCACAGCTTCTGTGAATCTGTCCCTTTTCCTTCATTTGGTGGGCTAATGCTGAGGAGCATGTTTTGACAAAAATTGTACTTCAACGTTTGAAGGTTTTTCACTGTTTAAACTTCGACTGGAGAATTACTGGCCGTTTTTTTGTATTGCATGCCTCGGAAGTTTCTGCATCCCTGAGGCAAGCAGTAAAGGCCGCTGAGAGCTAGGAATTGATATAAACTGAGTTCAATAATATGCCCTGAAGGAAGGTTAAAAGTCATCAAAGGACAAACATAAATTTAAAGTTTTCATTTCTCTCTAAAATCATTCTTGTTTTCATCTCAATTTTTTAGATGCAGAATATCAACAACATTGTCATGTTTCCATTGGAAAACTTATTGAAAGGTGACTTGAAAGGTGTTCGAGGTGACCTGAAAAGACCTTTCGACCGAGCCTGGAAGGAATATGAAACCAAGTATGCTAAAATTGAAAAGGAAAAAAAACAGCAGGCAAAAGAAGCAGGGCTCATTAGGACGGAAGTTACTTCGGCTGAAATAGCCGATGACCTAGAGAAAGAAAGGAGACTGTTTCAGCTTCAGATGTGTGAGGTAAGTTTTTGAATACTAATAGATTCAACCAGAAATCTGCTCAACTACATCAGATCCTACTGAATTTCCCATCTTATTTTATTCTTCTCACAGAGACTCAAGCAACGTACTGACTTGAAATTTCATGAGCGTATTCCTTATATTTCGGAGGAAATTCACAGAAAGTTTGAAGGCGTCATGTTGTTCAGTCCTCTGTTTAATGAAATAAAATAAGAGCGGACATTAAGGAATCTAAAATGTGTTTAGGCTGATTCTGGCTAATGCAAGTCAAATAATACCTAGATTACTAGATAATTTAATGTCAATTCAAGTGTAATGAAAGCTGGCAGTTTTACAGCCTCCATGTGATGTAATTTTTCTGTAACAAATGCAGATCAGCTCTATACAAAAAGTTTCAGAAAAATCTCTGGAACCTTACTTAACCCTAGTAAGATCATTTTCTAAAGCATATAATAGGCAAAAAGATAAGAAGCAGTGATTAAAGTGCCTGTTGATGTAACTAAAAAACTTGAGCGCCATGTATTGAGCATGTCAGAAAATCAAGCCTTGGCGCCGAAGACTAAGGAACTTTGATCAAACAAAGTATCTAAAAAGAGTGGCGCCATTTTAATTCCTCTTGAACCTCGCAGAATTTTTTAAGGGATCATCAAAAATCTCTAAGGCCCCTGAAAATCAAGCTTGTGGGTCAAATACCGAATACGCCTGCAGGTGACCCACACCTTTTTCCCCGATTTCAACTCTCGAAAATCAGGGTGCGGATTATCTGTGAAACTCATGGAAATTGCATAACTGTCAGGCGCTACTTGACGATGCACGCAAAACAGACCACCGTGGGTGCGTGTAGGTTATACGCAATTTTTTTTTTTTGACCCTCTCAACATCTGGGGTGGGGGTTATCTGCAGGCATATACAGTAGCTGCTACTGTGGACCAATAGACAAAGTAAGGATTGAATCCATCTCAGGTCTTGTTTTCTCATCAATATTGCAAAGTAAGTTGACATTTTGAAAATTTTCGAAGTAAACTTTAAAATGATAAATGAATCTTAAAGTTTACATCAGAATCAGCAAATTTAAACACCTAACTTTTCTCATTTGAGATTCCTTGAAAGTAAAGCAGCGCTTTACCAAAAAATCTGAAAATGGCTGAAAAAGTGAGAAAATTTTGGTCAAAAAACATTATGCCATATCCTCAATTTACTCTTGGCTTACAATTGTGTTTAGATTTGTCAGAATCCTTACCAATGTGTTGTTTTCTCCAATTACAGTATCTGATAAAAGTCAACGAAATCAAGACAAAAAAAGGAATAGAGTTGTTGCAACATTTGGTGGAATATTATCATGCGCAAACGAAGTAAGTCAGTTTTTTTTCTTCTTTAGAAGTTTTTTGTTAATTCTTTACCTTAATTTTTAATATATTTTTCATGCAAAATATCTATCCATTGAAAAAATTCTGATTCCCAATAATTTACTGCTTTTTGTAAAGGCTCAGTGGTGAATTTGTCTCCTGCACAGTAAAAGTTTCCTGAAAACTACTGATCCTACTATTATGTACTTCACTTTGGTGAGACTTAGTATCATCATTCTCTTCTTCCAAGCCTCTTCAATGAAGATCAGTGTTGAAGTGAGCATGGCCTTTGTGAACGAAATTTTATCGGAGGAAGGAACGAAATTTTACTGGCAGGCTGTTTGACTGTACTTCATTAATTAAGAAAATGAATCCCAATACTATCGTGCGAAGGAAGAATACTGCACAAGCCTTCAGACGTTGCCATATTCCATTCAGGAAGAAACGATTTTACTGGGAAAGTTGTGCATACTTTTCTTCAAACTTTTCAGAAAATTTTGTTGGCAATTGAATCTAAAATATCTGAAAATTTCAAGGAAAAAATTGTATAACTCTCCTCCAAAATATATGTTTTATCCCTTGGAATTTGGCAACTTTCAAATGTTCATACAACATTTTTCCCAAGCATGGCAGAGTAGGTCCTTAAAAAGTGAGCTCAGATAACAAATTTTGGTCGATAATGTCATCATGTGTAAAACATCTGCCCTGCCAATCGTTCCTCAGGTTTGAGTCGGCTAGATGAACAGTGGCAAAATTTGTTCAACAAATGAGCTCAACCAACAGATTTTATCTTTGTAAGTTCAAACTCGTTTAATAAAAATTGCAGATCTGTGCGTCTGTATTTTAGAAAGACAGTGGAAATTTGTTTTGATTGCTTCTGCCTTGATCTAATCTGAGGGTAGTCTGGACACCATCAATAGTTCATGAAACTTGTCTTGCTAATTTCAGACCATTTGTAGAAAACCTTAGTATTAAAGGCAGTTGGAGGTCAACAGGTAAATTTTTTTTTGTGGATTACCATGATTTTTTTGTGAACTAAAAAAAAATCTTTTCTGCCTTCTTTACCCTATAGTTACTTTCAAGATGGTCTCAAAACAATTGAGCATTTTGGGAGCTATGTGGCCGATCTTTCAATTAAACTGCAACGAATTCGTCAGAAGCAAGATGAAGAGAGACGGCAGCTCACTGAACTCCGCTCCCTTTTGCGCAGTGCACCCAGTTTGGACAAGGAGGTACTGGTATTTTAATAATTCTCTCCCTAGATAAGATCTCAGAGAAGCAATCCCTCAGACTTTCTCACATGAAATGACACAATGGGCCCGTTGCAAACTTTTGCTAGAGCAAAAATAAGAGTTGCTCCTCATAGATAATGTCTCAAAAATCATGATGAGCACATTGACAAACTCTGAAATGCACTCCTAACTTCACAATCTGCTTAAGATATCTGCGTTTTTTTAAGCTTCCTGCTTCAAAAAGGATACTACCGCACAGGTGAACATTTCGTTAGAGGAGTCTTTCCATTCAATCCCTCCTCAACATGGCCGACGCTTCCACGTGCAAGTTAAGGAGAGAACAAGGTCAATCAAGGCAAATATTTATCAAAGCGAGAAAAATGTGAATGTAAACACGCCGATTGTTATGAGGTGGTTAGAATCATCGTCCTGTCACATGTGTTTTGGCGGATTGGTGTTGTCTATGTTGAATATTGCGGCATATCCTTGTGAGCAGGGGTTGGACGGAATGACTCCTCTAACGAAATATTCACCTGTGCCTGGGTATCGTTTTTGAAGCAGAAAGCTCGAAAAAACGCAAATTCCTAATGCAAATTGTGAAGTAAGGAGTGCATTTCAGACTTTGCGGATGCACTCATCATGATTTTTGAAACACTTTCCATGAGTAACAACTCTTATTTTTGCTATGATGGCAACATCAATCTACGGCCCTCTTGGACCCTGTTTTTCTAGGCAGCAATTCTTGGCTGTGGACCACCAGACAAGGTATAATTTAAGCACTTTGATGTATGTTTCCTCTTCAAAATTTCTCGTACAACAAGATTTGCAAAACAAAAATTACTAAAAGAACTCCAAGATACTTAAGATATTAGCATTTTTATTTAGCACTGGTCATAAAAAAATTGAATTACATAATTCAAGTTATACTTGAAATTTTGATGGGCAAACATGTATCATAATGCTTAAATTGGCATCTTTTTCAGTGGTCGATTTTAGAAACGACAGTGCTAATGCAAGTAAGCTATTTGAAGCTTTTCTTTTTTTTATTCAAAATAAAAGTTTTATTTTGACTAGTTTTAAAATAATAAAATAATCAGTGCCATGATTTTTAAGTGTATTTCCGTCCTTTTGTCATGTTCGTAGTCTAGCAGTGAAAGGTTATTTCCACTGAGTAAAAAGAAAACCCATATATTTCATATCTTATTTCCTCTCATTCATAGATAAGTGGGCAGACTCCTGAGCGAGGAGGGTATTCTCTACATCAGCTGCAGGGAGACAAAGGTGCAGGCCTCACACGAACTGGTTACCTTTTGAAAAAATCAGAGGGAAAAATGAGACGAATTTGGCAAAAACGTCGCTGCTGTGTTCAAGCTGAAGGATACTTAGATATATGTCACGCAGATGAAACCAAAACTCCAACCAGAGTCAACCTTCTCACCTGTCAAATTAAAGTTGTTCCCGATGACAAGCGATGTTTTGATTTAGTCTCATGTAAGTTATTTCTGATAAATGTTGGAACTGTATCTTGGCTGACCCAATATTCTGATGTAAGTCATTTCGTCAGGTCAGAGAAATTAGAGAATTTCACAAAAAAGAATAGAAATGTTTTCTATGAATGCTTCATGTGGTTTTTTTTTTATCCATATATTTTCAAAATTTTGCCACTTGAAATTTTCCTCTTGTTTTTAATTTTGTTTTTATAAATGTAGCCCCATTTGAAAATTCCTTTTGTTGGTTGGCGAAGCCTTAAGATGTCATTCATAATCTCCCTTACTATGAAGCTCTATTTTTTTAATTTGAATATTGGCGCTGGCCACATAATCAAACTGAGCCTCAGCTTCTTTCAGGGCTCAATGCTTCGAATTACTCCCTGAACAGTGAGCAGGGTAATAAATATCAACGAGGAATCGCAATATTTGTCAATTGAATACCCATCAAAATAAAAAAGATGCTTGTATTCCTGTCATTTGCAGTAAAAGTAATGCCATAAATTGTCCATTTTCAGTTTAACGCAATTATTGATGTGAGGAGCCAGAGAATTTTGATCATTTTAGTCAATGAAAACCTCGATAAGTCAGGAAATACTCCAAGTCTACAAACTCCCTTTTGCATAACCTATCTATAACTGAACTTGTGGTGACCAATGCTATCAAGCTGTTGGTAGCAACTGGGCAAAGACACTTTTTGCCAATTAAGTGTTTTGTTTTTTTATATAAAATGTTACTACTTTTTCTGTATTTGAATGTGCAGACAACCGAACTTACCACTTTCAAGGGGAGGATGAAGCTGACATGAGGGCTTGGCTAAGTGTTCTTGTGAACTGCAAGGAAGGAGCTTTGTTGCGTGCATTTGACCGTGCTGGAGGTGGAGGTCTTCTCGACTTGCAACAAGCCATCATTCGTACCATTCAAAGACTCCCTGGAAATGATCATTGTGCAGATTGTAATTCAACGAATGGTAAATTCCTTTTCTACTCCATTTACCTCATTTGAAGTCAAGAATCCTCAAGTTCGGTGAGGCTTGTCATAGAGTCTACTTTTTCCGATGTTTCGAAATGACTTCCAGTTTCAATTTTAATCCCTGAAGCCAAGGCAGAAATGAATTTTCCTTTTTTTAAAATAAGTCTTCAAGTTCTCAAACTTATTGACATGTTTGCATTTTATTACATTAAGTGTGAAGAGTTTCTAGCAATGCAGCTTTTACCATATGTCTGTGCCAGGGATCTGAAATTGTCAGTGGCTACCAAGTTAACATCAGAATTTTTCTGAATGGTTCGGTTACAAAATCACATTTTGTTGGTTCAAGCTTACAGATTAGCAATAAGTAATGAGATCTGTTCAAGCGCCTATTTTCTATGTCCAATATTGATGGAGATTTTGCCTTTCAAAACACACAGTGTATGATGTCATTCACTGCAGTTGTACATACCAAGGTCTCTTCTGCTTTGCACCCATCAACTACGTGAAAGACACTGTGCTATGTTGAAAAGCATCACCATGGTGGATGACCTAACCTGCTGATTTTTTCAAAAAGCAATATCTCTGCCAATATAAGGTGTGGAAACTTGGTGTTTGGGCGAATCTTATTCCATAGTCAAAGCTGATACAATGGGGAGGGTGGAAAAAGGCAGAACATCTTTCTCACAAGAATTCTGTAATAAATTCCTCTAACTGATACTAAAATCAATGCCTAAATCAATCTTTCAAGTCTCTGCTACTCAATATATTTCTAAATTTGCCAGGCGTCACAGTAATGCCCTCTGTGAAACCATTTTGTTTTTTTTTTCACAGATGCAACATGGCTATGTACAAATTTAGGTGTTGTTGTATGTATCGAGTGTTCTGGAATCCATCGAGACTTGGGTGTTCACATCTCCAGGATCCAGTCTCTGACATTAGATAACATTGGAACTTCTCAACTCTTAGTTGCAAGGCACATGACAAATCACAATTTCAATAATGTAATGGAGGCCCGTTTACAAGCTGATAATAAACCAACCTATTCATCCACAATGTAGGTTTTCCAATTTTTTTTTCTTCTTTTGTTTAATAGCATCTTGAATGTCTGTGAGAGACAGGGGCACAAATAGTTCCAGGCCTCTACAATTTTTTAAGAAGCCTCTATTGCAAACACCATGGGTTAAATGAAATTTTGTCGAATTTTACTTGTCTAATTTGCAATTTTCATTCATTCATTGCATTTTATCATTTGCAGAAGACAAATTTGCCCCCCCCCCTCCCCCCAAAAAAAATTCGGAACATGTTTACAATTTAATCTCGACCAACCAGTTGCATTATGGAGAACTATTTGCCTCTCTGAGAAGGGATGCCTCTACTATTTGATTCTTTAATAATGCTGTGAATACCAAAACAATTGTAGGACCAGATGCAGCGAGGGAATTTTTTAGTTTCAATCATAGATTTTACTCATTACTAATCAGGAAACTGATGTGATGCATCCTGTTTTTTTATTATTCTGTTCATAATTTAAAATCAAATTATATGAAATATTTGTGTATATATATAAACATTTTATCGTATTATAGACATTGAAAGGAAGTTAAGGATTAGTAAGTACTTTTAGAACTAGATTGAATTCCGATAAGTCAGATAGGCTTAGGATCAACGGAGTTCCCGATTTAATAGAATTTCCGTTACACAACATGGATTGAAACGTTTGCAAAATTCTGTCCGCAACTCTGCATTTTTATTGAGCGCAACACTATGATAAGAGGACCGAAAAGAATGTCTGATATAAATTTTCCAGCACAGATTGAAACCGAGATCCTAACTTACCCTAAAACTAATCACTTACCTGATTTTCAGACTTATCGAAATTCCTTTGTATATGTGTGATTGGTTGAATAGCGACTAAGCTATATAAGTAAATTTTGATCACCTTGATTTGCCATGTGTCATTCCTTTTGTTTCTTTTTTATCCTCAGGGAAGAGAGATACGACTTCATTCGTGCTAAATATGTCGACAAGAAATATGTACAACGAACATGCTCAGATGAACATGAGCTTTTGAATGATCTAGAGCAAGCAGTCAATAACAAAGATCTTTATCATTTGTTACAAGTTTTTGCGGAAGGCGCAGATCTGTCAGCACCTCTGCCAACATCGGTATTTTTTTCATCTCTCATGTCAACTTTATCTTAGGTTATGTAACCAACAAAACTGGATCTATATAATTTTTCAAGCTTTGATACCCTTTGTTGAGAGGATTGTTCTACATATATGCATATATATAAACTTCAAACTTCCTTATCTTTGGTTTGGTTTCATGTTCTTTAACGTATTGTGGCCCCCTACTCAGTAATGTTCATCAAACACCTCTCTATCATGTGTTATCAATAAATTAATTTTGAGGCTTTGTTTCGAAAGTCCATTTTTGTTAAGACGATCACAAATTATTATATTTTATCCTGTACTGCTTCAAAAATTAGAGACTTTTTCCCAAACTGGCCAGGAAAAACCTGTAAAAGTTGACGAATTTCAGTTCTAAATTTCTGCAGCCACCCTGTTTATAAGTAGCGAAATTAAATGTGAGAAAAAGTACTAATTGTACAAGATTGATTGCTTATTCAAGACAAGTTTTCTTACATTTTTCTCTTGGCAAACCTTGTCCTCGGTGAGAATACTTTTTGGATCTTTTAGTAATTAGCAAATGTTTACAGGATATTGGTGAAACAGCACTTCACTTGGCAGTCATCCAGGAGTTAGGCTCTTCTTTACATCTTGTCGATTTTATCATTCAAAATCAACTCACACCATCTCTTGATAAGAAAACTCATTCTCATCCTGAAAGGTATCTTGTGTAGAATATTTATTTTACTATTTTTTTCCTAAAATTTTAATTATAATTCGAATTACTGAATTATTTTTTATTACTACTCTATGTTTCAATTTTTTCATTTTTGACCTGAGCCTCAAGATTTTATTAATTTTTATTATTAATATGTACGATTTGAGAGAGCTAAAATGGCTCATTGATGGCTCTCATGTGGGCCTTGCTGCAAGCTACTTTAAAATTAAAATTATATAATGCACTTATTTTCCTCATTTTTGGTAGTACCTGTTAATACTACTAAGTAAACGTCTCACTCGGGATCATGAATATTTCCACAGTTCGGAAAGGATACAGACACAGGGTTGCCACAGTCAGGGAATGCTGGGAAAATGAGAAATGTCAGGAAATTATAACAAGTCAGGGAGAACCTGGAAACGTCCGAGAAAATGATGAAAGTGACGGCAAAAATTGTTCAATCATCCTCATGTCCCTTATAGAATGGGTTTGATGTTTCGAACATAAAATTTTGCTTCGAAACTATTTCAAATTATTTCTTTTTAACCATCTGGCATAACTTTAATTGTCAAAGAATTTTACCAAAATATGTTGGGGGAATCAGGAAAATGTCAGCAAATTTCATTCTTTAATGGCAACCCTGTGAATAGGAGGGGAACAACAACTGTAATATATCAAGGGCATTTAAATTAATTTTCTTGAATCGATTTCCCTTCATGAGGAAAAAGTCTTCCATGACGTATTCCATTTCTGCATCTGTTCTCTCAATAATCCAATAATATTTCCCATTGTTCATTTTTTATTTTTTCCTATTTTAATTTGAAGTAGTGGCGGCAACACTGCTCTTCATCTGTGTGCAATCCATGACAAATCAGAATCAATGAAGCTGCTACTTCGGAGTGGTGCAGATCCATCCGTACGAAATGCGCAAGATAAAACTCCATTGGATATAGCTTCAGAAAAAGGTCATAAATCTTGTGAGGAATTGGTAAGTAAGCTCAAGAAAATCTTATGTATAAAGTTGGAATATTTACCATACACCATAAGTAAGGAGCAAATATATATCTTGAGTATGGATTCAAAGAAGAAGAAGAAAAAAAGAAAAAAATTATGGCCTGAACAGTATGAGTAACAGGATGCTAGAAAAGTGCAAGATCCATACAATTCTAAGGAGAAAGCAGCTAAGAAAAACAAAAAATTAGAGTCTGAGAATAAAATAGTTCCAACTTGTTGCAATGGAAAACTGAGACAGGGTAGATTGTCAGCCCAGGCAAGTGCATTGAAAATACTTCTCGAGGGCTCTACTGACAAACGAGCACTGGTTTTGCTTATTTTTGAGGGACATCAGCTAGCTCTAGACAGCCAAAACCCGGCTCAGTATTCTTGCACACCTAAGACGATTTTAAAATTCTATTGTACTGACAATAGAATGCATAGCATAGAACATAGAGAATACACATAATAAAAACATAGCACTGAAGTGCAATCCTTGTACCACCTACTGTTCCTTCTAGACAGTACCCAGGACAGAATGAAGAAAACCCATATTATTGGTTGATTTTTACTCATTGTTCTGATTGATTTCATTTTTCAGTAGATTTACTAACTTTGAAAAGCAGGTGATTCTGTGTATTCTTTTTAGTAAGATTCAGTCTTAAAATCTGCCTCGTTTCCAAGGGAATATTTAAAATTGGTTCAATTTTCAAATTATGTTGTTTTATTTAGGACTTCTGCTTACGTCCTCCAAGAACTATCTTGACAGACCTAACACAGTCATGGGTCATTATGAATAAGTTGGGGATAAATCTTTATGAGTTAGTATTTAAGTTTAAAATTGAGTGATTATATCATAAGTTTAATAGGCACTTTTGAAATAATTACTCATATTTTGCTTCCCTTGGACGTAATACATATCTGTTCTTTTCCAGTTGAGGCATGCTTTACAACGACAAAAGACTTTGTTCGAAAATGTGAACACAGAATGGAATCTTGTGCTAGAGGAAGGTTCAACAGATTTCTCAGATGATGAACCAGGGTTGGATGAAAGGGTTTGTAGTAAATTACATATAAACTTTTTTAACCTCCAGGAATTAAGAGCCATTAGTGTGAATTAGGATGACAATTATCGATGTTCTTGGACAGTAGTCAAATAGAGGTTGAATTAAATGCCGTAGATGCGATAAGAAAAATATTAAAACAGGGACTGTTTTAATATTTAAAAGCATCTATTCCTGAATTGAATCAGATGTCATGTAATGGATGGGATTTTAAAATTTCATCAAATGGAAAAGTGCTAAAAACTAGTTTCTCCCGCTTGAATTGCATTTGAATCAGTGAGAACAAAAACACATCAACTTGAAAAAATGCACAGTAGGTAAAGAAGTTAGTCTAAGGAAAAGATTTTTGGTTTCGAAGAACAAGCACTAAATAGTCCAGTCAATCTAGCCAAAAAAAGGGTCTAACCTCGGACAAATTAGCACAAACTTCTCTTGTGTTTTAAAGCGCTCCAAAACATGTCTAGAGCCCCCAAAAAAAAGTTTACCATTAGCCCCCCTCGGGAACACAGTCAAAATTGCGTATGACAAAATGGCGGCCGTCTGAAATAACGGATAAATTGATTGTTGACTTCGTCACCGTTTTCCCGATTTTGTGTGATTCT